ATATCCTTATAATTTTATCATTATTATACCCTTAGAACATTATTGTAATTTAATTAATCATTTCACATTTTTTTATTTTTCATTTTTCATTTCTTATTTTTTATTTTTTATTTTTATAGCTACATAGAAAATCTGTGTTGATTTCAATAAAATCATAGTATTTATTTTTAAAATAAATATAAAAATATCATCAAATTACTTAAAGAAAACCAAAAAATTTTCAATTTATTCTTTTTCATTGAAAACTAATGTTGAAATAAATAACCTCTTAAATAAATGTCTTCCTCTTCAATTAGAAACAAAAATTATGCCTGATTAAAAAGTCAGAATTGATTATCATTCTTCCATTCTCACGCAAACTTCTATTTACACGACCTTTCATGTGAACTTGTTTTATTTTGTCAATTTAATAACCTGTTAAGTAAAAAACTTTACGTGTTTCAATATCAAAATATTGTCTCATCTCCATGTAACGAATTGAATTTCTTCTTCTGTACACTATACATATTTTTTGCGAAAATAGATTTAAATCGTTGAGAGCAGTCATCATCGCAGTGAAACGAGTCTGGCTTCGGTCAGACGCGCAGCAGTGGCAAATTAAAACTAACTTGTTTAACACTTGCATTATTTTCGTATTAACTTCTTGTTAAAAAACAGAAAACTTTTTATAACCTTTTACCATTATGAATAAACAATATTCACTTTGTAAAAAACGTCACCACTTTTAAATTTGTGTTCTTTTGAAAAATTGCATATGTCTTTTTAGGTTTTTAAGAAACTTTTGAAATATTTAAATAAACTTTCAAAAAAATTGCTTGTCTTTTCAAGTTTTTTTCTATTCAGAAATTTTTATGGACAAATTTCAATGTTCATTTTCAAGTTTTCAACGTTATTGAAGATTCGTAGAGACCAGAAAGAAACTAAAAGAATTACTGAAATAGTTGACAGAATATCTATAATATGCCGTGGACAAAATTAATAAAACCATTCACAGAAATAAAAAGATGTAATGCCTACTTTTTTTTTGGTGTAATTCTTTTTTCATATATGGTGTGTAAAAAATGAAAATAAGAAATATCACGCGCTTAAAAATGATATAAAAAGAAGAACTTAAAGAGACGTAAAACAATACAATAAAATGTCAGAAGACGAGGTTTTCATAAAAGTTTACGTTCACAAGCACCATTATTTTTGAAAACTTGACGTAAATTGAAAATAAGTCTGATATTTTAATGCAAAACTCTATACATATTGAGATGAATGTTGTTTTTTTAGACATAAGAAAATATAGATTAATGTAATACGACACTAAACAAGTCTATCAACAAAACTTTCTTTTAAAAAAAGTCAACATTCATATTAAAACATATTTTATAATTTTTAATCTCAATTATATCTGGTCTTAAATTTTTTAACGACACAATAGTTTCGCATAAAATGAAAATACGTTAGAAGATAGTAAAAGTGAAGCAAAGTTGAAAAGTGGATCGTGTCAACTTTAGTGTTGATTAGGTACTTGCACCTTATTGCTAGTAAACTTCAAACTATTATGGTCTCTATAGTCTTTTAAACAAATTCATATACAAGCAATAAAAGACCCATTAACATCAAACGGCGTACTAAATTGAAAAATGAATACACAACAATATAGTTTAAATATCCAATTTTATACTAAACGATTCAATGTGATTATCAGTAAACTTGTATAAAGAGAAACAAGACAAATTCATTAAATGTAATAAGTGAAAAAATTAGTAAACCTACGTAAACTTACGTGCGAGGAACATTTGAATTTTTAGCATTGCAGTTCAAGGGATCACGTACTTGACATTATTCGAATCTACAAAGTTCATTTTCTGTAAAGTAAAACCGAGGAGACTTGGCGTGCAAATTTAACGACTTGATAGTAGAACTAAAACTAGAGTAATCGCCTGCATGTCTCTGCTAAAATTTTAAGGCTGCATTTTTATTGTGCATTAAAAAAGTTTTTGACATATCAAAAATATTTCACTAAAGTTTATACGTAATAGGTACTTTCGTCTCTTACTTTTTTCCTCAAATAAAAACAAGTTTACAAATGACTTTTTATATTATGTTTTCACACTTTCCGAAAACAAAACAAAAAAATCATAATAAAACTTTATTTAAATAAAAAATGTTTATTTTTTTGGAAAATTTCTATTGGTTTCGATTACTATATTTAAAAGAGTTTTGATTGAACTGATTTAATCTTATTGTAATTAACAAAAGTGTGTCAAAAATTAGTAAATTATAAGAAATTTTACAAATAAAATTTCTATTTTTATCGCAAGCATAATAAAAATGTTTCAATATCCGTTTCAAAGTCAATAATTGAAAAAGGTCCAGATTGAGTTTGCCAAGAAAGCGATTTCAACATTTTTTCATGAAATTATAGGAAAATTAGTAAAATAATCGATAAACTGATATTTAATCAAGATTGTTTGTCTCGATTAAAATACTTCTTTTCTTCTTAAATATCGATAATATTAATAATTTCAATGAAAACATGAAATGTACACCACAAGCGTTCAATGTAATTTAATTAATTCTCACAGCATATTATTTAGACAAGAAATGTTTGCCGATAATCTCATATTTAGCAAATTATTTCTTTTTACTTGGCCCAGTTCACAAGCAAATTTGCTTTATCAGTTTACCCTCTAAATTTGATTAAATTAAAAAGAACTAATATTAATATTTATTTTATCCGTTTTGCACGAAACAGTTGATTAAAATATCGAGTTAAAGTAAATTTTTGCCAATAGTCAATAATTATGAAGTCACTTATTGTTAGTTCTGAAGTTGCCATTAAAATTTCGGGCCCCTCTTACTGTATACGATTGACATTATCTTAAGACGAGGAAGCTCTTCTTTTCCGAAAGGCACTTAGGATCAATGCTGAATTACGAGCGCTGTCTGTCAAGTTATCAGGACCTAAATATAGTATCGCTATTTTCGTATTTGGCTTCTCGTAAAACATTGAAAAAAATAGTTAGAATATAGCCCATCCGTTAAGCCAAGGAAAGGCAAAATTGAAAACGCCGTAAAAATAGTAAAATATATTTATATTTGTATAAGAAGAAAGTGAAAAAAGGAAAAACTGGGGATAGTAAACAGAGAAGTTCCTCTTTTTTTCCTTTATTTTTTTTGTTATTCACGAGTGACATGTGCATGCAGGTGTGTCGGCTTGTGATATATGCATTCACTCTTGTATGCTAATGTCTTTCTCACTCTCTCACTCTTATTCTCTTTTTCTGGCCAGCGACCTTTGTTATAAAAATGCAAAGAAATATTGGCATCGTATATTTGCAGACAGACAGTGTCGTCACAGCGAGCGAAAAAATTGCTCCAATTTCCTATTTATTCAAGTGAAATTTAAATGTATTTTCTAGAAAAAAGCAATTAAAGAGAATTTTCATTTTTATAATAAATATTCTCCACATTTCCCGTGTCAACAAATATGCGTCAATTATGACTTATTTGCAAGGAGGAAAAAATTAATTAAACTTTATTTGTATTAGAATTTAATGTTTTTCAAAAATGTTCTCCTTTTGGCAAACAAGAGGAAAATGCAAATTATAAATAATTGGTAAACACTTTTACTAATTGAGCGAAAAAAGTTTATTATCAAATAATTATTATTTTTAGTCAATGAAATTGTATTTGTTGAATAAAAAAATTATTGATTCGAATTCAAATTATTTAGGTGAAATAAATTTAATTTTCAATTTGAGAAATAATGACGAAAGTAGGTATATAAATAGGTATAATTTTATCAATTTTCTAGATGAGAGGGAGAGAAAAAAAGAAAAAAGAAAAAAGAGGAAGGAAGGAAAAGTTTTTAGGATGCTTCAAGTGAATAGAATGTTGCGATGGTAATAAAAATAGTTGGCAGCATAGAGTTTTACTATTAGAGGGGATTGAAGGCGATATCTATGACTCTTGAGGGATCTTGAAAGTACATAGGGTGATATGTAAGGTTTTCTGTCTATGGGGACTTTTATAGGGCTGCACGCATATCGTATTCAGGTCTCTGTTTTCGGGAATTGTAACTCAATGTCCAAATAGGGTTTCCAGAAACAACGATCTTTGCAATAAAAATATTGACTGGGACAGATTCTTGCGTTAATCTATTTATCTCAATAAATTGCTTTATAATGCTCTCCACTATTCAACCTTCTTTTACACTTTCTTTTTTAATTCTTTTGTCTTCAAAAATTCAGTTATTTAAATTAAAAACTTTATATTTATTAAATATTATAAATTTTTTTTTTGAAAGAGACCTAAACGGTTTTCTTTTCTGGAATAATTCATTTTAAGATAAATAATAAACTGTAATTCAATAATAAAAAATAGATAAAAGTTAAGAAAAAAATGCATAATGGACCAAAGGTGATAAAAAAAAGCACTTTTCTCACTCTAAAATAACATTTTAAATTGTAATCTCATTGAAACAAAAGCAGTGATAAATTATTTTCAATTTATTTGTTCGAAGACTAAATAAATTTCTTATTCTCGTAAAATATTTTTTTTAGATATATTTCACTGAATGCTAAACACTGACAAATTGTTTCGAGTATTTAGACAAATAATCCTGTATTCAAGACAACTGTAACGAATCTGAGTGTCGTGCAAGGGCCAAAGATATATTGCCTTTAGGGCGTGTATAAATAGAAAAGAATCTTTTCAATAAACCGGAACTTTTTCCATGAACTCAATATTCTAGTTCATTTTCCAAATTACTAATGCGATTTTTTACAACAAAAAATCTTGGGGATATTTCCAAGAAACTCTATATATATATATATATATAATAAATGTCACACAATTACTTTTAGTACATCAAATAATTATACATAAATTTTAAATGTTCATAAAATTTACGATAAATTATTCAACTGAATAAACAAAAATAAATAAAATACAATTACAATTTTTTCAATTAATTATACCAAATTTTTAAAAACAAAAACACTTACCTAAAATATATATAATTTACGTTCATTTCATTATCCTCAGCTCCTAAAAAAATAACAAAATAAATCTTCGAAAAAGAGTCAAACAAATCATTTTGAAAACAATTTTTTTCGAAACGTTCAACAATTTTTAGATTATGTTTAGAATATTGGATTGTTTTTTTACAAGGTTTCTAAAATTTAACTGAATTCTACTATTCAACAATTATTTAATCAAACATAAAATTTACAAAAAGGACGAAATTAATAAATGTGATGACAAAGTACAAGAAATACCTCATATAATTAGTATCAAAAAATATCTTGAGGCTTATAACGTGCACAACCGAGGTAAAGTTTCTTGCAGTATCACTTTGGCGAATTAATAATAATTTTTGTCCGAATTTAACGAAAAATCAATTATCTCAATTGTTAAAAAACTTTTGATTGACTAGAGTTAATAAAAATATGAAGAGAAACTCTCCACTTTTCACCAATAAAAGGAAATATCGCCATTTTATACGCAAGCAAACAGATGATGCCGAAAATGGCGAGAAACTACAAATTCACTAATACGCATGTTCGCTCCTCGCTCCTCGTATTAAACAGCCAATCAGAGAGTATTTGACGACTACGTTAATCAAATAGTAATTTGCGCGCTAATTTCGAATATTTATTTTACAATCATTTGTAAAGCTTTATTTATTTATAAACAATAACATTTTAAAGTATTTATTGAGAGATATAGTTAAATATTAATATTAAATTAAGTTTTTTTTAATTTCAACATAATCTTACGTAATTATAAAAAAACCAGAGTCAAATTAGTTACATATTATTGTCATTGTTGACTGTTGTTGACAAGTGTTGACAAGCAAAGTGTCCGTGGACGCAAAAGCTGACGATTTATTGTTTTTAATTTTTCACATTTTTCAATAAGTTTTTCCCAAAGAAAGTGAATAGTTTCTGAGTTAAAATAAAGAAAAAGCTTTAATGCACTGGAATTAATATTTTAAAACTCTTATTCTCATCATATTAAAATTTTATTTTACTTTTCATATTTTTATATAAAAAAAATAACCTATAAATTTTCATTTCATACGATAAGTATTATTTCTTTATTTATATTATAAGTTATTTACAATTATTATTCAATTTTGTTTTTCAGGTCCTTGCCTATTTTAAGAGAAAACAAAATATTATTTAAGAAAAATCAACCATAGAAATTGTTTAAATATGGAAAAATTTCTGTTAAACGTAAACGTCAAGTTTCTACTCTCTTTGAAATAGAGATTTAAGAGTTAAAGATTTAACAAATTCACTGCCACGGTTTTTTAATATTGAAAACCAAAATTAGCACATAGTAGTAATTACTGCAGGCGTTAAATTTTTAAGAAGAGTGATAATGACAATTTAAAGCCATATTAGAAACTAAACGAAATGCATTTGCAATTTGTCGCATGAATTATGAATTATAAAAATAAAATACAGAGTATTTTATAACATTTTTCTAAGAACGAAAGTAGAATTTTTTTCTATTTATATCTCTAATATCTTTTAACTGACCTCGACTATTTGGTTTACATTATTGTTTTCACTTGAATTTAAAAAGTAATGTTTGTAATAATATTTATCATTGGGGAGGGAGGGACTTGTGCTAATGCTAATATTTAATATGAATGTTTATGATGCTGTGCATCGACAATGAAAAATCTGATATAAAACACGATACAAAATTTTTCGACTTTATAAACCAACACGCAAACTTTGATTAAAATTAACTGCCTTGTAAATATCGATTTGATGCTCACCTTGATGAATGTTAGGCCAATGTACTGAATTTAAGAAAAATACATTTTTTACCCATTTCTTGTGAGGGTTTAAAAAGTTTTATTTTTAAACTGAAAAAAGCCAACAAATAATTATCAATTACTTCTTAAAAAGTAAAAATTATTCTTGACATTTTTTACCATTTTAGAATTGCTACCTTTTTAAAAAAAATCAATAAAGAAAAAGAATGTAAAGAATAAATCTCGCAAAAAAAGAAAAATATGTATTCTTTTAAAACGATATATTATATTTTCCAATAATGTCTATGTACAAAAAGAAATGTAACTCAAAGATCATGAAAAAAATCAATTTGTTTGAAGATTGGGAATTTTTTTTAAAAATATTATTGTTTAATAACATTTGCAATTTCTTTCCTTGATCTTCTAAAGTGTCTTCACAATTTAAAAGTACTCTTTGAAAAAGCCAAAGTTATGAAGTCTTCTTTCATTTTAACGTTTCTAGAAATTCTATCTCTTTCCATTTATCGTGAGAGAATTTGAATATTCTTTATTGTAAAAAAATGATTTAATTAAAATTGTTTCTTTTTAGAAAAGACTATTAATTTTACATATAGTGAATTTAATACTGAAGCTGAAAGTTATGTGATATATAATAATAATAATTATAATGAAAATATTGGAATTTCCATTCACCTTGATATTTTGTTTTCTAATGCAAAGCCAATTGAGAATTATGAATTAAATTTACTGAAACTAGAGGGATGTTTGAGAACTATAGAAATTCCGACACATTTACCACTACTGCATTTCACGCTGGATCTTCCGAACTAAGCACTTGGGATTTATATGAAAAGCGTAACACTATCGTATTGTTCGGTCTAGTGATTTTCAGAAATATTGTTCATAGAAATTCCAATCAAAATTTAAATATCATTTTTCGAGGCAATTAAAAGTTTTACATATCAGCAATTCAAGAAATTGCAAAGGGAAAGGTTTTAGTGTAGTTTAAAGTTATTACAATAAATATAAAGAGGTTTTACTGTTTCAGCACTATACTTTCCACAATCAGACTTAATACTCAGAGTACCATATTTGGTTGACAATGGAATTTCTTTGAGTTCGGATATAAATTTATTTACTGTCAGACTGCTTCGAAATGATTCATCAATTCCGAAAGATTCAAAATTTCTAATTGTATCACCACGAGAAAAAATTGCCTCCCTCGATTCAAGAAATGGAAGTCTCATTCTACATGCATTGCCCAAAGGAGGTAATTTTTTTTCTTCAAAATCTGAACTGAAAAACAAATTTATTATTCTTATCATTTACAGTTTAACAAAAGTAATAATAATGATAATGAAACGAATTTCTTTTCTTTTAAACAGGAATTGCGAGTGTCATAGTTATTCAAGCAAAAGAACGAAATGGAGATACTGCATCGTTAGAAATTAAAGTGCAACCAGTTCTAATTGAAAATGGACGAGTTAATTGTACCGATTTTATAGAGGTAATTTGAAAAATATGCTATTACATACAACAGTATATGAAAAAAGTTTCCAATTTCAAAAAGGAAAACTAAAATTTCTATTTTTCGATTTTTAAATTCCAAAGTGTTACGTGATGAAGCAAATAGAAATACAGAATAAATGTAGAAATTAATTTTTTACAGGATATGTGCTTTTGGCAAGAAACCAAGTACAGAATATACGAGAATCAACCAGTTTCTATGCTTGGCATTCTTGGGCCTGAAATATACAAAAATATTTGTTCTAATTTCCATGTAACACGCTACGAATTATTAAACGGTAATTTACCTATTTTTCTATTCTTTATTATTTTATTATAAAATTATTTTCTAATTTTTTTTTTATCACCTTTTTATTTTTGTTTCTCTACTTCTCTTGTGAATTTTCATTTGAATTATATATCTATTTTTTGTTCTAATATTTAAAGGAACACAATTTTTCCACGTGGAAGGAAATAGAATTTTCTCAAACGAATCTTTGGATCGGGACTCGAAGGACAATGTCAGAGGCACGGGAGCTCACGTGGATGTTCAAATTCGATGTGTGGTTTGGGAAAGACAGACGGGATTTCAACACGCTGTTGAAAAAACAATTGGAATCGACATTCTCGATCAAGATGACAATCCTCCCGTTGATCAACTTAAGGGAAATCTTGAAATACAATTGACAGATTTTACTTTGGTAAGACATCAACAATTCACATAAAAACGAAAAACTTTAAAATAAAATTAACTTTTTTTTATTAATAAAATGGAATAGAAATTTTATGAATACTAAAATCAAAATAGAATTTGACAATTTTATTAAGTCGACGATTCTTAATCAAAGCGTCATTGTATGCATAATTAAAGCATTGTATTATAGACTTGTTATAAGAATAAAAAGGCGAGGGAAAAAGGAGAATTATAAAGAAACTAAAGAGTGGAAAAAGTGAGCATAAAAAGAGAGATGGAAAGAGATGAAGTGAGGCTTGGGGGCCTGATCCTGATTAAACCCTGGGCTTTTCATATTTCTTCTTTTTCTTTCGATTTCCCTCTATTTTCTCGCACAACTGTCAAGTATAGAAAAGTGACAAGCGCGAGTAAAAATACCGGAATTTTCAGGAAATAGGAAAAAAACCAAAGATCTATTCTAGTAAATCCTCACATAATGTCTTGTCTTTTCATCGGAAAAAGAACTTTCGTTCTCACTCATTACTTCACATTTTTGAAAAAACAAAAAAAAAATTGAATTCTAGAACAAATTTTCTAAAAATTAACTTTTACAAAAAACTTGCTCCCTTTCAAAATATTTCATTTAAGTAGGTTTGTTTCTTGAATTATAAATAATTGAAAATCCTGAAATGTTTAAATAAACAGTTATTGATAACTAAATGTGATGATTTATTAAACAGGGCGACAGACTGGATAAAAATGAACTAATGGTAAAGGATGCGGATGCAATAACCAGTAATCGATACTCAGTCCAAATTCTGGGCGATATTTACAACGCCTTCAATATCACATACGATACTCTGGCGGTGGAAATCGGTCCAGAAGTCCCTTCGTCGACAGTAATTTACACAAGTTAGTTATTACTGAAAAAAAATTAAAAATCGAATTCAATTAAAATTTTAGTTTTATTTTTAAAAACACAACTTGAAAAAGTATTATTTCAAGATATTGCTGGTGAAGAAAAATTAATAATGTAATTCTTTAATGATAAACTTTAATCTCTATGAGGAATGAACGTTAACCACTTGGCAGCGGTTTTTAGAAATATTTAAAAATATTTTTATCAAGTAATGAGCTTTTTAGAGTAACAAGTTTGTTCTATAAAATTTCTTTAAAAATATTTTTAATACAATACTATTTAAAATTCTTTATATATGTAAATGTAAAATAAAATTTATTAAAAAAAGAAATTTTTCATCCACAGGAATTTATTCTAGGATGACATTGCTGCCAATATCACCTTACCGAGTAGTTCTTCAAGTGAGAGACGAATCTCTTCTTCCAGGATATGGCAACAATTCGGTAAGAATTTTTTTCATTTAATATTTAGAGACGGTGGATCGCGAAATTTAAATATTTTCCTGGTGGAACATTTCACAGAAATAAAACAAAAAAAAATAAAATAAATAAAAATTGGTCGTTGGAGTGTAAAACGAATTTGATGGACGCCCACAGCTGTCCATCATGTCGACAACTTTGCAGTAAATTTGCGATTAAATTTTGTTCGGAAAATCAATGCCACTCCCAAGAAATTATTTGAATCTGGGTTTTAATTGAACTATAATCATGAAATATGCTTTTAGGAGAATGAATATCCGTCTGAAATAAACCGAATGTTCGATTATTTTTAAAAAAGTATTTACCTCTCTTATTTTTAACTCATTATTCTTACTTTTGAAAACCTCTTTTCATCACTGTTTTATTTGAAATTCTGATTACTTTAATCGACGATTGGCAACAGAATCCAAATAGTTTCGCTTATTTTCCTCAGGAAGTTTCTTTCACTTAGATTGTATCAGTTTAGCAAATGGACGCAATTTATTTTCTACCTTATTCTTAAAATGTCTTCATTGCAAGTGACAGTGTGTGGAGATACAGGATATTGAAAAAAATTGTTCAATTTTTTTCTGGGGACACAAACGTCTTTATAAAAATTTCTTTTTAAATTACTTATTGAAATTTAAAATTATTTAAAAGTGGAAGTTGATTAATTCCTGTGCTCTTCTTTTTCTTTCATCTTGTAAAAGAAATAATATTTGAAGCAAAACTAATGAATGCGGAAAATTTACTATAAAAGAAAAATCCGAGAGGAGAAACTGCAACACAGTAATTTAGTAAAAATGTTCTTTTTCGTATTTTTTAGATGTTTTGCGGTAATCTAAATCCAAGTTACTTTATTTTTATCCACGAAGAGTAACAAGGAGCAACAATGAGAAAAAGTCTGAAAAGAAAATAAAGGCCTCCCCAACTTTAAACTTTTAATCTGAATACTATGTTGCAAAGCTACCTGGTAGTGGGTGGGTGTTTAAATTGGATCCGGCTGAGGAAATAAATCTCTCTATAATGTCTGGCTTTCCCTGCAGCGATATCTGGCTGGCCCTTACAGCTGAAAAAGCATCTATGCAACTGAAAGTCCGATTACTTTTGTAAATTGATCCCCTCTTTTTTTTAAAAGGAAAGTCATCATTAACTTCCTTTAAATATCGCATTCATCGAGACGCTGCAAAAGAAAAGGAAATAGTTCTATAAAACCAGCTAATCAAATTAATTTATAATTAATTAAAATTCCAATTCGTCGTAACACATTATAGAGAAAAACAACTAAAATTAATTATTTTCCATAGGTATCAATTCATAAAATGAAATCTATTTATTATTTCACAAAGAATACAAGTAGAAAGCTTTATAATTAAAAACACAGTATCAAAGTTTATAATTGGATAACGAAATATTTCCATTGAAATGAATTAAGTTGGAAAATTGATAAAAGTTTAATTACTTTTATTCAAATAAAGAAATCTATTTCATAAAAATTTATTAACTCGGTACTATTTCGCGACTGCTGGGAAATAAATTCAGCTAATTAGCATTAAAATCATTAATCAAAATAATAACAATAATAGAAAAATATTATTTGATTAATATTTTACAATTTCACAAACTAAAAATAAATACTTTTTTCTCGTTGCAAAGTATTAAAAAAATGTACCTAATGGTACAGATCCATCACTTTTTCTTCATTAATAATTAATATTAGCTTGCATTATGGAAAATTAGAGATTAATACTCGGAAAGTGAATTTAGGTCTTGGTGATCGTGTAAACTTAATTTCCAAGAAGTAGGAAATTCAAACTAAAGCGAGTGCAATGAGAATACAATAAGATAGCAATTAAGAATTAAGAAGATTTGTAATTAAGAATCAATTAGGGATGGAAGCATTAATTTGACGATGTTAAAAAAACTAATAACTGTCGTAAAATAGGTATATTAATCTACTTTTATTTCAAATTGAAATGCCATTTAAAAAATCAAACTTTAGTTAAATGACCATACTTAGGAAAATATAAAAATCACTTTTTAATGAATTATGGTCTGTTTTTTGGTATTATCTGAAAAATTGAACAATACCTCAATTTAAAACATCGCTTTTCTCGTAAAAATTAAACTAAAGTGAAATAAATTTCTAATAAAAGGAAGATACAAGACTTTAGTCTAAGAAAACCTTGAAGATCGATTTACCAGTTTGCTAACATACCTTTATAGATCTTTTACTCACTTCAGTTTCCCCAGTGTTGCTTGATACCCACACGGATATTTAGTTGCCGTAGAATTTAAACTGAAAGATATGCGCTTCGAAGTATTTTATTTTACCACGCTTTCCACGTCACTCCTCCTTTAAAAAAAAAATAAAATAGTAACATCAAAAAGAAAAAATAAATTTAATACACTCGAGTGAAACAACAATATTAAATTAGAAAAATATCCAGAACATTTCCAAATAAATTAAAATTAATTTTAACGCTTTTTTCAGGTCAATATAAATTTAGTTTTTGTGGGACCTCAACATCATACAACAACATCGACAACGTCCTTACCAGTTCGACAAACAATCTCCTACCCAGGAAGTGTAAAAATTGCACGAAAATCTTCGCAGTATTTTCGTGTTGCTCAGCCCATGAACCAGTCAAACCCAAAGCTTTTATTCAGTCTGACTGGATCAAAAGCTTTCAACATCACCCGGAAAGGAGGAATAATTTTCGTCTCGAATCCCGATCTTCTTTCTGCTCTTTCGTCTCCATTTCTGTGAGTATTCCCTAAAACAATAAGATAATATTTTTTAGCCAGAAAAGAAAACTTTTTCATTTTTAACAGAATATTTTAAATTTTATTTAATTAATTCAAAATTTGTAGATTAAAAGCGGAATGGAAGGCACCTGATAATAGTATTTCTTCATCTCAAATAACAATTCATTTGATCAACATTTCCTCGCTAAGTAACGATACTTGTGATTTAAATCAATGGGCATCTCGTTCGTGTGCAAATTCTGAATCCAGAAAAGATTGCGAAGCCAGATGTGGAATTGGCAGTGGTTTATTAAGGTATAATCAAAAATTTAAAAAAATTAACTTTTTATTCTCAACTTTTAAGAAGAAATTATATTTTTATTCTGTTGAAAGTTTTATAATAAGTAACAATTTTTTTTTTTTTTTTTTTCAGTAATAGTGAATATAACGGCCATTGCATTTGGAGATTGAACAATGCCAATAATCCTGCAGCCGGATTAACCGAGAGATACGAAACATGCTCTCCAGGTTTGATTCATTGCCCAGATCGTATTTGCGATGAACTCGAGGTTCTTGATCATAGAATTTGTCCCCAAGACTGCACGATCGAATGTGAGTTGAAATTAAAAGAAACTTTGGAAAAACTTCAATAAAGTCCTAAAGTCAGACTAAAAAAATGAATTTTATAAATTAAAAACATGATGGGTTAAAGATTTTTTGATTTGTAATGTTTAAGATGTATTATTATTATTATTTCTATTATGTTAGTAAATTAAATTAAATGTTTACTAAAAGCCAAGAATCAATTGAAAAAAATATAAAGATATAAGACAAAATTGCATAATAAAAGTTGAAAAAATTGGATCTCACTCTAAGAGATGATTAGAAAATGGACTGTCATAAAAAGTTTAATTAACTAGAAGAATTGAAGGGAAGAATTTCAATTGTTTTATTTACAGCTGAAGTGCACTTTGGCGAAATGAACAAGGGTGGAAGAGGAATACGAAGCGGATTAGGGATTTGTACTTGCAATGACATGATGCAGTGCACCTGTGGTCTGGACTCTTTCCAGATAAATGGAAGCCGAGATCGAAGTACCAGAGGGAAAGATGGAAAAGATGGTTCTAAATGGAAAAAAGATCGTGAAAGTGAATTCGTACCGGTCGTTTCGGACGCTCGTAAAGGTGAGCTTCAATAAAATATCACTCTCTTTCTCTCTCACAATCTTTAATTAAATTTCAAACAACAAATTGCCCTGCACAAGCTGACGCAAGATTTATTCGCCTCATCATTTCGTCCTCAATATGCAATTTTCCATTTTTTTAAAACAATTTAGTGTAAAAAATACCATTTTACTGTTCTCAGCATCCAATGGATCTTGTGGACCAACCTGTTTAATTGGCGTCATTGGCTCCAGTTTTTTCCTTCTTCTAATAATTGTCGGATTCTTCGTCATGTGGAGATATCGGTGACTATGTTTTCAATTATTAATTTTACATTCAGTTCAGCTAATTTAAATTACTCATATATATATCATTAATTGAAAATAGTTAATATTTATACTTTTTGTCAAATAAATAAATATTTTTTTTATTTAAAAGAAATAGGCGAAAAGTTTTGAAAAATCTTGCATGTTCCGATGAACGGATTTTAATTCCTGGCTTGAAAATAAGATAAGGGATGAAAAAATACTTATCCGTTCTTTTTTGCATATCTTTTCCACGTGAATCGCCTGCTGTGGTAATTTATCGTGAGTTTACCAACAAACGACTCCGATTATTACACACACACACACACTGCGTGCATTTAGGTCGTGTAAACAATTTTTCATATGGGCTTCATTCTGGTAAAACATGATCCTGTTCAACATTTTCTTTCTTCGAGTAATTTTCCTTATCAATTAATTCATTGCTTGCTACACTTAGTCATTTCGTTTAACACGTACTTTTCCTGACATTATCTTCCAACTATATTTGAAAATTTCATTAAATCAAATCTGAAGCAGATTAGAAAAATTAATTTATCATTGAAAAAGAAATTATTAATTACATTGTCAACATTTTTTCAAAACAAGTATAAAAATAATACCTAATAAAATAATGTTTTATTTAAGGAAAGAAAGAATGTGGAAATAGAATATGTAGTTTTATTTAGAATGAAGCGCATAAATAATTTGTTTAAATTTAAAGGTCCCGGTCAAGACACAATTACCAAAAGATCACAATAATCATTTATCGATTTTCCTTCCCTTTTAGAAGGTAAAATGACCTTTGACAATATAAAAAGTTTTTCCCGTGGACGTGGGTCGAAACAAAAGGGGTAAAATATAGAGTAACTCGAGCAAAAGCACGTAATTTGTTTTTAAAGACCTTTTCTTTTAAATACATAAAGTTTCTCTTTTCAATTAGTAGTAACTGTCTCTTCTATTTAATTGTCGCCTCCATTAAGTACTCATTTGAAATCGAAAACTTAATTTGTCATTTAAAACAAAGTGGCAATATTTCTAGATTTTATCATCAGTTTAAATACCTATTGCTAATTAATAACTAATTTTTGAATTCGAAATTAATAATAATAATAATAATAATCCTTTACAGAGTGGCACTAAAAGGATCCCGTCGTGACTGCAAACACAGAAGAGAAAATGGAACAAATGGTTTAGGAATTTTGCCCTCGGATTATATTGAGAGAGGAGATGGACTTCTGATTGGTCTCGATTCTCTCGCAGGTGTAAATCGATCTCTCCTGCTTCCTAAGAGCTCTCCGGTGAGTTTTTTTTAAGTTAACAAATAATCCAATTAAGGAAAAAACTACCACTTGTAATAAAGTAATTTAATTGAATTTATTCTTTATTATTATGAAACAGGAAAATGTCACGTGTATGACATTTCCATAATCCTTGCTTCTGAAAATTAATGCCAATGACTTTTGAACTAAGTCTCGTGAGAAACTTGTATCTGAACGTATTATTATCATTGGAAAATGTTTCTTGCACATTATTGCACTCCAATGTAAAGTCAAAAACTTGGCTCCATTATCTAAAACAAACAGTTAAATTGCTTTCCATTATCATGTTCTGCATAATCAATGTTTAAATAAGAGCAACACACTCTAATTACAAATATAGCTAGTTTAATATTTTTAAACATTAATTAATTTCCAATTATTTTTAGAATAATCGAATCCAAATCAGCGTTTGTATAACTTTTTCACTCCACTAGTTTTTTGGATTGAAATCAGTACTTTTAATGGATTCTTCAGTTTTTAATATAATTCTACCATTTTGTGGCGCTAGTTTTTGATAGAAATATTTTATTTGAAAAATCTGGAAAGCTCTTTTTCAAGGTCGACGAATATTCGTTATTCCTTGGCTTCCTTGGGGAAGAGATAAAACTACTTCCTGCGAGTCTCAAGTTCTCGAATGTACAATTGCAACTGTATGTGAGATTGTCGTGATAAGAATTCGAGTGCATAATTCACCCCACAATAGTCGCTGTACTTGTACTCCGTTTTAGTCGCCGGAAATTGTCTTAGAAGTAGTTTACGACGCACGGATAAGCCACTAAAACGAGATAAAGTCAAGTATCGATCGAACCAAATTACATGATATACAAGTAAAATTTTACGAGAGCAACAACGATGCTTGTTGAATTTTAAATCTTAAAACAGTCATTTCAAAATTTTCCCTGGCAAGTGTCACCTTCAACATACAAATAAAAAATTACAAAGTATTCTATTCTACAAGAAGTAGAATGATAAGCCATTAATATAAAAAAAAATGGTTAGACAAAAGTCCACTCTATTTTTGTCTTCATAATCTTTCACTTCACATTAAATTAATTATCCTAGATTCGTATTTGATCTCAGACGAAATTAACATTTAACTTCACATTAGCTTTTATCAAACTTTATTTAAAGTGACTTTTAATTTACTTCATTTGATAAAAAATTTAATTTTAATTCAACCCTCCTATCATCAAATTGGTTTTTTAATCTTGATTAAAAACTAGACTACATAATGTATTTCGTTTAACTTTGCTTTTGTGAGATTAAAAATAAGTTTATAATTTGACTATTTTGAAATAGCTGATTATTTATTTGATGAAAATAAATGTTTAAAATGCAGTTTTAATAAATAAATAATATGGAATACCAAAATAATGTTGAATTTGTGCGCTTTCAGCCGGATCCAAAATGGGAATTTCCTAGATCTCGGCTAACGATAGAGCAAGTATTGGGCGAAGGTGAATTTGGCAGAGTTTTGCGTGCGAAAGCGTTGGAAATTGGCGGATGGACAGGTTTGACAACTGTTGCTGTAAAAACTCTCAAGGAAGATGCCTGCGCTTCTGAATTGGCGGATTTGCTCTCTGAATACCAGCTATTGAAGGAGGCTCAACACCCGAACGTTATTCGTCTCCTGGGGGCTTGTACTTCTCCCGATGGACCTGTTTATCTCATCATCGAATTTGCCGAGTTTGGTTCATTGAGGTGAGGAAAATCGTTTGTTGATGTGAAATCGATAATATAATATCGCCTGACCTGAAAATAATGCAAATGCCAAACATTAACTTCATTCAACTGTAAATTTATTCTTATTTTCGAATTTACCTCAAATCAAAATTGTTATTTTACATCAAATTTAATTTAAAGAAAGAAAGAAAGAAAGAAAGAAAGAAAGAAAAAAAAATTCAATTTAAAATCGTTTTCTTGTTGTATTAAAAATACTCTCTTAATAGAGAATTTTTGATATCTAAAATTTAAATTAAATGAAGTGATTGAAGGGTATGACCACTTTCTATGCAAATTCAGAAAGACAGTATTTCCTTCTTGGTTTATTTGGGCTGTTGTTGTGGCTGTTATTGCGAATGCGGAAATAGTTGAATGAATTCCACATCAATAGCACGCATACCAAAAGAACAATAACCGACGAGTCTTGCTCCAAATTTTAAGTAATTAAATTTTTTCACTCTACGGTATATTCTTGATTAAAGAATTCTCACGTGACTAAAATAATTTCATCTACATGTTTTGAAATGCTTTTCAAAAAGCGACATACCTCTGTATAAATTAATCAAACAAAATTAAAAAGAATAACTTATTTTCATTTTATTTAGATAAAATATTTTTCAATTTAGAAAATTATATTCTGTTTTCTTTGTATTTTTAAAGGAATTATTTAAGACGCAGTCGCCACTTAGAGTCGGAAGGTAGAGTTCCATGTTCAACGTCTTTGCTTTCGTCATCTCCAAATAATATTATTCAGGAAATACAGACGGATCTCCCATCAAATTATACAATTACACCACGAGATATTTTGTCCTTTGCTTGGCAAATTAGTAAAGGAATGGCATATCTGGCCGATATCAAGGTAAAAAAATGCTTTTAAATAAAACTAATAAAAAAATAATTTCTTTTTAAATTCTTTTGTAGCTGGTACACAGGGATCTTGCGGCACGAAATGTTTTACTTGCGGCTGGTAAAGTTTGTAAAATTTCCGATTTTGGTTTGACTCGCGACATTTATGAAGATGACGCTTATTTAAAACGCAGCAAAGGCCGAGGTAAAAACAAAAAAAGAATACACTTTTGTAATATTCTTCTCGTTTGAAAATGGCTCAAGAGCAAATTTTAATTTCCAGTTCCAGTTAAGTGGATGGCGCCAGAGTCTTTAGCTGATCACGTTTACACGAGTAAATCGGACGTATGGAGTTTTGGGGTTCTTCTTTGGGAATTAGTTACTTTAGGAGCTTCTCCTTATCCAGGAGTAGATGTCCATAATCTGTATAATCTTCTCAAAGCTGGATATCGTATGGAAAGACCAGCAAATTGTTCCCCTCAACTGTAAGACATTTTTTACTTTAAGAAATTACATGCGTTTTTAAATATTCATTTTACTTTCAAATATTTAAAAATGAAGCACTACGTGAATTATTAATAAAATATTACTTTCTTCCAAGATACAAATTGATGGTCTCCTGTTGGCATGACGAACCAGGAATGAGGCCTTCATTTAAAGAGTTGACATTCCACTGGGAACGTATGTTGGAAGACGGTGTTGAATATTTAGATCTGAATCCACGAACAGTTCACAATCAAGCGTATTTCGCCTCTCTCCATGCTCTGGATAGTCCTACAAGTAAATAAATATTTGCATTCAATTCTAATTTTTAGAATTTTTAGTAATTTACTTTTTTTAAAAAATGTATATAATAATAAAAATTATGGAAATTTACATATTTTTAATTTGTTTTAGAATCGCCTAGCGATAGAATTTTAGACGGCGGTCCAACGACAATAAGGACATTGGGCTCAAATGCGGTGAATTATTTAAGTAAACCATTCTTCGAGCCGGTAACAAAAAGCGATAAAGTGGACAAGTTGCACACTCTTTGGCAAAATCCCATCGCCTCATTTCCTGAGGAATGCATAAAATCGGCATATGTAAATGATCGTCCCTCCAATATGAATATTAATCACTACGAGTCTCCAATAAAATTTCGTAATTCCAGTGTGACAAGTAACAGTGAAAATGATCTGTCAACTCCCACAGCGCAGTCATATATTGACATGCAGGGAAAACAAGTGTGCGTCGATCAAGATCTTCTACTTTTCAACAATAACGTTGAACATCAATCCGCGGTTTAGTCTGAAAAATGAACCGCATAATTGTAAACTCGTGAAAAAAGCTGTTGAATACAGCAATTGAAAAAATTAAAGAATCGATATTCGCTCTCAGTTCTTCGAAATCAATGTAATTTTCTCGAAAATCTGAGGAATAACAGAAACAGAGAGAAAAGAAAATACATTGTGCGTTTTTAAGAGTCTGTTTGGTGAGCATATGTTATGTTTTGTTTAAAAGAAAAGGAAAAGAAAACTCGAAAAACAAGAAGGATTTTTTAGTGTTCCTCTGAAGGAAGATTTGTAAATAAAAACAGTTATATGATTTTCGCCAATGAATCTAAGTCAAGTCTTTAAAGAAAGAAAAGCAATAGTCGTGATAGATGAAAGAAAAATGTAGGAAAAAACCAAAGAAATTAAACGAAATAATCAATATTTTTATCTAATGAAACAGCGTATCGTTAAAATGTAATTGTCGATCTTATCTTATAATTAGTCGAGCCTTAACTTTAAAAAAAGTAAGATGTGACGCGATAAACATTTTGCATTTTCATAAAACTTTATCTTAAGCGAAAGGAATTTTTCACCAATAAATTGTTGAAGAAAAACAAAAAGAAATTGTTGAGTTCTATTTACATATGTATAACTTTTAAAACCAACGAGTTTAACATTCTTATGCAAAATATTTAAAACAAATATTCTAAAATTGAAAACAACAATTATTTAAACATTACTTTATTATAATTATTATAATCTACTAATAATTACATAATTTTTTCAAAATCTAAAACTTTTTCTTCATCGAAAGCATCAAATTGCTGAAAAAACTGCTGTTTATAATTTTCTTCGCCTAATAGAATATTTTTTTAACACAAAACACATTTTTTAAAAACCCGTAAACTACAAAACAAAACTACAATACAAAATATTTTAGAACTTCCTTAAATCTATTTTGTATAAAAGATTCCTAACTTTTCTAACTACCATTTATAAGCCACACTTATTGAGCAAGATCTTTTCGTTGTATTCAAACCATATCCTGACAATATAAGACTGTGTTTTCCTTATCTAATCAAAGTTTCAATTAATATCAACAATTTTGTATTTATGTATAAAAATCACATTCCAGTAGTATCACTTATAAATATTTTCAAATGCATACCTCATAGAAAAAGCTCGCATTGCTTTAAGAAACAATTTTGAGAAGTTGAATAAGGAACTAAACTTTTTTACTTTCACATATTTAAGTACTTATAGAGCTTATTAATATGTCTATAATAAGCAAGTTTCCTGCGACAATCTCCACAAAAAAAATATAAATTTAAAATACCAAAACAAAATAAATGTTATAGGTACTTTTTAAAAATTTCATTAATACAAAATAATAAAAATATAATTTAAAAGAGAATATTAATTTGTTATTATACGGAAAGTAAAAATGTTTGCTTCTTGTTACTCGTAAAGACAGATTTGAACAATGTCTGATTGTCTATCACGGCCAATTAGCTCGCCGTTATTAAACGCTTGTAATTACTATGTAATAAAATAAATCGCATACTTATGCAAAAGTGAAAGAAACACTATTCAATACTGTGTACCAAACTTTTCGCTAAATCTCTATGAATACATCTCCACTTTTTAATCGGAGATAATTCAAAATTTTTTTATTCTTTATACAATTAAATTTTTGAAATATAATTTGAATTTTCAACTAATTTAATTTAATTACATTTAAAATGTTTATTCAATTAAAAATTATTATTATTATTATTTTTATTATTATTATTATTATTATTATCACTTTTATGAATTTCAATTTTTTATCACATTTAATATTTAAAATTTAAAATTTTTAATTATTTACGTGGATTTTAATCTCGAGTCATAATTTTAAAATAATTTAACAATTTTCTTCTGGAAATGTTATAGAACTCTCCTTACTTTAATAAAACTATTTAAAAATCTTAGTAAAAAATGTTTTCAAGTCTTTTGACTTGTAAATTTTATACAAACTCACAAATCAAACAATCACAATGACAATGACAATTTTTCCGATTAAAAAATAATATATAGGAAAAATAGTGCCAAATAAAAAATAATATTACAAAATATAAATACTTGTTTAGTTAAAAAATATTCAATTCATTGAAAATTTCAATTTAAAAGAATATTAAACTGTGAAAATTGTTTTGCACTTATTTACACCAACCTTCAAATTCGATTAAAATTTTTCCCTAAAATAAATAAATTCTTCATTCATTAATAAAATTAATGAAATTAATGAATTAAAAAAATCAAACATAGTCTTCGAGATCAGTCTAAAAATAAAGAAAAAAGTGAGATTACAAATCTAACTTATCAATATGAAATTCAGATTCATCATTAGGAGTCACGTAAGGATCGTTTCGTTCATCAACATTGTCGCCGAGTAAGTTGAGCTCTTCGATATTTGTTTTGAAATATTTCGGACTCACACTTCCGTCCGTAATATTCAGATCCTTGTCATCAGTCTCTTTATCATGATTCAGATCGAAAAATGTCTCCTTGCTCACTGGCATTAAAAGATTATCTGTCAAAAAATTTACGTCATTTTTTAACTCGCAACAACTAATAAGTCTGCACATAATAATTACTCTTGCACAAATTCAAATTTATAAGATTAAAGCATCAAATTTTTTTGTAAATTGTTTAAAACAAAATTAATTAATTAAAATTTGTGGAAAGTAATTAAACAAATTAAATGCTTACCTTATTTACCAGTTTAAACACTAAAAAATTACAGATAACTGAAATTTAAAAAATTAAATTCTCACCAGTCTCGTCCAAATTTCTTGGATTTTTGTCTTCACCATGAAGAACTTGGATTTTGGCGACTTTTACCGCCTCAATAAAATTTCTTGACGAAACCCCAAAGATTTCGATGCTCTCAACTTTGTGAATAGTTTTCACGAGTTTCTCTAAATCATCAGGAAGAAAAAATCGTTTAAAATGTCGAGCTTCCTGTGGGACACTGTCCAATTCACAGTAAGGAAACTGGAGGGAATAATAATTTTTATCGCCCTGAGGATAATTTTCTTTGAGCAATCTTAAAGATTGTTTGTCCATGTTAAGATAAATCACAGGAACAGTGACATCACTACGAGGTGGTGATGATGCTATTAAAATAACATCTGCACTGTGGAATGCGTCATTACACCAGAGGCCAGGGTCCTGCGAAAGAATAACGACAAATGAAAATTTTAATTTTATTCCAAATCCAAGAGATTTGTACCTTGCTTGTAGTTTCTGGAATATCTAATGAATCAATCATTGCATTTATGCTGCAGCCTCTTAAATATTTCGTCAGCTCGATCATGACGTGCACATGAGCGGAATGTGTCGGCGAATAAACCAACAGGCAATTTGGTTTTACATCCGTTTCCTTTAACATCACTGTTTTGTCACAGGGAAATGAATATTTAATTAAAATTTCACAAGTTCGTATTTATTTATAAGAAAGCATTTTTTTAATTTTATCAACAAAAATAAATATTGTTTCATTATTTAAGAGGCCTTGTACGGTTTTTTTTCTCAATTATTATTAAATAAGATGTTCGTAAATTTTAGGCTCTTTTTTTATTGTGCTCTCAATCAGAGATAATCAATTCTCAGTCCACTTACCTTTCTTTTTGTAGACTTTGTAGACGTGGTACATTGCATATAAAAGAACAGGCGGAATCCAAATGACACTTATAATCATTATCAAAAGACGATGTGAAACTTGTTCTAAAAGAAAAATGTTAAAAATAGTCTGCAAAATAATCAATACATATACCTAAGGAAATAAATTTATAAATTACTTATGCTAATTAAAGGTGAAGTGCTGTTTACACAGCCATATTCGACGCAGTCCGAATGCAATGTTGCAACTTTAAAATAATAAACTCCCTCATCAACGGGGAAAGAATGCTGAATATGTCCACTTCGTTTGTCTCGAAAAATGAGATCAATTACTTTACCGGTATTATTATTTATTAACCAAACTCGATATTCAGAAATATTTAATCTTACTGGTACGGTTTGAATAAATAATGTCAATGACACTGTATCCGAAACATCAACGTAAACAAAAGGCGTGAACATTTTCACATCACGCACTGTGTCATCTGAAATAAAAAAAAATAAATATACAGAATTTTTTACTATAAAATTATTACTGCAATAAGAACATAGTTAAAAGAATATTTTTACCAATAAATCTGTGTCTTGGTACGATAAATACCAATTTTCGACTGTATTCATAATTATGAGATTCTATCAAATACTCCAATCGATACGGCGTTGTTTCGTATGTTTCATCGGAAAATGGACACGATACAAAAAAGTCTTTTGGCCATTGTTGAGTTGTATTTCCATAAAATTCAACATGACGACATGCCGACAATTTTTCTTGACTTACACTTTGATATCTTGTCACGAGCTCTGCAATCGCAATAATCAATAATAAAAATACTTTCCAAATATTGTAAATTATTAATTTAATGGAAAAACAATTTTTTTTACTCACTTCGAAAATTAATGTCTGATATAGAAAGATTAAAAGCAGTTGCTCTATCTTTAAAATTTCCCGAATTTCCGACCACTACATAAGCTGATAATTTCAAGTTTACTAAAGGAACTCCTTGTGGTGGCAAATGTCCTAAATTGTCGAATTTTAAATGCACACATTCTAAATTGAGAAAAAGATAAATTATTTTTTTTTAAATTTGAGACTATTTCAATTGTAAAATATTATAAAATTTTTAAACTACAAAATTTGAATCTAATAATTATTAGTTATTCAATTGATTAGTTTAATCGTAGTTCTATTAATTATTTATAAAATTATTTTCGATCAGGGAAAGAACCATCGATTGACCAATATCTGTATTATTTCTTTAGAAAATAAATTTCTACCTTTCTCCTTTCCTACAGATGCCAGAAAGCACAGCATTCCAGATTCTTGATTGTGGCATTAAGAAATGTCAAGTACACAAAATCGTTTAAATAAATCGAATAGTTATTTTGATATATTTTTCAAAAACCGTAAAAATTAACACACGCAAAGATTTTTGCAAAAAAAAAAAAGGATTTAGAAAAAGCTCAAACAAACAATTTTACTTTTCTGCACTGATAAAAAAAATGCATGGTTCTCTACTGAAAGGCAAAAGCTGTCGAAAAACAAAATATGTAAAAAGGAAATTTTTTTACCTTCACCTCTCTCTACAGGTGTTAAGAGGCACAATATTTCCAATTCCGGTTTTAACAGTGTCTAAAAGAAAAATAGAAATGATAATAAAAATTATTATTGACAGTTGTAAATTATTTACATATAAAAACATAGTGACAATTAAAAATAGTAACAAATAAATAATAAGGATAAATAAAAAGTTGAAAACTTATAAATTAACATGGGTAATAAAAAAATATAAGAATAGTATAATTAATGTAAAAACCAGAATTTGATATTTGCTTTCAAAGCACGACAGTTATTTTGATATAACTATATTGTCAATATCATTACTCAGAAGCCTTATTAAAACCTATATAGTGTCACTCTTCTTAGGCTTCATATTATAAATGTTTTACTTTTTGTGAAATTAATATAAACCAAGTCTTACAAATAATCAATTATAATTATCAAAGGAATTTTAAAAGAAATAATCAAATTTATCAACAAAGAAATTTTATACATATAGGTACACTAAGTGTGTGGATAAACAAGAAAATTTAAAAATTCTTAAAATATCTTACCTTATTTTGACAATAATTAGGATAACAAACATTGGCATTTTTAATTTTAACAAGACAATATAAAAGAAATACAGAAATATATAACTTTGTATACATTTTTTATAGGTTATAAACACAGCAATCTGGGGGGCCTGGAGGGCATTCACAAAAATAAATGTGTCACAAATTCTTTTAAAACATTCAGCATATTTGTATACTACTTGTAAATTTCATTTAAGAACACTTGTTCAGCTACATAAATGCACAAAACTAATAATTGTTTAACAATTGTTTTTTTTTTATAAAATCTATAAAATATAAATATTTTTGTGTTTTTTCTTTTACCATGAAACATAATTTAAAGAAAAGACAGGTGAAATATTATTTTGTTTACATATCAATAGATGGCAATGAAACCAAAAGTCTCCAATCTATATCTTATTGGAATTTTAATTTTGTCAATGGTTGAATGTTGAAAACGCGCAGGAAAAACGTGGCCATTGAGAAAAATGAGAAAAATAAACCGAATTGTAAACGAAAAAATTATTTAAATTGATTTAAAAAATGTTAATGATCAATATGAATGGATAGTTCATGTGATAAATACATATACAACTATTATATATTATATTCTCTACATACAAATGTGGTACACTAGAAAGCAATTTTTAACCTCAACATTGTTTACATCAGCTCGAATAGTGCAACAAATTAATTTTAAATCTAATCTTCCAACTTGCATTTATAATATGGAAGAAGCATATTTACGTTTTGGAAAAGGTCAAGAAACCTTTAACTTCACCTTTAGGTATGTAGATAATGAATTAAAAATAGATAGACAATTCAATTTCAATAGAAGATCAAACGAACCTGTATCTGCATTTTTAAAGAGGATTGACTGTAATGTGGGTAAAATTATTATTAAAAAAAAGCTACAAAAATCCAAGGTACAAAAGAAAGCTGAGAAGAAATTAAATAAAGATCAAGAGGCCAAGGAAAATAGCGATGAAATTGATGAGGACAGATCAATTAAAGTGGCTCTTTTAAAAAATGAAATAACTGTCGAAGATGATACACCTTGTGAAATTGCTTTCGAAAATGTTTCTCAATTGACCTTACAAATTTCGGAATCGAAATTTTCAATCAAACAAAATGTACCTTGGATTGAGGAGATTTCTCTACCTCAAAGCATTTTAGTCGGCTTTCCCACGTATCCATCTAAATTTATAACCAGCTTTACAAACATCAAGGATTCAAAGTTTATGTGGTATAAGAATTTAAGGTCAAGTACACCGAATAAACCTCCCGAATGGAAGGAAATAGGAAGGGGCTATTTTTACATACCAACATCGGAAGACATGGGATATAAATTAAAATTAGATTGTATTCCCGCAAATGAAGAACAAAGGGGACCCTGCATGGAAATAGAGTCACCAAACTTAGTGGAAGCTGGTCCAGGTCGTTGTCCTTTTGAAAGTAGGCATGCTTTTACGACAAATCAATTGTCCGGCAATAGGTATAGTATAATTATTTAAATTTGAAACATTTTACAAGAAGAGTTACTTTCTATTTAAACAATAACTTTTTCAGTTTCAGAGTATTGTCATATAATCTATTAGCTGATACGTACGCCGACTCAGATTATTCCAGGGGAGTTTTATTTCCTTATTGTCCACCTTACGCATTGCACATAGACTATCGAAAACAACTTTTACTCAAGGAAATAATAGGTTTGCATTAGTTTAGAGAAAGTCAATTAAAGGAATTTAAGAAAGAACTCATGTTTATAATATTCTCGTTTTTAAGGATTTAATTCAGACATAATATGCCTGCAAGAGGTGGATGATAAGATATACACTGCTGATTATGAGCCAACATTGTCCGTTTTGCATTACGATAGTGTTTTTAATCGAAAAGGTGCTGAAGTAGTGGAAGGGCTTTCCACTTTTTATAATAAAAAAAGATTTGAGAAACTTGACTTTAATTCTGTTATTATTAGTGAAAATTTAAATTTAGAAAGTTTCAAATCCACGTGGGAAAAAATTGAAAATGAAAAAACAAAAACTAGATTTATGGAGAGAAATACATCAGTGCAAGTAAATTAAAATTTCATTTTTTATTGTAATTATAATTTTATCTGAACCTTTTGAAATTAATTTTTATTATACCTATTAGTTACTCAAGTTTTTAGTAATTATTAACAGGTGACAACTTTAAAATTCAAAGAAAATCCCTCTGAAATACTTATTGTTGGCAATACTCATTTATATTTTCATCCAAATGCCGATCACATACGTTTACTGCAAGGTTTCTTTGCAGTGTTGTATGTCAAACACATTGCCGAAAAAGTTAAAGAACAGGTATTTTTTAATTAGCAATTTAAAACGATAACTTTTTAAGAAATCTTATTTTCAATTACATACATAAACCATTGAATTAATGAATGTATTATTTCTTTTTCAGAATCCTGATTGTAATGTCAACATTATTTTGTGCGGTGATTTTAATAGTGTACCAGATTGTGGAATATATCAACTAATGACTACAGGATTTGTACCTAGCGATTTTAAAGATTGGAACAGTTGTGAGTAATTTTTGCATGTAATATTAAAATTCATACATTTTTAAAAAATAAGAATGAAACTTTTCAATGTACCTAAATATAAAAAATAAATTTTCAGACTTAATAATTCACAAGTGTATTTACTTTTACAGTTCCAGAGGAAGCGGTGACGAATATTTCTCTTTCACAGAATATTCAGTTTGCAAGTGCATGTGGCACTCCGGAACACACAAATTATACTGTAGAATTTTCCGGCTGTTTGGACTATATTTATTATCAAACAGAGCGCCTTGAAGTAGAGCAAGTTATTCCTATGCCCAGCAATGAAGAACTGACTCTACACATTGCAATTCCTTCTGTTGTTTTTCCTAGCGATCACATTTCCCTGTGTGCTGATTTAAAATTAAAAAATCGTTAAACTGTCATTAAAAAAATCGATCTTATTATTAATAAATGTTTATCATTCATTTATAAATTTAAAACTTACCTTTATTTCAGCTAAGTCAAATTTAATAATTCAAAATTTATATTCACAACTTAAATTATTAAAATTATAATAAAATTTAAATTTGCAAGAATTATTATTTATATGGAAATTAAATAATTACACTTTCACTGGAATTAAATAAGAAATACTTTATTTTTCTAAAGAAATAAATCAAGGTAATAGAGTAAAAATTCTTGAAATTTTTCACATTAACATAATTTATAGAAGAATCAAAAGAATACATCCCATGTTAAAAGATACATTACCTAAAGTAATTTTTCGTCTATTTATTCATTTACAAAAATTATATACAGTTTTCATCGTTACTTCGAGAACATACACGAGATCTGCAGATTTATTTTTCAAAACTTTTTCTCTTTTGAATCAAAATTCAAACAAGTACCACCATGTTTATAAATTAAAATCAGAGAAAATGTTAAATACAAAGTAATGTATTTACAAGAAAAGTTATTTCATTTCATAAGATTGCTAGAGTTTAGAAAGAATTTTATGGAAAAAATAAAATATTAAAAATACAAATATACACATCTTCGAAATATTTCTCGATAGTATTATTCTTTCTTCGACATAATTACTTTCTCTGAATATTCGTAGCAATTATTTCTTTTTTTTTTTTTTTTTTTTTTTTTTTTTTTTTTTGCAATGATCCTTTCAGATGTGCATTTTCTTTATTAAATGACTATTATTTGCATATATTACAGATTGTCTTTTTCAAATATAACTTGGAAAAAAATATTTCAAATAGCACAAAATGACACGACTATAAAATGTAAAAATACTAATTTCTTTTTCTGCAGATCTCAGTTCTAATTTATCATCGTAGAAATGTAACAAAACTACGAACCATTTGTAATCTTACGTCTAAAAAAAAGTCAACGAAAGTGCTTTTTTCAAAAATATCTCAATGAAAATATTACACATAGTGTAACTGTAATATTACAATGCATTAAAACAATGACAAAGGAAAAATAACATATTCAACAGTGAATTTCAATTAATATTTCCCCAAGGAGAAAAAAGAAATTTCACTACAAATTGTAACACGCTTTATGCGAAGTTATAAATGGTGCGTTATTTAATTATTTTTTTTATAATAATCCTTTCGCTAATCAATATACCTGAGAATAAAGAAAATTTATGCGAAATGTATTAGTTTAAAAAAAATAAAAATAAAGATATAATTAAATGTTTTGCGTTTAAAAGAAAAAGAGCGTAGCGAAAGGAATATTGATGGTAGTCAAAACTACGATAAATCACAGACGAGGTTATTCATATTTTCTTTTTTATTTATGATCATATACTACCTCGTCTCGGTGCACTGGGAACAAGTAGTTGAAGGGCAGTCATTGCGTCAGGAAATAATGAATGATAGTTGACAACTGGTACATAAGCTGCGGTTATAACACGTCCCGCGAACCAACGACCGTGCAGCGAATTCACCGCAGCCACTGCCGTAGCAATCGATGGACATTTCACATAAACATTACCCTGAGGTGATGCCTGATCCACGTAGACATGCAAAACTCCTCCATGTTTATTACACTCTTCAATTACGTCGTCACGAATTTCCTTCGCCCATGTTGGATTAGTCTCGCTAAAATTAAAAATTTAACTTTTATTACTAAACTATTTAGAAGAATTGGAATTCTTTAAATCTAATATTTATAATTTTTTTACTTATTGAAAACTAAAAATCTGAGAAAAGAAATTATACGAGTTGAATAATTATTAATGTTCGAATTAAAATAATGTTTGTCATCAGAATATCATTTACACAATTAAAAGTAAAATCAGTAATGATAACATTTAATCTGGCATATAATTTTCCCCCCAATGAAAGCTGAAATTACTAACATCGGGTCTACAAATATGCCTCTTTCAAAAGTGTGAAAATTGTCATTTAAATGTAAATGGAATGATTCTTACTTTTGTGGATCGAACATGTTGGAAAGCATGAAACACTGAGTAGCAATTGGTGGCGCGGCTTGTGGTGGAGGTTGTGGAGTTGACAGAGTTGGTGCCATATTTAAAGCATTAGCGGCAGCTTGTGGAATTTCTAGACCTGTTCCTTCCGCCAACTTGAACATTAACTGTAATCTTCCAGTAGCGCCGAGATCTATGCCACTTCGATCCAATTCGTCCGTATCAAGAAGAGACGGCCCTTGCATCAAATCTGTCCTCTCCGTAACGTTGCCAACTTTCATCGGTCTACCAGCAAGTTCGAAACCATTCAATTGCTCCAAAGCTTTCTTTGCATCGTCCGAATTCCTAAACTGTAAAATCAAAAGTTTTCATTAATTTCTTTCAAATAAATTTCCTTATAATGTGGCTTCTCTTTAAGTAAAAATTCTTACAGTGAGAAAACCATATCCTTTACTTCGTCCAGTTTCCGGATCCATGATAAGTTGAATATTGTCGATTTTTCCAAATGGTTCGAAAATCCCCCGAAGCATGTCTTCTGTAATGTTAAAGTGCAACGAGCCAACGTACAATCGCATCGGACCAGTTTGACCTTTTGGCATTAAATTAGGCATTGAATTTCCCATTCGATTTTTTTCCGCTTGCGTGTGTTGCACGACAATAGGAACGCCCAATAATTTTTGTCCCGACAGCCCCAGAGCCTAAGAGAAGAAAAACATTTAAACAGACTGTACAATTATTTGCTCGCTTCAATAAAAATATATTGGAAATTAACAGTTTACCAGTGTAACACTTTCAGGGTCCTTGAATTCAACATAAGAAATTCCTTTGAAACGCCTCGTTTTGTTGCAGGTAATAAGCCGTACATCTTGAACTTTCCCAACACTCGAGAAAAATTCTTCTAAATCACGTGCTCGTATCCTCTGACTTAACTGCATACAAAACACAGTTCGCGCGTCGCGCTCTTCAGGCGTTAATTCATCATTCCTTCTGAATAAAAAAAATGAGAATGTAATTAAATACAGAAAGTTAAGAAAAATTAGTTCCTTTTTATTATTATTCTGACAATATTTGCCAAAATACTTACATTCCTAATGGACTGACACCTCTTCCAAATGGAGGACGGGCTCTGGGAAGAGTGATGGGCGTAAGAGATCTCTTTCTTCTCCTCTCTCGATCCCGATCGCGATCTCTGTCCTTTCTATCCCTGTCTTTATCATCTCTCTCCCTATCACGTTTTTCACGTGAACGAGATCTTCGTTTGCGGTCCCGATCATGATCTCGAACCCGCTCACGATCACGATCACGATCTCCTCTGTCCCTATCTCTGTCGCGATCTCCTCTGTCCCTGTCTCTGTCTCGATCCCTCTCTCGATCACGATCTCTGTCCCTGTCACGATCTCTGTCGCGATCTTTTCTGTCCTTGTCTCGACGATCGCGGGACCTTGAACGACTCCTGGACCGATGTTTACTCTTTCTGCAAAAAATCAAGAGAAAATTTCTTCCTTTAATTAGAGCATTTTTTTACATTCAATTATCTAAATCATGATTACCCAATTCACCTGATACTAATGTTTTAAAGCAAGATATTTAATTTCTTTTGATGACATTGAAACTGTTTTATTTTAAAAAGAATTAATTGTTTAAATAACGATATTATCAGAACAAATTTTTAATTGAAAAATGTATTTCCTTCTTATATATATTATATATATAAATAGAAGAATATAATTATTATTGGAAAAACTGTCAATGAAAAAAAAAAAAAAAAAAAAAAAAAAATCAAAAACAAATGACATGATCTTAGCGTGAATTCCTCTTACGGTACACATTCGAATGAGTCAACTATCTCATTCCTTCTATTATTCGGGTTCTTTTTTAAAATTAAATTATTCCAGGTTTTGTACAAGTATTCTGCCTATATACTCACCATATTGAGGTTTAACCTTTGGAATTATCAAAATAAGCGGCATTTACACTATTTGTATGGTGTCTATAACAAAGAGAATATAACTTCAAGTAGATGCCATAACAAAAAATTCGTCAAGTACTTTTTACCACAATATTAATTATCTTTCTTTATATTTAACAATTTAATTTTTATTTTATACTTAAAAAATAAAGTACATAATTGTTAATTCATTAAAGAAATTGAATATTACCGAATTCCAATTGTAACTTTGAATTTGAAAAGAGATTGCAAAAAATAATGAATTGTGAACAATGCCTTGAAATATAATAAGCCGAATACAAAATACAAAGCATGGCAGAGTACTGGTGATAGCTTTTTCGTTCTAACAACAAAAATTTGTCTTTAGGGAGAGAAAAATCGTTCTTAGTGATATCAACACATTACGAATCAAAGGTTTTATTATTTATTTTTTCTTTGAAAATATTGACTTTGTTTCGATTAAAATTTTTAAAATGTCCATCACCAAAACATGATTTATAAGAAAATCTCATAAAATTTGTAATGAATGATATTTACTCTAGCATATAATTTTCCCCCCAATGAAAGTTGAAACTACTAACATCGGGTCTACGAATATGCCGAAAACTATAGTTTCCATTTTTAAGTTGATAAAGTAAAGTTTGATTGCGTAATTTGTTGGTAGACTATAGAAATTTTTCCACTGGAAAAAAACTGGAAAAAAACTTGTAAATACATGAGAAAAATAAAGTGGACATGAGTGTAGAAATAAAAAAAATAAATTGAATGTCATGAAAAAATAAATCCAAAGATAAATATTTAGCAATGTTTTCTTTTTGTGGCCTTTGGAATTTGTTGATGATAAACGATTGTGAAATTAGTTGAGAAAAAAGTACTCACCCAGATGTCTTGCGACTGGTTCCATTTTCCTTGGATGACTTTTCTTTGGAAGAATCTTGCTCCTACGAACAGCAAACAGTTGAGTGCCATGCCAAACAGCCAAGGTGTCGGGGACGCGCGAACAAGGGGACAAAAAGCAAATCATTCAAAGTTAGTTATTTCGTAACAAATGTAGGGATAAAAAATTATTTCTTTTTAAATGCTCAAGAGAAATATAAGAAAGTACAAAGAAGAGACATTAAATGTGAGGGCAAAATGCACTCTCATCATCGACGACTACTCGAGGTTCCCTTTGTGGTTGACATCTCAAAAATCGAATCAGCTAGATTGAGTTAGATTCGGGTCGGGGAGATTGCGAGTGTTGCGACGCACCGCACACACCTGACTCAAACTTACCAAATAATCGCTTATCGGGTTTTAGGAAAGCATAGCAATCTCGGGTTGAGCATGCCTTGGTCTTAAACTACCAATGGCCAAATCACACAGCCTTTTTCTTCTGCAAAAGAGAGCCCTCGTCAAAGACAGAACGTTTTCAAAAAAACACGAGATGGCCCTAAGTAATCCTACTCTAAACCTTGGACATATTTCGTTTAACCTTAAGCGTACACAGTGATTCTATTTTTCTATATTTCTATTTTCAAAAAACAAAATTATCGCCACTTCTTTTTAATAATCTTTCTTTACTTTATACAAACACTTTTGACTTAAACTCGTCTTTCGACTCACACTCAACTAACCTTTTCACCTACTGCTTTTAGACCCAAATTCATATTTTACAATCAAAATAAATACGTATATTTTTAATGAAAAAAAACCCCTACCATATTTAAAGAAGTAGTCCATTTTTTTACTATAAAAAAAGTATTGAAGAAAAAAAATTGTTCAATTTCTCAAAAGTCCCATTAAAATACAATTAAAAATACAGAATTACCAAAGATTACGAAGAACAAAGCTAATTAGTCATTAAAAACACATTTTCTAATATTTTAAGATTAAAATTATTTCCCAATCTATGGTAATTCTGAAAAACATAATTCAAGAAAAATTCTAATTTCCAAGGATTCTTTTCTTAACGTACAATAAATAATGATATTTAAGAAATAAATAAATTGTTTAAAAAAAACAGTCGACCTACTGCAATAGAATGTTCTAACAGAACATTTCACTTGGAAAGTATATAAGTGATATCTAACTATATATAAATTCCTAGCAATAATAACTTTCTCACGAATGGAAATATGTTGATAATGATATATGATGTCATTCGCAGTACCTCATATTTAAGTGCATTCTAGGAACTCGCTGTGGAACATCGTACGAGCGCGAGGGTACATGTTACGTATGATCTATAAGTACAGAAAATGGTGGTATTGATCAATAGGCAGTATGTAACAGAAGATACGAACGTTATGTATGTGCGTTCTACTTGTTTTTATATATATATAAAAAATGGACAGCGCGATGAATGCCGTTTTAAAACGACACACAACGCAAGTCCATGTTACAAAACTGCGACGATGAATTTCATCACCGAACACAAAAAAAAAAAAAAACAAAACAAATTATTTTCGAACAAAGATCAATTTTTGTCTTACCCCTTTTCTATATGGTGCCTCCAGCATCGCCTCCACATCAAAATCCTCCGCCATTGTGTGACTTGGTGAACTTTCTGAAATGCCTCGCATTAGCACACGACAAACAACAAATATCGATCAATATTTATTTAATTTATGAATCAATTTTTTCACGTACGTTAATTTTCGATTTTTCTAAATTAATTTTAGAAAATATTATCAATTATAAATAAACTTTTAATTATAGTAAATAGTTGAGAAAACTCACACGTCCTTAACGCAGAAACGTTTTACCGAAAATGGCGTTTTCACCAACCGGAAGTCATGTATCGATTGTGAAACAACCCGTGCTGCGTGCGCCACCTTCTCATAGACTTCTGAAGCTGAAAATTCAAATACAGACACTTCATTGGTTCATTTCAAGAGAGCAAAATATGTCCACTAATCAAATTTACTCATAATTGTTGTAAGTGCTTCATTGGTCAATTAAGTTACTTGGATTCGGTTCCGCTATTCAAATTAAATTGTTTTTCTTTCTTTTTTTCTTTTTGTGTGTTTAAAATTGTAAAATAATTATTTAAAGAAGAAAAAGAATTTATTTGATAGTAAATCAAATTGCCACTGAAGATAAAATTATAGAAATTTTTATGATTATCAGCAAGTAAATTTTGTAACTCTTTTCCGTAATTTGTCGAAAGATGACAGCAGCAGTCAGTGATTTTTATAATATTAATTAATCTTTCTTTAATAATAAAACATTCTATTTACCGTTAGGTTAAGTAAATTTCTTAATAATTATTAATTAGAAAATTATGCAATTTAAAATTTTACATTTTTAAAAATTACGTCGAAAACGAAATAAATTATTATATTTGTATATAACTTTTAACTTATCAATTCTTCAAAAATTAATAGATTTGAAAAATATTAATTAAAAATATAGAATGCGAAGAGTCAATAAAACATTTGTAAATATAAATAAAAGAGCTATAGAATCTATTTTTTCCTAAAATTGTAGGATATTCAAGTATTTAATTATGATATGAAGCAAAATAAAATAAAAAATTAATCTAAATTGTGAAAAAATTGAGTTCATTTGAGCCCTAAAAGAAATTTTTATGAAATTTATGTTAGTTTTTATAACTTTTATATGGGATATAAAAAGCAGAGAATAAAAATAGATTACATATAATTTAAGTTACCTTATTCCGAGGGAAGGAAAGTGGAGCAAGTTTCTTGAAAGAAAAGGGAGAAAAGTAAATCCGGAAAAAATGTGTTGCGTAATTTTTGACGATTATTTAGTCCATCTACGCATTATCTTGTTGTGACGGCTTCAAGGAGAATCCACGTGCTGCCTAGAAAATGTTTTTCTCGACGTTATCGACGATATGCCTCTGGATAATGTACGCCATGCGCATCCAAAGGAATCCATTAATCGCAGGGAATGTCCTTAGGGTGAAAATTTAAGGAGGGTAGCGAAAGATCCTTACACGTGTCTTATATACTGCGAGGAGCCGACCCTCCCTTATTTCTTTTACATTTTTCCCCCTTGCGATTTTCCACAATATTCCCTTTCTCGGATCTCGGATCTCGGCTTGTAGGGCAACCTAGTTTCGTTGCCAAGAAAAGAATCCAAAACAAAACCGTCGAATTATATATTTACTTAGCTCATCTGAAAAATAAGAAATACGTTGTTAGTTGTTGAGTAACATACGTAAAAGAATAAAATATACAACAACTAATTAATTTCTCAATGTCTAAAAATTATTCAATGCGAGAAATATAACTACGTTTCTTTTGTCAATCGATTTTACAACCAATTTTGTTAAATTTTATTAAGTCGAAAGAAAGTATTTCTCAAATATTTGATTAATACTCACGTAAAAAAGTGAGAGACCTCCTTTCATTTTCAAAAAGAATTCCTTTTTTTACTTGCTTTTAAAACTGGAAATGTTCTTTTCAATAATAATTCACTGATGAATACTTTTAAAAACGTGTTAATTTAAAATTTCGTGTCAATTGAATAATTTTTATTGCCTGAGGTTTATGGCTAGAAATGAACCTGCATGAAAAGGGAACACGTTGTCCCTCGAATCTCCAAACCCGCAGCTATATCGATTTTCGACAATCCCACAGCGTCCAGCAGCAAAGACGCGTAGAAGATAAATGACAGCTATCTTTTTTTTATAACTGTTTTGAAAATTTATCATTTCCCTATCAAAATCTGAAACAATTTTTAAAACCAATAAAGGAAAAATTAAAAATTTCTATATATAGAAAATAAATTAAAGAAATGTAGAAATTGTAAAAATTGTAAAAACTCGACTTTTAATTATATATATATGCGAAGAATCGAGAAATTGAGGAAGGATGAAGGATGAAGGATGAAGGATGAAGAATGAAGGAGATTGACGAAATAATAAGATTGTTATTTAACTGAGAATGTTTATTGATAGTAGGACAAGTGACTGTGAAAGCCACAATTAGTGCACTTTATATACGAAAAGTAATAATAAATCATCAGTTTTTTACCAAATAAATCATTGTACATTCCAACAGACAACCTCTCTTAATTTTAAATATAATGCTTTCGAGACTATATACAAAAAAACAATGTAATAACAACACACAGTCACGACGAATCCCACTTTGGATATTGCGGTTAAATCAATTTTCAATTCACACATACTTTAAATGTCCAGCTGTTACATTTCTGTTGTACTTTTTCTATTTTTTCAAACTCGATTATATAAACTTAAGACATACAAGTAACATGCGTTTCACTGATATTTAATTTATAAATAATATTTACATACTCATTTGCTTTAATTCTTAACCACTCACACTGAGGTTGTTTATAATATTTATTTTTAACAATACGATATACAAATTTAATGGCAGGCGGTTTGTGTCATATTGGCGCTTGATTTTTCTTTTTTAAGAATTACATTTTTCTCTATATTCATTCATGTAAATGATTTGATGAGATAATGGGTCGTTTCGAAAAATTTCATAAGACAATACCTACATGAAATGGATTTCGAACATCGTACCAACCAATAAAAATTATTCAAAAACATTTTTTCTTTTAATATTAATTTGAAAAATTTTAAATAAAGATTCAAAAGCAAAACAAATTCTTCATTTCATGAAGAGTGACTAAAATATGTAGTCAAATAAAATTAATCAAATTATATTTGATATTTTTTTAAATAAATAATTCTGAAATTTTTATCAAATTTATCTTTATGAACTTGATAGAAAATATTTTTAATTATGTTTTAGAAACAAAACAATATTTGAAAAACAAAAAAAAATAATTTTTTTGTAAATTTTAAATATACTAGTAAGTAATTTTAAAAAGCTTGGAAATTTCAATGAAAACTTTTTTCTTTCTTGACTGCTAGAAATTAATCACTGCGTGTAGTTCGTTTTAAAATCGATTCCATTACAGAATCTTTGCTTCTTGGCGCATATAAATTTTAATATTATTAAAATTGATCGTTAAAAAAAGTATTTATTAGGAAACAGTGCGGAGAGGAATCTCTTGCAACTTTGGTGACTTTAACGCTAGTAAATGACAGTACGCCACGAAACTCACGCTCTGTAAATCCACCACCTAAAATTTTAGTTCCTTATATACTATACCGAAAGCCAAATAACAGCGATAAAACGATCAAATATACTTTGACAAGACAATGACTTCTTAATATTTATAAATACGTATTCCGGGTACGAATGTTCGATTTATGTGAATTTAATCTTTTTTTCTCCACTTTTAGAGCATTTTCAAATATCTTTTCATTAGTTAAGTACGTCAAGTTACATGAAATTAACAAACATTTTTCTTGTGTAAATAAATCACAATTTAAATAGAAAAGAAATAGTTATTTCCAATTGAGAAAATTTGTTAAAAAAATTTGCCTGAAACAAGAGAGAAATTGTATAAATTTCAACACAGCTGAGAAAAGTGGACAAGAGAAAAAAATTAAAAGATGAATTTAAAAATCGAATGAAATCGCATTGTGAAGTGATAACTTTATAAGTAATCAGTTCTATGCGTTTTGCGGGGACAGGAATAATGTCTCACCGCCGTGTACGCCTTAAAATTAGAGTATAAATACTAAGAGATATAAATAATGTTACTCTCTATATAATGCAACGATTAGAGCCCTTCGTTCATATGGTTCATATCGACTTGTCAAGAACCTGAGATGCACTTCCGAAAAAGATTTTGCAACGCACTTTCTAAGGTTCCCGCGTTGCTTTTTAAAAATTTCAATCAATACGAATAAAATAAGATTTATACAATAATGACACATTAAAACTATGAAAGTAGGTCGATATATGTGTTATAATATGTATATGTTTAGCAGGTGCACAAACGCGCGCTAATATCAGTGACACGAATTTTTTTATGGATGAAAAAGAAAAATGCGCGAATAAAATTTGACACACGTACGTGCGCACACTAGACACTCTTGTACTGGCAGTGGGCTCAGCTCCTTCATTTGCACGAAAAAATTATACAAAAATTTACAGAAAAAAAATCCCTCATCGAATTCAAACAATTTACTTTTCAAGTTTCTTTACTTTTTTCAAGTCATTAATTTTCTTGTTTTATGAATATTTTTTCATTTTTAGTACAGCTTTTGTAAAATTCACACATTTTAATTTTATAAATTGCATTTCTATTTTACTTTTTTTTTAAATTTCAATATTAAATTGTGAGACTGAATTTTATGAGACTAAATTTTATTGTTTGAATGAAGAAACTTGGCAAAATATTTTTCTGTAAATTTTTGTAATTTGAATTGTAAACATTTTTTACGTGTACTCTGGTAGTACTTACGGAGTTCTTATCACAGAGATATCAATTGTTTGGTACTTTTTTTTATAGTCTTTAACGATCGCATTACGCTCGCTCAACTTGATTATTTTGTTTTTAAATAATGGAATATTTAATATTTTTCAATAAATTTTGCTTTTGAGCTTCGAATACACGAAAGCGACCCACGAAATAAATATATAAAGCTAATGTAGAATGAAATCATCGAAACCGGATGTAGGAGCACCGGCTTGTTTTTGTTTGTGAAACGTTTCCTTGAGAAAGAATTTGAATTTAACTGATTACTAGATTATATAGGCACGAACCTCTTTTACGACCCTCGACAGTCGTAATTATTTTCCTATACAGTCGTTAATGGTATCTTTAAAGAAAAGAATAGAATGATGCTAAGAAGAAATAAATATTTCCTTGGCCCTAGAATAGTAAGAAGTAAAATTGCAGTGATCGACGAGATGTGTGACTAAGAGGCGCGAGCGAACTGAATGACGGAGTTCTGTCTCTGGGCGTTGATGCCGGAGCGCTCGTGCTCCATGGACTCGAGGATCATTTTGCAGCGCTTCCGAGGCGGGAGACTGAGAGCCTCTTTCACTGGGATGACGAGGTCAAGGGGATCGGGGGACGGCGCCGGACTGACGGGGTTGCTGCTCGGCGGCGTGAGGATGGGGTGCTTCTCGACGCCGATGCCGCCGATGGCGCCGCACTCGCGCTGCCGCTGCTCCTCGACGGCCTCGAGGGCGGCCTCCACCCTGCGGCGGGCGTCGTTGCCTGGCAGGTTGAGTATTGACGAGCAGTCGCTGTCGGTGAGGTCGCCGCTGGGGCCGCCGTAGGACGAGTAGGGCGAGTAGGCCGGCGACAGTTCCGGGTAGAGGAAGACCTGGGTGGGCTCTTGCGGGGCCGGCGTCTGGAAGGAACGCTCCTCGACGGCGGCGGCCGCGGCAGCCGCGAGCAGAGCCGGGTTCACTCCCACGGCAGTCGGCGAAGGTTGAGAATACTGATCCCTCTGGTAAATGTAGTACGGGAATTCTCGCGGCTGCAGGTAGGCGGTGTGGCAGGGCTCTTCAGTCTTGTTCTCCTTGTTGACACTGGCGGGGGCGATCTCGATCGCCGGCTCGACCGCCGACTCCTGGGGACTCACGACCGAGTCCGAGTGCACTTTGATGTGGGCCTCCATGTTCTTCTTGTTGGTGAAGGTCTCGTTGCAGAGGGTGCACTTGTAGACCTTTGCTCCGTAGTGGTTGACCTGGTGGAGCTTGAGCACGTGATTGTATCCGAACGATTTGTTGCACACCTCGCACTTGTAGGGCTTCTCGCCGGTGTGCGTTCTTGTGTGCACCTTGAGTTGTTTCGAGCAAGTGAACCCCTTGCCGCACGATTTGCAAACGTAGGGTTTTTCGCCGGTGTGTGTGCGCATGTGGATGACGAGTTGGCCGCTCTGAATGAAGGTTTTCTCGCAAACGGAGCATTTGTGCGGACGCTCGCCGGTGTGGATTCGCATGTGCCTGTGAAGTTTGCCGCTGTGCTCGAACGCCCGGTCGCAGACGTTGCACTTGTAGGGGCGCTCTTTGGTGTGGATGCGCCTGTGAACGCTGAGATTCTCCTTGACGGAAAAGGCCTTGTCGCAGTACTCGCACTGGAAGGGTTTTTCGCCGGTGTGAGTGCGAAAGTGCCTGGTGAGTCTCGCGGGCACTGCGAAGGTCTTGCTGCAAATGTCGCACCTGTACGGATCCTCGCCCTCTTTGCCGTGGGACCTCAGGTGGCTCTGGTACATGTTTTTCTGGTCGAATATCTTCTGACACAGCATACACTGATAGGGCTTGTCATTGAGGGTCGCTAGGCGCTCAGCGGCAGGTGACGTGAATGCTGACAGGTCCGGGCTGCACACGAGACTCTTGACTGGTTTTGTTGGTTCCAATTTTTGGGCGACAATCGCCACCGGCTTTGGCGTTGCATCCCGCTTCAGAATTGTCTCCGACTGATAGTAGCCCACCATTCTTGACGGCGACCAGTTACTATCTGCAAATTTAAATTATATTTTTCGTTAATAAATTTTCCTTCTTATTTACTGTAGATCCAAAGAATTGCATCGACAAGAATTTTTATTTTTTAAATTCCAAATTATTCATATCGCAAATATTTTTCTTTCTTTTAACAAGACGACAACTGTCTGTTATTTTTACAACATTTTTTTGTTTTTTCAATAAATATGCATTATAAAATAAGGGTGGGATAATAAGAAAGAGAAACAAAACAAAAAAATGAAAACAGTACCGATGAATTGTGAGATTGAGTGGGTGGTATTCATAATTTCGATGTGTGTAATATGTATGAATATCAACAATAGAGACAGGATAACATGAAGTAGATGGGGACAGTCTGTCCCGGTGCACTATGAACGACAAAGTGAAATGCGTAGTACGTTTTGGATGATTACGCACCGACCTAAATCGCTGCGTGTTGCAGAGACTATCCCCTCTTGAAGGAAAATGTATTTTTTTAACCCAAAACCTCCCACTTATCGAAACCCTACGCGCGAGCGCAGTCAGACAAAACCCGTGTTCTACAACTTCAACTTTAGACCCTCCTCGAGATAAGTCTTCCAACTTTGGGTAAAACTTATTTTACTCCAAAAACAGGTCGTTCCTATACTTGGAGGATGTTTAAAATCCTTTAAATTTTTACAAAATTCAACCCACTTTTAAACAACAAAATTGTTTATTCTCAAGAAAAATGAGTTCTGACAATCGCAAACGTTTATTGAAATTTAGTATCAAAATAAGTCAGAGGCCCATTTCTTTAATGAACTTATGTTCATAAACATCACAAAAAAAATATCTATTCTTTTTTAAATTCCCAAAAAATGTTATTATGTAAATAGCATAATATCGAAAAGATTTGAAAGATTTGAAATCGAAAAAATGTGCATACTTATTATAATTACTTAAACGTAGTCTTAGTCTACGACAAAGAAACTTGTATAGGTTGGAGATTAAAATCTAACTCAGCAATTTCATTTGGAAATAGAAACACAGCAAAGTGCTGACTTCAGAATAATGCTTTGGAATTCAAAGAACAGCTCCTGAGAACTTGCATTCAAGATGACTAATTTCTAATCCTCTCCTCAAAATCCATCTTTTTAATTGCTTAATAAATATGTAAATAATGGTTTTCCTCTATCTTAATACCTATCTCTATTTTGAAATCAACGTATTATCAACCCTTATAATGAAAATTTCGTGGACCTACCTAATTTTAAGGGAAAATTGTTGAAAAATGTTTTTGAAAGAAAATTGATTGAAATCGAAGAGCGATAATAACTATCGGTATAGACAATTAGCCACACGTAAAGTATGGGTCGATGGTGAGGACGGTGAGGACGGTGAGGACTGACTTGTGTCTCGTGTAAAGAACAAATACGGTCGTGAAAGTCGCAACGACTGAGGCTACACGCGCGTCGTTATTCGCGAGGAGGCGGTCGACGGGTTCATCAATGCATTACAGTCGAGAGAAACCGTGGTCGGCTGCCTCCACGTGTACTCGCCACATTTTTTTATAGCGATCACCGACCTCGTGCAACTCAACCCGCGGTAAGGACGTCGAGTTACATCACAAGAGCAGCAGCTCTAGCGGTTCTAGGCTTCAAAACTAGTAATGTCCACACTTTTCCATTTAATTATGCGAATTGTTGTATCATTGTTTTTTACTTTTTCTCAATATCGAAACAAAAAATATTGATCCTATACGGACACCTACAAAACGATCCCGCTGTAACAGGAACCCCTCACAATTCGAGGGGTAAACTTGGCCTGCGCCAAACTGATGCGCAACTTATCTTAAAGACGTCGCTAATATAATACGCCCTAATCCAAAAAAAAACCATCAAATATTGTATCTTGCACTCGCTTTTCCCTTCGCTCCCGTTTACAGCGTGATTAACGGTTTTATGCGCCTCACTGACATGAAAATAGAAAATTGGTTGCGACTCCGAAAAAAATTATTTTCTACAAACGAATCACTTTTTGAAAACAAATTCACCCCGGTTCATTGTTGATATTCATTATTACACACATAAACATTGAAAGTGACTCGTAAATTAAAAACAAAAACTACTCCAATAAACTACATTTTACAAATTAAATAAACTTAATTTACCTCGTCATTGTAGAATTTACTACTACATATATTAAAAATTATTGATGTAAACGATAAATTGATTTGATCCATGAATTCGTCAATAAATGTGAAATAGAAAACTTTTAATTATTTTTGTGAATAATGTTGAGATAAATTACCTATTAAAACAATTTACATCTCGTTTTCAAACGTTCCCGGATATGTAACAATATTTGCGTTTGGAGAAACGAGATGAAATAATTAAAAAAAATTCTCCTCTCAATGCATATATAAAATTGAAAAAAGCAGTAGATTGAGTAAATTGTCAAACTCACCGATTGTTTACAAAATTTGACAGATCTCCCAACAGCAGAGTTCGTATACACTGTCCAGTTTCCACAAACACAAACACAATTATTGAATAAACGTTTGAATCCGTTGGTCCACGAATTAATAAGAAAGTAAAGCAAACGTTTTTCAAGAAAGAAATATGTTGGAATTAACACTTTTTTGATTGCCAAGTCACATCGAGTTTCTTGTTAGCATGGTCGCGGTTGTTATAATTCACTTGTATCATCAAACGAGATTTAACGTTATAGTACTAAAAGCGACGAAATCCGAAGGACCCGCCTCGGGACAACCAATCATACTGGTGGTAATGTTTACCTCCTACTCGATCCGAGGTGATACGAGAGTCGTCGAATCGAACCGAACACACTCGGCGAGCACAGCAAAGTCAGGGGCGACGCCGACATCACCCCTCCACCTTCAACGCAAATGACGACCTACAATTTGGGGCGCCCAAATGTTGCTGCCGGCACGTGGAGGCCGCCGACGTGGTTTCCTCGACGGCGCGCGTGCGATGCCACAAGGGCAAGGGGAGTGAGCGAGAGCCACGAGAGCCACTCATCGGCGACAGAGACGAACGCTGCACCAGAGCCTCTCAAAGCGTCTAAAACCTCTCACTTTTAGGCGAAAACGGGCGAAAACGGGCGAAAAATTAAAACCTCCAGATGAAATCAAAACAACATTTTCAAAACTCGAAACAGTTGCTTCATTTTTAATTCAGAGCATTAAAATTAATAATTTTATATGAAACAAAATCTAGACTATAAAGAAAAACAAAAGACAAATTAATTATAGTTATTGAAATAACTGAAATCTTTTTCAAAAAAATTGCAAATAAATTTTCTAATTTTAAACACTTTCTTTTAAATTAATTGCTCAAGAAGTGCCTGAAATGCCCGAAATGCCTATACAATAAATTGTAAATTGTAAAGGTCAATAATCTCTGAAAAAAGTTGCCTCGGAATCTTTTTGTTTACGCTTTTTTTAAAAAGCAATAAAATAAACAGAATGCATTAAAAGAACCTGCGCATACAACGACGGGGATGCGATTTTTCAGATGGAAAATTGGAGCATTTTACATTGAGAGATTGAGAGACTCTGTGTAGGGTAGAGGAGAACCGATGGGGGGAAAAGCAAAGTGGCAAGTTGATAAGAGAAAAAGAGGTAGCACTACGAGAAAAGAGAGAGAGAGAGAGAGAGAGAGAGAGAGAGAGAGAGAGAGAGAGAGAGAGAGAGAGAGAGAGAGAGAGAGAGAGAGAGAGAGAGAGAGAGAGAGAGAGAGAGAGAGAGAGAGAGAGAGGCAACGATAGTGGAGAAAAACAGAGCGTGACAGAGAGGGAAAGAATGTTTTGGAGAGAGCGCAGAGAACGTGGTGACCTACGAAGTCGACTTTGCGCGTGCATTTCACCGACGGGACACACCAACACAACCTTTGTGTTAGTTTCACATAAAACCCATATACATACATATATTGGGCTTATAATTCTCGTCTTGTATATCAAGTGAAGCCTCATCGCTATCACTGACAAGTTTGTCTGTTTGTCTGTAAAAGTGTACACGTGTGTATACGTACACATTCCTCACATACTAGCTCCATTTTCAGCTTTCACCACGTGTGTCTTCGAAATCCGCCTCGTGCTTTTCTGACGTCCCCGACGATCACTTGACGCTCCAAGACAATGACGATATAAACAACGCGTATTATAGTTTTTTTGATATTGCGGTGTCTTATCATTCAAAATGATACTGCCAATATGCTCTGTAAAATGTAGTTTCATTAATTTCACAAAATAACAACCATTTCTAAATTTTTTAACAATTTACTTTTCTCTCTGAATTATCAATCGATTTTAATTTGATAAAAACATTAAAATGTGTTGAATCAAATTTTAGAATCTTTTCAAAAGAAAATTTGTTCTTATATTAAGTATAATTATGACTTACTCGGACTTGACATAAATCTTCTTAATTTAAGTTGTTGCAAAATTTCCTCAAAAAGTCGATAAAAGGTTTTCTTCCAAAAGTACTGTGGTTCTTGGTCAATTTCTGAATTTCCCCATTTTCAATCCTGAAGTCATAAAGAAAATGTTAATTTTACAAAGAAATGTTAATATTTTTTAAATAAATTTCCGATAAATATAAAAAATAAAAATATCATAAGCATAATAGAAGACAAAAGTTAAAATATTCCAATATTAAAGGGTTAAGGAAAATTTAGCTTCCAAACATCTTTGGAATATTATGTGTTTTCAAAGTAAGAAGAACAATAGTCGATTATTTGAAGATGTAAAAAAGGGCAAGATGAGACGCAGAAAAGTGGTACAAATCACGAAGTAGTAACGACCTTCGTTTCTTTCAGTAGAAAAGTTACGTGTTAAACAGACACGAATATTTCTTAAGCACGAAGTGGTAAACATTGATGACATCATCTTTTTTAAGTAGAGAAATACCTTTTCGTAGAGACCAGATGTACGCCTATCTTTCTTAAATTCAAAAAGTATTAACTAAATTCATTAAGGAGGGATTATCGCATAATAATTATTTGCAAAACTTTCTTCCTAATGGTATTATTATTATTATTATGAAAAATAAAGTTTCTAAATAAGTTTAAAAAATTACAGGTGTACTATTATATTCATAGAACTTGTTTATTTTAAGTTTCTAGATTTAAAAAAAACCAAAGATAAGATAATAGCTTGAGACTTCCGTGAAACAATTATAGTAATCTATTTTACATTATTTATGTCACATTTTTATATGTAACTTTATTTTCTCGAAAATTAAAAAATTTTACAGTACGAAACAGTGATTGACTGTTTAACATCAGTTTAAAATATCTCACAGGAAGTTTGATAATGTCAACAAAGATAATTAATAAATAAAAATTTCATTTTTTTCTATTTTCATATTTTTTTCTATTGAAAAAAAAAAAGTTAAAAAAATTTTAACTATTGGAAACAACGATTCTATAATAATTTAATATCACAAGTTCAAGCAGCTTAGAAAATGAGGAGAAATAGTTAAAAAAAAATTGTATATCCAATAACGCTATGTACTTTGAAACAATTAAATTTTTTTCGTAAATTTTCTAAAAAGACTACTAATTATAAAAAACGCTGGACCCTGCTAATTAAAATTGTTAAAAAGAATAAATCTATTGTTTCCTTGAAAGTGTATGCTTTCCAAATTTGCAATTCAGTTGAAATAAATGTAACAAAGTTTGACGGGCGATTTCTTTTAAAGACCATGCGCAATGCTTGGGGAAGGCTACGAACTGCTACGAATCTTCGTGATCCAGCGAACAAGTTGGGTGGTGTGTAACAATATTCAGGGAGTACAGAGCAATGACCCAGTGCGTATGTTGCACGTGTAATGCAGAAACCACGACTGCAGCCTCAGAACCGAACATTGGACGCTGCGTGCCGTGCGATGGTCACGGTAAACATATAGTGTACATTTTTTACTTTCATATATACATAATGAAAATCTCAAGGCGAAATATCTAAAACGAACAACACTTTTCCCCTCAATTTTCTAATCAGCGAGACAAATAACCGACAACAAATCAACTAATAAACAAAAAATCGTTTTCAAAACAAATGAAACCTCAGAAAATTGAAAAATAATTGAAAAATAATTGAAAAATTGCACCTTTCAATAATTGGTCCCTATTGCCAATGTTTGTTTCTCTGGATGAAAATTTTAACATTATAATTGTATCGAATTCTTTATTTCTTTCATGACTCAGCATAACCCAATTCCAAATCTGTCGACAGCTCATATTTTTCGAGGTCTACTTTGTTTTCTCAATTAATTCCCATACCAGCCTGAATATTCCCGGAAACTGATAAAATTTAAGGTAAACAAGCTGACAAAATTATATCACTCGTAGTCTTGTAAAAGTCTACAAAAAAACAACAACAGAAATTATAATGATTGTAGTGTAATCAAAACAAGAAAATCTTGATTTTCACACAATTGAATTTACATCGCATTCAACAGTTTATCGCCAATGACATATATAAATATATATACATATTCCGATAAGCGGGTAATTTGTCATTTTTCCTTTAAACGATAATAAAAATCAAAATGATCCTTTTTAGTCCCTAAAGTCGAGATTTTCAAAACTATATTTACTTTTAACTTATAATTTTCAAATTAAGTTAAATTAAGAAAAGTTAAAGAATTAAATTAGAAATTTAATTTCAATAAAAATTTGTTAATTGTAGATTGGTTAAAGTAACAGGGACTGAATGGAAAATTTTCAATAATAAATTTTTTACACATTCTCTGGAGCTGCAGAAAAAGTAATATCAGGTGCAAATTTTTGCAATTGGAGAACGGAGAGTTGTATTTCAGGAGATCCATTCTGCTTGAAAGTTGAGCAAGACAAAAAGAGAATAATTCAACATTACGGATAGCCCTTATTCATGCGCAATACCAATGATCATTCTTTAGAGAGACTTGAGACAATCAATACTGTTGTTGCTTTCCCCAAAAGAATTCATCAGTAGGAGCATTAGCTTCTTAGGACACCATATTTTTAAGAAAAATGGAAAATAACAATTTTATTCTTTACTACTAACTATTGACATACTTATATTTATAATATTTAGATCCGCAATAGTTGAATGCAATTTTTTTGTTCCACATTTTAATTTGAAAAACGTTAAATATCTCAACTTCTTCATTAATAGGTAATCTTCATAATTAATTTTTAAAAAATTGAGCAACAATTCTTACGCGTAAGATGTGTATTGAAACCATTGAAACAAATGAATGAAATTGGAAATTGAAAAATAGGAAAACAGAGAAATCAATATGCATCCAACAAGTTGATTGATCAAGAGTATAAAAAGCAATAAAAAGAAAGATGAGTTTCGTATATTGCGTATATTCAGTGAAGAAAATCGACTTTTGAATTTTCTCTTTTGGGACAAGAGGTAAATTGGGGGTGATCGCGAAGAATAATCGAGGAGGAATTGGTTGTTAGGAGTCGAGGAAACGACGCTAGCGACGGGGGAGAGGTAGAGTGACGCATGTAGTGGGGTTAGAGCGTACCTTGACCAATCTCAACGCGACTTGTTTTAAGCTACACTATGCCGCAACGACCTTAGAAGTCGCAATCATGATGAAACTGAAATGGCAAAGGGAATAACAGTGGACAAGATTGTTCACACTCATCTCGTCATCGACTAGTTTACTCCTTTCATTTGACAATTTGTAGTCGACTCCTTGCGCTCTTCAATAAATCACCTTCTTATATGTATACGAAACTATAGGAAAACCTACATTCAATTTATTGCGAAATCAGTATTCTGAGAAAAGATAATAAATGTTGTTAACCTCTGCTCGAAAATATTAATCGAAATTGTTTTCAAAACAATTCTTATATTTATTATTTTCTTCCAGGCTGTTGATTATTTTTTTGCCGATTAAATAAGGATTTTATTTTTTAATTTTTTATTCAACTCTAATGATTCCTTAAGAAATTGATCAGTTCTCAATTTTTTTAATTTTTATTCAAGAATTTTTGAATAATTTAAAATAATTTTGAATTTGTTTTAATTAATATCAATTTTTGTTTTGTGCGCTTAAAAGCATTGAATTAATAAGTCTTTATTTAAATTAGTGCTTTTAGATAATGACACTTAACTCACCCTTCGTCAACTGGAGAACTAGTTGGTTGATCTTCCCTCCCTTCGAAATGTTGACCTACTTCTTGGACCCCTTTTATTTTGATGTTAGCCACTATTCTAGTCAGAACAGCATTCTTTTCTTTCATAAGACATAATATATTTTGCGATCTTCAGTCACGAAAATGCTGAAAAACATCAAGTAGAATAAATAAAAATCCTTTACAAACATTTATCGAATCATGCAATATTTTTATCCATTATAAATTAATAAATTGAAAAATTAACTTTTCCTTCAATTACTAAAATAATAAATATATTAAGCAAGATTTTCTTAAATTTTAAATTAATGTAAATTTTAAAAATGCAAAAATTATTCAAAAAAGGTAAATAAATACTTAAATTAAAAAATAGTTTTGAGTTAATTTCTATAATTTCCAAATCAATTTCTTGACCACATGAATTAAAACAACATTCAGATATCCTTTCATCGTGAAGAAGAAATTTGTAGTTTCCCAAATCCGTGTGTTTTAATTCTGGAATGTAGGTCGTTAATCAGTCTCAGAGGCACATAATAAAACGAGCTATGCAGTAAAAATATATTTCGAAAATTTATTGTTTAGTATCATTTCATTTGCTCCTAAAGAAACGGCATTTATATTAGATTCAATGAGTTTAAAATTAAAATTGCTATATGTATATGAAATAAGAAAAAAGTATTGAATAATGTTTTTAAAAGTATACAGAAAATTAAGAAATACGTGAAAAAATAATTTTTTTCCTGTTTTGTCGACATTTTATGATAATGAGTAACGAACGTGTATATGTATACGTAACATCTTGTTTTATCAGGACTTATAAAGCGGGACAGGGATTAAAATACTTGGGCTTCATCAATGAGCGAGGAAAAAAAAGTGTTGTAAAGATTCGAGGTGGGTGACGCGAAATCACAAATATACAATATGTACAGAGCTACGTATAAAAAAGGCCACTGACCGAGTACCACGTGTAACTGCAGCAGTGCATTGGACATTGCCCAAGGACGAATTTGTCATTGTGCACATTTCCTTATATGCATAAACTTTCACCAATTTTTTAAAACACCCTTTTCCAAAACCTTTCAAACAATATTCTAATGATACTGAAAATAAGAATTAAACATATACTTTTCTTCTTCCAAAAATGCCATTTTTTTTTTAAAGAAATTGAATTTATGTAAATTTATTACAATTCTTAGAGAAATTAAGAAAACTTATTAAAACTACGCAATTTCATTAAATTGCAAGAGAAATAATAATAGTATCTAATGGTGTTACCATGTAATATAAATTCAATTTAATGTCCTTGAGGAACGAGCTGCTTTTAACACCAAAAAAATTAAGAATTGAGGCCCTAACATTTCGACTGTAGAGTGTACGGTCATCGAACTCGTTTCGCTCCCAAAGTGTGGCCCTTATGCCTCAACTGCATTTGTTACTCACTACATATGCTCAAATAATTTAATCGTTTCCTTTTTCAAAAATATAATTAAATAGAATTTATTGCTCCAACAATAATCCTTAATAATTTTCTTCCACTTCATTTCATTTTAACGCTGGCTTTTTTCTTATAATTCGATAAACTATTACAAAACGTTCCCTCTCTTGAATCCTTCAACTTCTGAAAATCAATGGAAAATTATGAATTTAATTATTTTTATTAAAATTAAGGTAGGTATTATGGTAAAAGACAAAAGATTAAAAACTTTTTTCTTTGTGTAGGTACATACAAATATAGATAAAATATAAAATATATTCCGAGTTCTAAAGAGAAAAAAACAAAACATTCAAAACCTAACCTACAATTTCCATGATTTAGAATTCTCCTATTTTTTTCTTCAACAACGTTTAGATTTGCATGAAATAGGTAGCTTTACACAAGTATTACCATTTTTAATCATTTTCATACCGTTAAATAAAAATTTACTTCAATAATAAAGAAAAATAAACATTGAAAAAACTATTTCTAAACGTTCTAAACATAATATAGAAAAGAAGCAAAGAAAGAAGCATTATTTTGGCGGGAATAAACAGGAAGTTAACAGTAAGTTTTGAAAGTAGAGAATCTACTTCCCGTTCGTTGATAAAACAAAACACAGCAAGAGTAATTGTTGGTAATGTAGAGTTGATATAATACTATGTCGGAAGTGAAACGTTTTAGGCGTGCATTACCGGTCTTAGTTTTAAAGTGAAAATATTCCTATATCTAATAAATCCTATTAATTTTTTAAATTAAAAAATAATAACTTTTAAATTAAGGAAAAGAAACCGCAAAAATGGTAAGTTTTAAGTTTTTTAAAATATATATTTACAAAAACCGAAAACATTGTTGACCTTTTGGCGTCTTTCACATAACCTATATTTGACATAATTTAATATTATAGAGTGTTTTTTAATTTCAATTTTAAAAAAAAATGCACTTTTGAAATAACTTAATAGCTTTATTAAATGCGAGAAAGTAATAAATAACAATTTCTTTAAACATAGGGAAATTTTTTTAAGAGTAAGGTTAGGATGCTATACATGTATACTAAAACGACTAAAACGACTAAAACTTATTTGAAACCTTTAAAACTCTACAATTAAAATCAGACAAGTATTGTAGAAAAAAGAAAATGTCAATAAAAATTGCAATTATCTTATGTAATGTTTATAGACGATCGGAAAGAACAATAAGATGCTGCAGCACATCAACTACAGAGTGCGAATTATCTTACAAGATTCTCGCACTTTTATTGGAACCTTTAAAGCTTTTGACAAGCATATGAATTTAATTCTTGGTGATTGCGAGGAATTTCGTAAAATTAAACCAAAAAATACGAAACAACCAGAAAGGGAGGAGAAGCGAGTTCTTGGTTTTGTGTTATTGAGAGGAGAGAATATAGTGTCTTTGACAGTGGAAGGACCTCCTCCTCCAGAAGAGGGTTTACCGAGAGTGCCAATTCCGGGCGCGGCACCTGGGCCAGGAATGGGCAGAGCTGCTGGTCGGGGAATGCCGGCAAACGTTGCTGGTATTCCAGCTGGATTGCAGGGACCAGTGCGGGGAGTCGGTGGTCCTTCACAACAAATTATGACACCCGGAGGAAGAGGACAAGTGTCCGCACCTCCACAGATGCATCCTGGCGCTCCACCTCGAATGCCTGTCGGCGGACCACCCCCTGGAATGATGGGTCCTCCACCCGGCATGATGGGTAAGTCCACATACACTTTTAAACTAAAATAAACATTTAAAATTTACACAAAGAATTAATTTCTCATTCATTTTCTCGACAGGTATGCCGCCAGGAATGCCTCCAATGGGCCGAGGTGGACCTCCAATGGGTCCCCCCATGAGAGGGCCACCACCTGGAATGATGCGTGGTGGACCACCCCCAAGACCATATTAACTGTAATTATCAACAACTTTTTCTTTTTGTTTGTTCAAGTCAATAAAACTTACAATTAAGAATAATATGAAGAATTACAAAGCAATAACTTTATTTTCACACTAGCTTAAAGATTTATAATTTTGATACATTTTCACAATGTAATTAAAAAGTTATATACAATATGATTGAAGAATGTACAATTTCGAAAAACAATCATTTTCTAACATACCACAAAATTTTACATTCATTTTTAAATATTAGTCCATTTTGATTTATTTTATTTCTTTTTTTCTTTTTTTTTTTTTTGTATCAAAATATTTTCTCATCAATTTTTTGATAATTTTGTAATTAATTTTCATAGGAAATTAAAATATGTACTAAATAAACTCTGTTTAAAACAAGAAATTACATTACTCAGAAATTGTCGATTATATGCTTTTCTTACACTTAAATCTCATTCCAAAAATTAATTTTAATTTACACAATTTTCAAGTTAGATTTTAAGCAGTTAAAATTGATAATTTTCCTCATATGTAATTTTTCTTTTTAGTTTGAAATCTTGACTTAAAAAAAAAAGATTAATAGTACATGATGTTCTTACATATGTATAAAAAATTCTTTTTGTACAAGTTGTACTTATAATTTTTTGTTTGTTTATATTCTACGCCTTGCAGAGTATTCAATGTAATACAAATTCCGAGTTATGTGAAAAATGTAACTCTTGGATTTTATTTAAAAAAAAACTTTTTCAGTCTCCTTTTTTATTGAATAAATAACAACTATTAAGTATATTAATTTAGTCACTGCAACAGAAAGAAATTATTCTCTTAATTTCTCAAAATATTATGCTTAAAAATGTTAATTTTTTTTTTTTTTGCGCTGATATCTCAATAAAAGACCAAAGTGAAAATTTTGGCACGTTAATATTTTTTGCAAATAAATGTCAGACAAATGTAAAATATATATTTAAATCAAGAAATTATTTTTCAAATATGAAATATAAAAAATATTTGCGAAAAAGCATACAAATATTAAGTATACACGGAGAGAGGATATATATTAAATTTTGTAAAAATATTTTCAAATTGGGGAAAAAGTGCGACAAAGCGAAATTTTGATATAAAAAATACTAAACTTTAAAAAAAATTATGTGAAATTTAGTATAATTATATCAAATATCAAGAATATTAATTAAATTCTAATATAACTTTAATAAATTTCACAAAACTTTTTTTAAAGTTTAGTATTTTCTATATCAAAATTTCGCTTTGTTGCACTTTTTCCCCAATTTGAAAATATTTTTACAAAATTTAATATATATTCTCTCTCCGTGTATAGTCATCTCAAAATTTTTTTAAAAAATATTTTTAAACTGATCATAGGTATAGAAAACTTATTCATTAGTTAATTTTTCACATTGATATCAATTTTTTAAATTAATATTTGCATTTTTCTAACACATTTTTTTTCTTCCAATTAGTGAAATAATTTCAATCTGGAATTATCAGAAATTTTATATGATTTTAAAAATATTAATAACTATTGTAAAATTAGGAATTGATCAGTTTATCTAATTTTTCCACGACTAATAATGTATCGTTAGCTTCTTCTGATATACTACTTGTATTGTCACCATCTGTGCACTGTAAACTTTTAGAATTAATAATTTCGGTTTCTACAGTTGTATTAAATTGACCAAGTTCTTCACTTGTAAGTGTTTCCTCAGATTGAACATTTTTGATAGCGTCATCTGAAAAAATATCAGGCTTTAAATGCCTCTAATTAAAAGATATTAAAGATAAACAGAAATTGCCTTCAATTAAAAATAATAATAATAAAATATAATAGGTGGAAAAAAATTGAGGATTTGTATCAAATTTCCACAATTAAAAAACATTAAAAAAAATTAATTAACGGAAATGAAAGTAAGAAAAAGTTTATTAACAATGAATGTATATTACAGCGATGACAATGAACAATGAAAAATAAACACAAGAAATTATTTACAAAACGTAATAACAAAATGAAAAGGTAGAGAAAAACTTGAAAATTAACTATTACCTGATGAATGAATTTCATAAATTCCTGTTTGAGGGTCTAATGTTCCATCGATGACGGTTTCTTTATCATTGTAAATAATAAAGTTTTTGTCGCTTGCTTTTTCAATAATCGCAGCAAAATCCGTATCTTCAAAAACATTACTTGGAGACAATTTATGACTTGAAAGAAAAATATGAAATTTCATATTCGTCTTAAATTTGTATTTTATATATTACTTTTTGAGAAATTTAAAAAAACTCACCTTTCTTCATTATCATTATTAATAAGTTTAATCATCGAACTATTATTTAACTGAGAATCCTTCACTGCTATACTTGATTTATTACTTCCTTGATCATTTAATATAATATTTTTAGTTGGAATTAAAGTAGTTGTTTTAGCTTCAACTTCAATGACACTCGGATTCTCTAAACGTTGAGGAAAAATCCTGTTCTTATCTAGGACGTCTTGTCGGATATCTAGAACGACCATTTTACTTCCAGGCTGCAACATATTTGTCTTAATTAAATCAATTAATTACTGAAAATAAATTTTTCTAAATTAGAAAAACCTTTATTTAAACATTTTAATTTTTCAACTAAATTTCTTTTAAAATTAATTAATTTTATAAAACCAATGTTTTAATGAATATATAACTAATTTTAAATTAAAATATTTGTCTAAAGTTATTTTTCATTAGGTTAATGAAAATATTATAATATTAATTAAATAAATATAATTTGAACTTAATTATAAAAAAAAGGTAAAATTTTTACTTTGTTGACTAATTTTGCACATTCCATTTCGCTTTGTTCGCCATTAGTTGTAGGTACGCGAGGAACCAAGGCTACTGAACTTATCACTTTGCCTCTTGCTTCCTAAAATACAGTCTTTCTAATTTTATCTTCTTTTTATACTTAGATTACAATTCTGTTCTTTTTTCTCTTTTTAATATAATTAGAACATTATATTTTAATTAGAAACTAATTTGAAACGTTTGTTTTTTACTTCCTTCATTTTCCTCAAAATATTTACTTACCTTTCCACCATGAGACAACATTATTTTTTTCATTCCTTTTTGAAGAACAATCAAACTTCTTTTTCCCCCGAAATTCGTTTTCGATTTTGGATCTATGTTTATGGTTTTTGAATTCAATATCTATAAAATAAATGAAATTATTATTTATTCCTTAATAGTAATAGTAATAAAAAAATAATCATTTAAAAGGACAATGGTAATTATTAGTAAATTAGAAAATTAACCATTTTAGCAGTTGATTGACTATTTGGCTTGATGGGTGTCATTGTTTTGCATGTGAGAGTTGTTGGAGAAGTCGCAAGACAAGGTGGACCAGGACCACTGGAATTGGCGCTTTCAGAAGTGACACTCGTTAATCGGGCATTAATATCTGTTTCAGGTTATATTTTTATGAGATAAATATAATAGAATGCAGACAACAAATTTACATACAAGAATATAATTACCAAGCATTGTCTGCTGATCAGCGGAACATGTATTTACACTGCTTGGCACTACGTGCGTAATCGTTTTTAATATGGGTTTACTTAAACTTGCTTCCTCCGTCTTTTCAATTTCTATTTTCGATAAATTATTCGTCACTGGAATTTATTTTATACATTTTATATTTGAAATTAAAGCCAGTTGATTTTTAATTTTTTAATTTAAAAAAATTGACACAATTTTCAATTTACCTTTTTCACTGTTTATCTGTACATTTTGTGACTTGACTTGTTCAGTTTTACTGGTTGTGGGTTGAGCAATATTAGGTGTCATTGTGACAGAAATACGTCTTGGACCAACCACTGCAGTTTTCACTTGGGAAGGTAATAAATTAACTTTATTTTTAATAGTCGATCCAATACAAGAAGAAACAGCGGCACTAGTATACTGAACAGTTTGAGCAGTTGTAACAGTATTCGTGTCCTTAAACGAAACTGAAAGAAAAATCAATTATTATTATTATTATTATTACTCAACACGTAATTTTACTTTACAAAAGGTAACCCACCTGTCGAATTAGTGGCTAAATTATTGACTCCTACGGAAACAACTGAAATGTTCTGAGACGTGACTACAGTCATTGAATTATCTACATACTTGAATTCTTTAGGTGAGTTTGTATTACTGATATGCCTATTTGAGTCTGATGACAGTAAACTAGTCGGTATTTCTAGATTCTAAACAAAAATGTTTGTATTATGTTTGAAACAGAATGCAGAAAATTAGATATTAAAAATATTTAAAAATTTTAATATTGTTACCTTGCTGCAAGAAGGATTTGTTAAAGGAGAAATTTTCTCATTATCTAAATTTAAATTAGGAACTAAAGATTCAGATTTATTTGCAATTTTTCCCTTAGAACATGTGCTTCCCTCAGTATCTGATGACTGAAAGAGTTAAAATTATTTCAAACTGTCATTTTAATTGCGATAAATAATTTTTTAAAATACTTTACCTCAGTTACTGATCTCTTTCGCTTTTTGTCATGAAATTCAGGTTCTATTGATGAGGACGCAGAAGTTTCCTCTTCTGAGTAAAATGTCTGCGGAGAATCTAAATCCGTTTCCATTGTTACTAAAAAGAATGAAAAAAAAAAAAATTAAACACGACAAATTAGATAACACTTTACAAATTAATGTCAATTAACTAATTAAATTGAATCATGTAATTGAGTTATTAAATGATATTCTGTTTATTTTTACAAACCATTTGAATCCTTTATCCTTTTTTCAGGAAGGGGTTGCTTTTTGTTTGCCATGGCAGTGACAAGAGATAAAGTATTCGCAAGAGTTGTAAAAGCATTGCGAGCTTTTAAACGAGGTATCAAAGGAACTATTCGACGACCTTCAGTTGCCCAATCTGTTCCAGTGTTGGGACCAGTTAATCTAATAGAAAATAATTTTTCACTTTCAAATAATTATAAAAATTATAATATTACAATTATTCACTGTGTTACATGTTGCTTATTACGAAAATACAAATTTAGAAACTTAAAAAGAACACTTACTGTTCGGCAACATTTGTTAACCTATCATCGTTAACAGCTCGTCGAATTTCAGCACGATGTCTTTCATTAGAAATATGAAGAACTCCTGCCAATTCTTCCAACAATTTTCGTTTGTCGTGAGTAAAAGGACCTTGAGCTCTTAATACAGAAACCATACTCGCATAGGCATCAAGTTCTGGAGAGATTTCAATTTTTAGTCATCAATATTTCAATAATTTTACGAGAAGAAAAAAATTTTTTTGAAAATAGTTAAATTGAGGTTTAACGCCTTAAATAATTAAAAAAAAAAGATTAATTTGTAAAGTAAAATATCGAATTCACAATAATAAATTTTAGTTAATCAATAGATTTCAATAATTGATTAAAATAAACCATACCTACTTTGAAAGAAAATATAATATGAAGCTAATAATATTCATATAACAAAAGACTGATAGCGATATTTATTAATACAATTTTACATAGTACAATAATCGTTTTAATCAAAGCATACAATACAATATTTCTAATGTAAAAGTAACGCCTATTAAAATAACAAACTAATCTACAGAAGGTTAATTAACTCAAAAAAAAGAAATCCAATCAAAAACGTTTTTACAAACTTGAAAAATAAAATAAAAAAAACAAACAAATTTACATAGTAACGAATATGGTTAAAACTATACTTTTGAGAATACAAATTTTAATATAAAAAAATAATTATAAAACTGTTTCCTTTGTTAGTAATCAAACAAAAGGAAGTGATATTATTAAGAATTTATGAAAGTAAAGCAACAATCACAAGAGACATAACCTCACCTAAGCTTCGTAAATACTTTCTGCAATCATCGCGAGACATGTCCAACTTCCCAGATAACATGATTGCACAATTGTAATTTATGAAAATGAATTGTTACCGAAAAATTAAACGATGTGCATATAAATTATGCATTTTAATTTTCTGTTGACAGCACAAAGTTGATGATGAAGTTGTCGATTAAAAACTATACTCGATTTAGTTCGAGGCATTAATTTAAAAAAAGATCAAAGATGGGCAAGCTTACAACAGAAAATTTAATGTTAAGGCTACGTTTACAATTCAAAATCGCAACTTTCATTGGTTCATTATATGTATTCAAAGACGTATGAATACATCTTAATGTTTTCAACTTTTGTTTTGCTTGAAATACCATCTAGGGACTTCTGTTTGAACTGTCTGTGGAGTCGGACGTGTTTTCTCCGTCTTCACATCCTGTATTATACTGTTTAAGAACTTTCTCAATACAATTCTGTGTAGTTTTAAGTCAGTGAGATATAAATCTCACGAGTCTAGTTAATGGTGTTAGATAAATATTAAATATTAAGTGTTGCTGTGAATATAGTCGTACTATTGACAAGATATTTGAAAACAATATAAGTGCATTAACTATATCAATTTATTTCAAACTGTGGAGGGAATATCATATCTAACGAAAATTCGTCCTGTTAAATTTATTCAATTTCAATCAACTATAAACTGCTCTAAGAAGGCCTATTGGCCTCAAATCAACAAGCTGAGTCACCATGGACATTGTTTTTGGAGTAAGCAGATACCCAAAGGTCGTATATACACAACACTACACTTAAATTACGAAAATTCAACAATTTGAAATAACTACGATTTTCTTCTGGAAATACACATCAAATTAAAATTATACGGCATCCACAATCTCATTTTTGATCAATTATTCCTCAAACTTCCTTGTATTACCTAACAATATTTAAACACACATATCCATATTTACTCCTTTTATCCAGATAAATAAACATATGTGTCTTTTTGAGTTGATGTATTTGGAGCGAGTCGATACTTAATTTTTTGACAAAAAAAAAAAAAAAAAAAAAAAAAAAAAAAAAAAAAAAAAAAAAAATTTTTTCAGGAGTTTATGTATAATATATAAGTTGTCTTTTAGAGCGCCTGAATATTTTGTTATATTATTATTTGCCTCTTCTTTCTTTATTATTATTTTCGCTTAATTGTCGAATCATTATTTTGAGTTGTACTTTTATTTTATAATTTGTCAATAGTGGATCACATTATAATTTGTGATTATATGCCTTGGAACAGTGTACCGTTTATCTCTTTGAATGTACTTATTCATTTTTTTTTTTTTATATATTCTTATTCTTTTTTGATTCTTTGAATAATTTTGATTTGTTTACATGCGGCGGTCTGATCTTGCGGTTTTGATCAAACATACATAATGCAACAATGCTATTTAGTTATAGCTTGTAAATCCTTTTTTCTTCTCTTTTTGACATAATTTTTGTTTTTTGTTTTGTTTTGCATTGAAATGGAATTTATGTAAACGTTTTAAAAATAAGGGAGGTCTGGTGAGGTTGGATTGAAAGTTCTTTTTTTTTTTTGGTTTTTGTTTTTGGACTTCCTACGGTTTTTTTTTCGTTTTTTTTTCTCTCATTCCATTTAACCTTTGTTGAAATTTCTAATTTTGCTTTTTGCACCAGTCGTACCGGAACTTCGTTTTTTTTTCCCCTTCTCGAAGGAAGTTTTTTTTTTCTTTTGGTTCTCGGCACGCCTGATCAAAATTATCTGGTATCTTACTGAGTAAATTTTTGTAGGCAAAATGGAGCAGGGACCTAACGAGGATGCGGATAATCCTTTGGTCAGTGCTAAAACGGGCTCTCGCTTGACCATCATTCCAAAGGGCCGTGGCAAACTGTTACCCCGTGGAATATTTACCGAACAACACCCTGGTAGCTTAAATTCAACTGTTGATCGCCTCCGATCACACCTTACATCAGGTTTATCCGCCATTGCATCAACATCACAAGGGGCTGGTACAACCGGTGCAGCAGGGGGTCCTGCTCTGACACCACAGAAGAGAACAAGAGAGACGGCTTCTATGTCCTCACCATCACCAAATAACCAAATTAATACATCACAGGAAAAACAAATTAATAAACGTCATCAAACGGAGGGTGCCTCTTCAGTTTTCCCCTATAATTACACCTCCAAATCCCCTACCTTTAATAAGATTTTGCCTGAAATAGCTGATAAAATCGCTAACAAACACAACGCAACTCCGAAAACAAATCTTGAGTGGCATAGAGAAACGGATTTGAGTTCTGTTAATAAGTATCAACAATTCTCGATGGGTCCATTTGTCGTTCTAGTAGAAAGTACTCTTCCTGGCAAGAATATTGGGAAAATGGATCCCTTTGCAGTTTCCGATATCATCGCACCAATTGTCCCTATTGAGAGTAGGAAAATTTATCGTAGTGGTTCCAACCAATTAAAGATTTTTTGTACCGAATACACTGACGCGAATAGACTTGTTGAGTCTTCGGAACTAAAACGTCAAGGAATTTTTATTTACATACCGGACTCGTTCATTAGAAAGAAGGGGTTCACAAATGCTTTTCCTCCCGATCGCACAATAGAAAGAATAGTCGAAGGTCTGGATCCGGATGATAGGAATTCAATTCGCTCTATTAGACGCTGTTTTAATGAGGATCACTCTCTTTCCTCTCGCGTAGAGTTTATTTTTGACAGCATTGTCATTCCTAGAAATATTGAAATTGAAGGCTTTTCTATTCCAATTACACCTGTTGTTCCAAAACCATCACGATGTTTTCGTTGTCAGAGGCACTGTCATGTTTTGGCCCAATGTCGATCTTCTAGACCTTATTGTGAATATTGCTCTGAGGCTCACCAAACTACCTATTGCCCTAACCTTAATCGGGAAAGATTATGTAAAAATTGCAAGGGTAAGCATGTTGCCTCTTCCGCTGATTGCCCTATTTATATCCGGGAATTTGAAATATCTAAACTACGCTATGTTGCAAACTTGAATAGGGAGGACGCTATATCATTCCTTATAAGGAAATCACCGGATCTGTTTCAACATCAATCAGGCGAACAGGGTTCTCCTAATCGAAATCAACCTGGAAACAGTATTAACAAAGCAGCTAATAATAACGATAGAGAAAATAGGGTTCAACCTCTAACCTTACCTGAAATAACTCCCGGTAGTGATTCTAATCCAAAAAACTTTTCGGAGCATGACTCAACACAAACTAATAATAACAATAATCCATTTCCAGGTCTCACCACTGATAATAATGGGAAAGATCCTAAGAATTCGGAGCCTTCTGATAGTCTCGCGAATAGCATTGAGAGTCTTTCATCTTTACCCTCAGAATTATCACACTTAGCTGTTGGAGTTTCAACTCCATATCTTCAACGAACCCTTTTATCGCAGTCACAAATTGATGCCTTCGGTTTAATGACGGATCCTCCATCTGAACAAATTGATGCTCCCCCGGCAGGATTTGCTGCGCAGTCTCGGAATGACCCTGTTACGGAAACTTTTGCTGGACTAAATTTGAGTCTTCACAAGTTGATGGATCAGACCAATCCCGATGATAAGGGGAAAAGTCACAATGTCGATTAAATGTATCTTTTCAGATCTCCCTTTACATCTAATCGTTTTGAATATATTTGGTTATTTCTCGTTAGAAAGTTATTTAGTTGTAGGATAAAATTTGTTCTATTTGTTTAACTCAATTTAATCTATAATTTAGTCTTATGAATTTTAAACTCTCTGAGTCAATGAACCTAGCTGTAATTGTATATAATACGTAATATATTTTTTTATTTCCTTTCTTTTGCATAACTGCTTACATCATGGAGAAACGAAACCTTAGGTTTGGAAATTGGAACGCACATAGTATATTAAACAAAAAAATTGAAATTGAAACAATGTTGTCTCTCCATAATTTTGACTTGTTGGCAGTCACTGAGACCTGGCTCACTGACAAAACAGTAAATTGGTCGACCTTCGGTTACTACACATACAGATGTGACAGAATTGGTCCGCATCCTGGTGGAGGGGTCTTGATACTTGCTAGGAGAACTCTAATGATTACCCCAATCAAACTTGAAGGGCGTTACAGAGAATATTTAGAAGTTGTCGGCATTAGGGTTCAGTCGGAAGCTGGTACTCTGCAGTTTATTTCGGTATATGCCCCTCCGGGTATTGGGATTCCAGTTGAGTGCTGGTTCGAACTCTTGCAGGATCTTGATCCCCTTAATCCCATAATATTCTGCGGTGATTTTAATGCCCACTCTATGTCCTGGGGTGCAACATATGACTCTGCAAGGGGCATCGATCTTGATGATGCGATAGAATCTGTCGGGTTGGTTACTCTGAATGATTCGGTTCCTACCTTTATTAGTGCTCCGGGGAGAGCTTGTAACAATCTTGATTTGATTTTTGTTTCCGCACATCTTGCTTGTCTCTCCACATGTGAAGTTGTTGATGACACATATGGATCCGATCATCTTCTAATTAAAGGAGATCTAGATGTCACCCCTAGGTATATCAAGTCATTAACTAAACGATTAAAAACAACAAAAGTATCGTGGGTAGATTTCTCCGAACAAATGTCTATTGTTGCTCATGAATTGGAAAGTGAATTAGAAAACGGTGCCGATCCGATTTGCATATATGATGAGTTTACTGACAGGATTAGGTCTGGCTTGAAGGACAACGGCGCGTATTATCCTTCTGAGAATGCTGGTAAACGCAAGTCTCAACCACTTTGGTGGGACAATGAATGTGATTCTCTTATAGATAGACGTAGACATGCGAGGAGAGATTTTCTAATTAATCAAAATCAGGAAACAAGGGAGAATTATCGTGTCATTGATAACAAAGTTAAAAAGTTACTGCGGAAAAAGAAATCCAATTCTTTTAGAACTTTCTGCAATAACATCAGTCCTTCAGATGAACCCAAAAAGATTTGGAATACCGTTAGATCATTTTCGAATAGGAATCTGCCTTTGACTACTAATGTATGCAATGACCCCAATTCTGAGATTTTTGTCGCGTTGCAGGACGATTTGGTTAAACCAGATATTGTCCCTACAGAGCTTCCCATCAGACCTGTTCCTAACAACGATCCTGATCCTATGAACCAATTTTTCACTGAGATGGAATACTCGGCCTCTTTGTCTGTATGCAAGAAGGATACTGCTCCTGGTTTGGACGACATTTCATATACAACAATAAAAAAATTGCCTCCAACCGCACACAAATTAATCCTTAAATTGTTCAATAGTTTTTTTCATAAATCACAGTTTCCAACTCAGTGGAGAAACACAAAGGTTGTTTTTATACCCAAACCGGCAGGAAAAGGCTATAGGCCGATCTCCCTTACTTCCAATCTATGTAAGCTTTTTGAACGTCTTGTTCACAGACGTCTGGAACACCTCACGGAGAATGGCGACTGGTTGCCAATTAACCAATTTGGGTTTAGACGAGGAAGATCTTGTATCGACTGCGTTGCAAATGTTGTAACCGATATTTCGCATGGATTTTTGAACGGACAGGGTACTCTTGCTATGGCTCTGGATATAAAGGGCGCTTTTAGCAACCTACTTCCTGAATCCCTATATCAAAAACTTACTGAGCTTGGGGTACCGGATAGAATCCTAAATTTTATCTCCTTTTTAACATCCAAAAAACACCTTTACTTTGGAGCTCTGGAGGACGGATATAGAATATCGGGTGTTGGTGTGCCTCAAGGAGGTGTTCTATCCCCCCTCTTATTTAACCTTGCGTTATCTGGTATAGGTTCCATACTTCCAAGGGGAGTCAAATTCTCTATGTATGCGGATGACATTTTAATTTATGTCAGGTTTAAAAACATTCAGGATGCACTCGCTCTCCTCTTAGAATCAATCCATTCACTAACACCCTGGCTAAAGGACCTTGGTATGTCGTTCTCTTTGCCCAAGACTCAGATTTGTGTTTTCTCTCGCTCCAAGGATAGATATGATGGGATTAATCTGACTGATGATGATTTCTCTGTTCCTGTTCAGTATGACTTGATGTATTTGGGAATCTTACTTGACCGTAAGCTTTCCTGGCAGAAGCATATTAGGCTTATTGCACAGAGAGCACAGAAATCTATCAATATACTCAAAGTTATAGCAAAAATCACATGGGGGGCTAATCCGGTCTCTATGATTATGGTGTATAAAGGTCTAATCAGGGCACACCTCGAATGGGGCAGCCCTCTGTTTATGTCTACATCCGCTTCACATCTAAAGATCCTAGATAGGATACAAAATTCTGCACTTCGAGTCATACTCGGATGCATGAGCACCACGCCTCGGAATTTTCTACTGGCTGAAATCAATGAACCCCCCCTTTCTCTTAGGCGTGCAATGCTCGCAGAAAGATTTGTCTTAAGAAACTATTCCTGGAAACAAAATCCTTTAATACCAAAATTGCAGTCGTTGCATCAAAGTACCTTAAGCACTAAAAAGACACGTGCATACTTCGGTAGATTCCCGCTTATCTGTACTTATTCTAGATTATCTAATATGACAAAGAACCCAGTACGATCGCGCAAACCCCTTCTACTCGATTATTCTTGGAAGGAACTTACCTTCCATATACGGGTTGACCTTGAGACCGGTTACGTAATAAAGCAAAGTAATTCTCCAAACACTTGCTTTCAATCTATTGTTGATCAAACTTATTCGAATTATTATGTTTTTTATACAGACGGTGCTAAGTCAAAGAATAATGGAAGAGCCAGCTCAAGTTATGTCTGTCCGGGGGTGGTTGAATTTGGTGTTAGATTGAACGACTTCTCGACGTCGGTAACTTGCGAAGCATATGCGATTTTATCTGCTTTGAAATATATATACAAAAATAAGATTGCTAATTCACTAGTCGTCTCGGACGCGAAAGGAGTTTTGTCGGCGGTGAACAACAGATTTAACCATACGGATCTGCATCAGCTTGTGCATGAGATTGTACAACTTTCAATTAAAATTATGGACGGTGGCTCGGTGCTTCGCTTTTTATGGATTCCTGGACACTCTGGTATTGCTGGCAATGAATCTGCAGACGGAATTGCTAAGAACGCTTTGGGTTTTGAGTTTGGTAGATTTCAGGGTCTTCCAAGTAAGGATCTCCTCGACACCATAAGAGAGGACTTTAGATCATGGCAGTATAATGTCTGGCCTCCATGTCCTGAACTCGCCTCAGGCAACGCGTATTTTAGACTGATAGGAAAAAAAACCCCACGTCCTTGGTTTAAAAATATACATGCTCCTCGTAAACATCTCAATTTAATTACACGTCTTAGATGTGGACATATTTGTACAAGCGAACATTTTACAAGAATGGGTTGGAGAATTGATACAGCATGTGTTTGTGGGACTGGTCAAAGTAGTCTAACACATTATTTGAGGGACTGTCCTGTTCTTTCTGCTTCCAGAACATCTCTTTTTTCGTATTTGAGAACTAAACTTACTGATTTCGATCCCGTAATACCAGATCTCACACCTTTGGTTTTTGATCCAGACCCTAGATCAGTTCGACATATCGGAAGATTTTTTATCGATAATGGAATTATTCTTTAAGAAATTTGGGAAGCAACAATATGTTACGAGATATTATTGAGAAGGGCGGAGGCTTTTCCAAGGAACCTTTTTAGTTTTCTTATTTTTTCTTTTATTTACTTATTTGTTTTTTTGTTTTTTTTTTTTTTACAATTTAATTAAAACATTAAATTAATATTTCACTCTACGTTCAAATGGAACACTCTCGTTTGAGATATGTTTTAAGCTAATCATAAGTAGGAATGGAAATTATACCCTTCCTAGTTTTCTTTTTCTAGTTTTATAATTTTAGATTTAGTTAAATATTAAGCAATAGGATAAGTATGTATATAATAGAGAGAGAGGAGGAAAATGTTAGTAAGTTTAATTTACGGAAGTAGTAAACGATTATAAGCTTAACTATAAATGAGAAATATTAATTTAATCTTTTATAAGATGTTCCCACACTGGTTACTGGTACATCATAGCTTGACATAAGCATATATCAACATTTAAAATTCCCGCTCAATTTTTACCCTTCCTTGCCGCAACATACATGTGTAATGCGCTTTAACGTGTGGATCACCAATCTGGACCATGGATGTGAACTGCATATAAGGACTATGGATAAAAACTGCATTCTTACATAAATATACCTGCACATACCGTACTCTACCAAGTTACGAACATTATAAGTGATTTTTTTATTGGCTAGTTGTTCCATATCTATGGGACCAGAGGCCATTTAACCAAAAGAAAGAAAGAAAGAAATACCATCTATATATTGAATGAATTATGACGATGGTTTTAAAATACAGTTGACAAAAAAACCGTTGCTTTTAATTAAATTAAATTTTTGTTTTTTTATTATTGTTTATATTTTATATATATACAAATATATTTATATGTATAAACTAAGTGGAAATTTAAAATGACAACTGATGATAATAGAACTTCGTATGTTCGTTATTTACACAAAGTAAAAGGTAAACAATATATTAATATTGTAAACATTAATTTTATTATTAGTATAATATAAAAATAGCATGCATGGATTTTCAAATATTTAAAGTAAAAATAATATATTCTATAAATCTCGTAGTATTTTTATAATTTGCTTTATTCACATTCTGTTTTTATTATTGTTATTTTTAATAGATAAAGGTCAAGTTCAACCTGGATTCGATGAAATTATCACAATTATCGCTAATGAAGCGAGAGTTAATGGATTGGAAAATGAAGATATTAATTTAATAGCAGATGTACTAAAAAATGTGCACTTTAGTAAGGAATATTTCTTTGAAATGGATGTATTTTTATTTAAGATATATTTTTATTTATGCATACATAATGTTAACGTAATTACAGGTGCATCGAAAAGTTCTACTTTAATTAAATGCATGATTCCAAAATACAGAATTTCAAATAATTTATTGAAAAATATAGTCCTTTGGTATATAAATTCATTACAAAACGGTCAAGTCAGCATTTTAATTTTGCTATTGCAGTGGATAATAGGTACGTTATTTGCTTTAAAATTAAATATGACAAATTAATTCACAGTAATGTTCATGTGTATTCATTTCAGGAGCATTAGAATATGATGTTGTGGACCGAACAACAGTGAATGTATTTTATGAAATTTTCTTTAATCATCTTCTACAGAAAGCAAGATTGGTAAGACTTATTCAACATCTTGTAAATTTTTTATTTTGATCTGACATTTACTTTGATTTGAATTACTAAATTTTCCAAATATGACATTTCTTTTTTTAAGGAGGTTTATTTGGCTCAAATTATTTATGAATTAACAGAACCTGAGGATGTTACACGTTTACATGTTACTTATCTACTCAATCTACAAAAGAATTATAAAAAACCACAGAAGCATTTGACTGCTTTACTTTCGTAAGTTTTTTTTTAAATAAATAAATAAACAATAAATACAACTGAAAAATTGTAAAACAAAATTTTTAGATTGTTTAAATCTTATAAACCGGAATTAGTACCTGAGAAAATATCAGCAATTGGAATTGGAAGTGTATGGAAAGCATTACCGAATGAATTTCTTCATGGTTTTGCAGACGCAAAATCAAGAGCTGCTCTTCAGGAAACTTCTCAAAAGACTAGTCAAAATTTTAAATGGTGTACAACCACAGTGAGTTGCTGATTAAAATCATAAAAAAATTAGTCAACAAAGAAATTATAATGTTAGTATATTTTCATGAAAAACATTGTTTTTTTTTTTTCTTTAATTCCAGGGGTCTGGCAGTGGAAGAAGAAAAGAATCCATATTGCCATCAGTTGAATATTTTAACATTGGATCTAGAGTTTTTAAAGAAAAAAGTACAACATCAATATTTGATGTTTGCAAGTGAGTAAAAGTGAAATTCATAAAAATATTTATTTCCTTTTGTAAAAATAAATGAAATTAAATAATTAATTAAAAATTGGATTTTAGTGTAGAAGCTTTAGGAAAATATCAGATAAATGTGGAGTTACCTTGTAATGCTACATCATTACTAACTAACACGGCTGGCTACCATCTTCTTATGTTTGCTGATATTTCATATCAAAATCGATTTTCCTACAATTTGTATATTACACTTCGAAGGGCATTTCTCTTCGAACCTGAGAAATATCCAAAACAAGAATTAGCCAGATTACTCGACATGACTTACGAATTTCTACGATATTTACAACATGGAATTCCTGTGGTTACTCGTTTTTTACATGATTATTTCTTATATCGCATGACAACGGAACATCAAAGTAAACTTCTTGCATTAACACAATGGATTCCATTATCATTTACTGGTTTGCATAATTTTATTTTACTCATTATTATTTATTTCAATAAGTTTTACAAGTTTTTAAAAGTTTAATATTTTTTAGTCGATGAATTGGAAGAATATGTTTTGAAACATTTGCGATTCATGTTTTTTGAATCCTCCTTGCAAGAGAAATTCGAAATAATTCGAACTTTGAGGCTAATGTTATTAAATATAGTAAGTATTTTTCTCTCTCCCTTAATTATTAATTTAGAAAAATTTTCTAAACTTCATAGAAAAGAAACATTTAAAAATTAAACTTTAAATATTGTTTTATCGTAGTGTGTCAATCATTACTGTGGGAAGAGTTTAAAAAATTCTGAATCACCTTTTTTGGATCAGAAGTGTACAATAAACATAAAAGAAATGGTATCCACGATTACGAAATTCGCACAGTCTCTTATATTTTCTGGATACAATAATTACTCAAATTCATCGTCTTTTATGTCAGAGGCTTTGCTATTTTACGAACAGGTATTTTACAAAAATAAATATTGAATAATTTTTTATTTTCTTTTATTCATTATTTTTAATGTTTATGTTTTTCAATTAGATGTGTGTAACTGAAAATCTGTTTTCAATGAGAACTTGGACAATCGCACCAACAAATATTATTTATGGCAGTTTCTTAAATAGAAATTGTTTAATTTTATCCAGAGTATGTTCTCTTTTAATAAAGTAAGTTATATTAATAGTTAACTCAAATAATTTAATTAAAAATCGTTTTTTATTAATTTTTTAAATAATTTATTTTAGTTATCGAGAAAGAAGTCAATATTTTTCGAAAAAAAATTTAAAGGAAAATTTTCCTGAAGAATTTAATAAATTAGATCTTCATGCTTATGATCTGATAAATGCTTTATGGGAAGGAAAGGTACCTTTTAAAATTTAATTACAAGTCTATTATTTATATTTTAATGATGATAATAATAAAAAAGTTTTTTCATAGTCTTTCAGTAATAGACAACAAGGAGGGAAATTCTTGAAGAGTCTTTCCGATAGAGTAATTGAAAAATTGTCCATAAATGTTTTCGATGAAATGTTGTGTTTAAATCATCATTATGCAACATTTCCATATAAAATAACATTTAGTGTAAGTGGCTTAGAAATCGAATCAAGAGAAGTAAGTTGTGTTATACAATTATTTAATGTTTTAAAATTATTATACTTATTATGAAAATATTTTAAACAAATGAAATTTTTTTCACAGGATTTATTCAAAGTTGCCGTTCATTTTTTCCCTGAAATAAGTGAATTTTTAAGAATAGAGATTGGACTTGAAACTGTAGAAGGGGAGGAGGTTTAATATATTTTAAAATACAAAGCACGTTTTAAATATTTCCTTTTCTAATAATATTGATAATAATCTCAATATAAAATGTGGGATAAATTTTCAATATTATCTATTGACTGTTTCAAATTTTTTGTAGTTTATTTTCTTAACATAGAGCCATTACATCACATAAACTAAACATTTTTTTTACTTTAATCGTGTTAATTAAAATATCTAAATGCACCTGCAAACGGTAAAATGTAATTTTTAGAAGCTTTTATTCAGTTCAATTTGCTTTTTCTACATAATTATTGTTGCATATTGTACTGATTTTTTCTTTTTTTTTGTGTTAATTTTTCATGAAAAATTGTAATAAATAAGCTATTTGAGTATATTCACCTCGATTATAAATATATTTTACCATCGAGGAAATATAAATAAATATTCTTTCCATTAAAATGAATCCATTATAAAACAAAAATCTACAATAGTAATAGATTTATTAATTTTTGAATTATTTTATATAAAGAAAATTTTCACAATTTTTAATAAGACAGTTCATTGCAATGAGAATTGTTATAACAAAAAATTATTTTTATTTTATATATTAATAATTATTTTATTAATTTTATTGTACAATTAAAATAATCTTCGAATACTAATTACTTGATATATTACAAATGATTGAGTATATGATAATGAAAGTCTTTTTATATTGATACTTGTTGATTAACGTGACAGTTTGGCAACACGTTTTTTTAGAAAAAGCAAAAATAATTTAATGAAAAAAAGTTGATAATATAAATGGAAAATTTTAGACTAAAAATTACATGGCATTTAATGTGAATATTGTAAAGGTTAAAATTTTATTTTAATTTAAGTTGTACAAGTATCTATTTCTACATTTCTCTAAAAAAATGTTTTATGTACTTGAAAAATTTACATTAATCTATTTGTATTATTTATAAAAATTGCACAATTAAAAATAAATAAATTTTTTTACCCAAAAAAATAATTTGTGAAAACTTTATTCATTTACCTCTATCAATGAAAAATACAGTATTAATAAAGGTGAAAGAAACTGAATATTATTTATTATACATATTATTTTTGTTGTAAATAGATGAAATAGAATTTTAAAAATGAAGAAATATTCAAGAAATCATTTTTCAAAAATTAATTTTAAGGAAATTAGAAATTTATGAAGGAATTTAAAAAAAACTAAATTTATAGAGTTAAATATTTAAAAAAAGAACTACATAAAAATTTTATCAGAATTAGAAACTCGAGAATTAAAAAATTAATTATTTGTTTTGAAAGCGAATTTTTAAATAACATATTCAAATCTTTTGAAAATGTTGAGTAAATGAAATTGAATTGATCGAGGCAGTGAGTTTAGCTTGAAACAGTAAAGACAATTGTGGATACAATTTGAAAACTACATTTCTTGTTTTTTATCATTAAAAAAGAAAATTACAATTTTTTATGGCACAAGAGGCAAAGAACTGTGTGACACAAAAATTAACTTTTTCTTATCAAAAGAAAAAAATGTACAACAATTCGCATGAGAATGAAACAAATTTTGATTCACCATTCAAACTAAAATTAAATTGCATATGTTTACATCAACCTGATCATTTTAATGAAAAATTTACTGTAACTGCGAGGATTACACTTATCATTGTACAAATATATAAATTGAAAATATCAATATTCTTTTGTACAATCATCTACATTTAGAATACTAATAATTATTAATTATACAAAAAGTGCTTCAAAGTCTATTTCAGTTGCTTCATTGATCAGGTGCTAACAAAAAAATTAAATATTCATTAAAATTAAAAAAACACAAGTTTCTATAAAAATTTGAGCCTTGCACGTATATCATATTTTTCGAATAGAAAAAAACACTTTTTTTTCGAAAACAATGCAAGTGTGCTTTACACTAATTCTAACATTCTTTTCTTCTTTCTTTTATCATCGCGATACTTAGTGTTTTCGGAAAACGCTAAATTTAAATAATTGACTACAAAATACTCTGGGTGAATTATTTTGATCAACGAGAACACGCCAATAGGTGTTTGAAAACTATTTGACGGCAGTGTGACACGTGCGAATACAGAATGTATCTGCTTATAATCCTATTATGCCCTTTCTAATGACTTTTTTCTGGGCTGCGCTGTCAATAATCCCAAAAATCCCTCCAATTCCTGATCTTCAAGTTCATAAAAGCAGGAAAAATTGTATTTTTCTTTTTTTCCAGAATTTCACAATTCATTATTCTAAATTTAATTCATATTATTCGAGCTTTTTAACTAATTTTCAAATTGTGTTTTAAATAAGAAACTATTCTTTTTCCTAATTTTATAAACCGCAAATCGGACAAAGAAAATAAAACTAAAGAAATGAACTTGAACGGAAAAAACAAGCGATTATTCAGATTATTCAGTTGAAAAAAATATTCGTTTGAAAGAAAATAATCTGTTTTTACAATAATTAATCGTTGTAATTATATATATAATATATATGTTTATATATCTTTGTCAAGTCCGGCATCGCAATTCCCAGATGTTCAAATTATTACTAAAAGGAGCTTTAAATAATTGTAAAACGTATTTAGCATCGTAGAACAATCAGAAGGCATACCAAGCAACTCACACATTCAACGAATCATCTAGAATTAAAAATAGACTAACATAGTGAAACTAATGCGATGAAACTGCGATTGCCGCAGTTAATAAATAAAGATAACGAGAATTCAAGAATTCAATATGAAGTCAAAAAAGAATCGACAACAAAACTAATTTGTAATCAATTTGAAGAAACTTAACTTAGGACGGGTTAACATAGCCGACATTTAATTACGCTCATAATTATATTTTTAAAAAAGAAAAAAAATGTCAGGAAACAGAATGTCTAGTGAGCATTTGAAAGCATTTTCTTCTTTGTTTTGACAAACACAGTTCTTACATTTATGAGATCACATCGAAACTTCCCATCTGCAGCTCTTAAATTTTGTTTTGCCCGTGCCCGTTCATTTTAAAGAAGATCAATATCAATTTGTAAAAATGTTAATTAAAAAAGTTTCTTGAACAATTATTTAATACAAGGCTTTTTAATGAAATGAAAAATATGCTTTCAAATAAATTAAAATCATAAATGTTACATTTCTTTTTCTTCAAATAACTTAAAAAAAACGTACGGAAATCTGTGACAAATAAATTTTCATTTATCGATGATTTCTACATTTTTAGAAATATTTTATTTTGACTATTAAAAAAGCTGAATAATTTAAATACAAAACTGAAAATCAAACTAGTCGAAACATTCTGTTGCTGACAAAGAAAATAAGTAAGAGAACTTAATCTTACAAATGAACAAAATTTTTAGCTTTATAAATTTACTATAATCACGTTTTGCTTTAAATTTTGAACATCCATCTTTGGCACAGTGTATCAAGTTTGAGAAAAATGAAGATGAGAGAAACGTACATCCACTGCCGTTTATTTCTTTCTTTCTTTTTTTTTTTTTTTTTTTTTTTTTTTTTGCATTTCAATATCTGTCACTATCGAGAAATCGCGATTATAATTTTCTTATAAAGTTGTGAAAAATGATAAAGTCTCTTAATAAAACATGACAATGAATATTAAATGAATAACAAAAAATTTTCTACGCGTCATGAAAAGTAATTATGTAATTTTACAATATCTAATTTTCAAATAGAAAAACAAATTTCTGACTTTCTTTTGTGGAAAAAGTAAAATTACATGTGATTCCCTTTCAAATGACAATTGAATATTTTCGGTCAAACAACGTCCACATCTAAAAAAAAACTTGTATGCGCTATAAATAGATGAAACTATTCTACGTGCTTGAACGAGGATGCACGAAACAATTGTCAATTAAATCTTTGAGAACGTCACTCATGTCAATGATCACGAGCCTAATTGTGGTATTTTTTTTCTTTTTGTATTTTTTTTTTTAATAATAATTATTTTTTCGTTAAATTACTAGCACTTACGCGTATTAAGCATTTATTATCACACACGCATACACGCACGCACGCACGCACTCTTTCATTAAAGTTTCCCGTGCAAAAACGCATTTTTTTCAATTATTTCATTTGCGCGAAACACAGGTGTTAATACACTAAATGTACCTGTTCATTGGGAAATAAGAACACTTTCATGGAAAGTGAAAACAGATCAGATGCAGTCAGAATCACTATCAATATTTTCATCTGGACCAGAGAGAAATTCTTCCTCCATTGGTTCATTCTCTTGTTTTATGAGTTCTTCTTTTTCAAATTGTACCGCTAAATGACGCTTCCTCAATTTCAATTCAATCATCTCTTGTTCTGTTCTCTCGTTCTGAAATTCGTGGACTAGTGGATAAATTCTCTCGATTGCTATTCTGACCGACTCTACATTCGGGGCTAAAAAATAAATTAATAGAAATATGTATTCGTTATGATCAAAATGAATGAATATAAATATTTTTACCTGTTACTGTAACACTGCCGGTGGAAAAAATTTTAAGAGTTGCTTTCGGATCCTTCATTTTAAACGTTACACCAGGATGAAGTTCAGGTTCATATCTGATGAAATAAATCACATGAGAAAATTAAAATTCCAGAAATGTATTTTTGCTGGCATTTGTAAAAGAAATATGTTTATACTAACTCGGCATTTTGTCTATAACGTTCGGAAAATTTAGTTATTTTTATGTTCCATGGCATTGTACAGGAACCAAGAACATTGACTACTCTATAATTATTAAATCGTACTTTAAATCCAAGCTTTTGAAGTGAACGCGCAAATCGTCTTGCTGCTTTTTTCGCTTCATCTTCACTTGTTGCACCAGTGCAAGAAATTTTTCCCGACGACCAAATTGAGGCAGTGGTTTTAGGCTTTCTCAATTTCATTGTAATCATCTGTGAAATTTGAGAAAATTATATTTTTCATTCTTTTTAATAAATTCAATTTCAAATGTGCTTTAAATATCTTGTTTATTTTTTGATAATTAAATTTATTTTCGTAAATATTTTTAAATTTAAACTTCAACTTCTTTAAATTAATATGATTCCTAAATTTCTTTTTAACAAATCATAGAGACCTACCCCATTTTCTCTTCTATATTCAACGTTAGAACCATTTAGAGCTATTTCTCGTAAATTCAGATGACATCTGACACTGAAGGTACAAACAACATTGTTAATATAAATATCGAGATCTGGTTCTTGATCCTTAACTGTATCATCTATTTCTTCCTTAGACTCGAGTTTCACTTGAAACAGTTCATCATTGTTTGTTGATGAGAGTTCATTTCTTAAATTATTAACTCCATCTACATGGTTGACAGAACCATTCGTTAAAGGTTTCATTCCATTATTTTGAACGACAGTCGCCATAATACTATATACCTGTAAAGAAATAGAAATCATTGTAATTAAACTATTTAAAAAAAGAAAACTTTTTATAAAACAAATATTTATCCTTAAAGTAATAAAACAAATACAACATTTAGTTTTCAATGGATGATAAAACATATTTCAAACAAAAGTATTTTTGTAATCATGTAAAACTGGAATATGCATTCTAGAACTATCTTTTTAGTTCACATTTATCACACTGATAGTTTTTTTTATGGAACTCACTCTGAAATTTTATACTAAAAATTTTAATTGCTTTTTCTTAAATTAAAAATATGAAGTCATGAATTTAAGAGTAATTTTTCAAAGACAGAAAAAATCAATTTTTTTCACTTTGTAGATTGAAACATTTACCAAGTGTTTCTAATTATTTATACAAAGAAAAAGATTTAAATTCGTTAGAATTACTATTATTTCAATGGACAAATTTGTTAAATTAAGAAAATATAGATTTAATAATAAAGTGATGAAACTGACAAATTAAAATTTCTTTGTCAAGTGAAATTCGATAAATAACAATGTTGGTAAAATTAATTTTGAATTAAGAGTTTTTATAAGGGGATCAATAATTTTACGATAGTGATCAGCGAAACATTGCAGATTTAGATTATTGTCAAATAATAGTCAAAAATGAAAGATAAAAATTGAAACAGGCTTTGTGTACAAGTGAATCAGAAAAATGTCAGACCGAAATCTGAGACTAGCAGCCAAGGGCAAGTGTGAATCAGTTTGTAAACTATTGGATTTAGGGGATTTAGGTTTTCCATAAATGAATGCAACTGATATCATTTAATTTTGTCTATTATTGATAAAATCACTTCATCAGAATAGATCTTTGTGTAATGAATAGTGCGACGTTTATCGAGGAGAGAAAAGAAACGTTTATGACTAAAAACTCATTGATTCGGATTTTAAAAATCACTCTCCTTGTGTGATTATTGACGGAAGAAAGTGAATTTTGTCAATCAAATCCAAATAAAGAAAATTCGAATCCTTAGAAAATAGAACATTCTGTAATAACGTTAAGGGGAGTCAGGGATGACCGCTACGTCGTGGAGGAACGCAGGAAGTGGAGGTCAGCATCACTTTAATTCAAAAAGTTCAAAAGAAGACAACAAATTAAATAATCCAATACTCACGAATATTTGAAAGAAATAATTTCAATCATTTACAATTCAAGTTACTATAGTTGTTGACAGCTAAAAGATGGAATGCACAGTTGATTTAACAGACACTGTCATTGTTTTCAGCCATCTTCACTTAGACTATACGATGCGAGCAGGTCGCTAGTGTTGAAACGTTCATTGAAAACGCCATAAAGGACCAAATTAAATGAGTCACAAAGATAGTAAACTCACTGGGTCAGAAGGTAAACATATCCAATATTTTATTTCGCACATGTTATTAATTCTATTGCAATTATTACCTAATAACTTTTCAAACAATATTCATAATATTTCACATTTTCATATTATACCTTTTTATCTTTCGTTTTTCAATTCTACCATTTGGAGGTTAGAAAAAACGGAAAAAACAAAATTTAAAAATACAAATGAAAAACGACGATTATGTACATTCTTAAGAAAACAACTTTCTTTTCTTTTTAATAGTATAAGAAATTAAAGAATATGTTAAGGAAGTAATAGAAATAGATCTTTAATTCAAAATTTCTATAAAAAGCTCTTTTTGCAGAAAATTTGAGTTCTTCTTTATCGTCATTTTTGTAAATATTTATTTTGTATTCAATTTTGATTGGTGGACAAAAGATTTAACAACCAATTGTAATCAGTAAATTTTTGCACTTTTAGAGTTTTTACGTGAGATGGCGGTACTTGTTCAATAGCGCGAACTGAAAGTATTTAAAGAATTTGTTTCGTTTATAAATAAATATAACATAAATAATAATTAATTAATATTAATACTAGGGTCATAAAATTCTATGGTAAAAAGTGTACTTTATAACCTTTATAAATATTATGATTTATACATATATGCTACATAACAAATGTTTTTTTATAGTTTGTTACAACCATTTTATTATTTATTTATCTTTTGCAAATAACCTTAAAATTTTTTATAATATATAATAAAAATTAATTTTCTTATAATATGCGAAAATTATGCAAAATCAAACAATTGAAATAGAAATAAAATAAAAATAAATAAACAATAATAATGCTTCAATAATTATAAATACTTTTATGAACTTGTTATTCACGGTAATATATATGCGTAATTTCTTTATCTTGTTTTTATTTATGAATATATATTATGTAATCTTACAAGAGAATAAAAGAATATAGCAATTTATATACACAAATGATTACAATCGCCTGGATTTTCCATGTTCGTGACCATTTTATTAAAAAAATGGCGTAAAAATAATAAACAAAAATTATCTTTAAACTTATGACACTTCCGGAGATTTCAATGAATGGAAAACGAATACCTAATATATTTTTAGAATAAAGAACAAATCGCATATTTCTAAATTTTATTCTAATATTTCCAGTTTGCAGAATTATTGAGTCTTAGTATTATTGAAATGAGGAAAAAATGTTTGAATTTCTTAGAATGATAAAATATACTTGTTTAGTTAGCAAAATATTGAAATCAACATTCTGATGTGATTAAATTTTTTTAAAAAGTATTAAAAACTTTGTGAGATTAAACTATTAATTTTTACGAACAATGTCTAAGCAACTAAAATAGACAATTTAAATTTAAAAACATATCTTTATAATAGCGGAATTATTAATTAATTATGCAGTGACCTGCATCGAGAAAAAATAAATTTAGAATTCAGATAAAGATGTTTTATGCATTAAATTACGAGAAAGATTTCTTTTTTAGAGTGTGTCTCATGATTGGTAATTTTTTGCAGATTTGGAAAATGTGAAGAGATGAGGGATAAATACCAGCACCAGGATGTTAAACTATAATTATTTTCATCCTGAATACCGAGAAATATTGTAAGGAGTGCGTAGGAGTGAAGGCGTACTCGGTATTATGCGGACTTGAAAGAGGTTCTCCATAGTCTCACATCTCTTTTTTCGCTTTTTTCGCTTTTTTCGCTTTTTTCGCTTTTTTCCAACGACGACGCAAGACGCAAGACGCAAGACGCATTCAAGTGATCTACAATATATGCTCACAAAACACGTTTTCCATTGGCTCTATAGAGAAACTAACAATTCTCTACTTGCATCCAATACAAGCAACGGAGGTGGTATCTGATCAGAGTGTTGGTGCGGCTCCGGTAACGGTATTGTTCCTCAGTTGCTCATTCACATCGTTCACATCGTATTACATTGGATACACCAGCAAGGAGTAGGAGAACTTCTTTTGAACGCTTCATCCAGTTTTCTCATACCTTCATAGTCATACCTTGATTGGTAGTGTTCGCCAGTGATTGTCGCGACATCAACATTGTAAGTTTATTTACGTCCGCGGTATACGTACCGCAGACGTTCTTGAAATTCAACATTTTTCAATTTCCACTTGGAAATTGGCAAAAGGATTTTCAACGATCGCCGGCTTTTGAAGCCGAGATCGTAAACCGGTAGAAAGTGCGATACGCGCGTGGAGACGTAAAAAATTCCACAGTGTGTGTGTTTGTGTTTGCATTCAGGTGAGTCATGTCATCGAAAATAAATCGTGATCTGGCTGGGGAAAAAGGAAAAAAATTCATCTGTTTGGCTCCCTTTTTATTGTGACCTCATATTGGCAAGGTTAAATTTTTATAAAAGGACTGATCAGAGTGGTCTCGTTTGTTTTGTGAGACGCGCTTTTTCTTTCAAGGCAAATTTCACCGGTTTTAAAGTGGCACATCGACTCTTTACTAAATAATCGAAAAATGTTAATTTACAAAATTATTCAGTATTCTGTGAATTTCTTTTTACAATGTTGACAAGTTACTTGCTTCAAGGAAAAATTCTTGATTTACTTGTTTAAACAAAAAAAAATTAAAGTTTAAAGAGTAGGACATTCTTTGATACATTCTTGGAGAACATTTAAAGCTATTAGTAAGCAAAGAAAATAACTATTGCTTGATGGAAAATCCTTATTCAAATTATTAATTATTATTCATATAAAAGTTATGAGTATAAAATGACCTCACTTTCATTTGTATGGGCGGAAGGGCACCTCCTACATTAATGTTTTGGCGGACCCTGATGAACGCAATCGTCCAAGAATTTGTTAAATCCTATTTGAATGTTTTTCATGGAAAGCAAAATTCAAATTCATTTGCATTATTCACGATTCAAAAAAGGAAAGAAAATGAAATCGGTTCATGATCTAATCGTTTCGGTTGTTAACTTTCGACTTGTTTGGCGATGATGAACTCATAAAGGCCGTGTAGCTTTCTTTTCGTTTCTATTGACAGTCTGTTGCACTTCCGGAAATCGCACTGCGTAAATCTTTGCGATAGTCGTCTATATTTATTGCATTACGGTTTTTAGTCACACATTCGCAAAAAAAAAAAAAAAAATATCACTAGAAAGTCGCTTCCCATTAAAAAAAATTCATATCATTCAATTAAAATTACTAATATTGGATTTTATTAGTATCTATACTAATAGTTTTAAATAACCAACACTAAAAGAAAAATCTTTAAATCTTTGGTCTGAATTATCAAATTTTTTTACATTTTCTATTATACTTTCTAAACTCGTCTTAAACTCGTCTTGTAATATTTAATGAATTAATTATTCTAAATACTAAAGTCTGAGAATAAATCTTGACCTTATTATTTCAAGATCATTGCTCTTCATCTGTCACAATTAGCATTGCTACTATTGTATTCTGTAAATCGTGGGAAATATCTATTCTTGAATTTGCAATTTTCATCACATATTTACCACGAATAATTGTATAGAATTTTATAATTATTGTCAAGAGTTCCAACTATAAACTTTCGAGTCTCGTGTGTTTGAAAGTGATGAAATAACTATAATTATTAAGTGGGTAAAAAGGCAATTATTAAAAATATTTATATAGTAAAGTTTATACATATATTTGAAGAGAGATAAAAAATGATTTGACATTCAGGAATGCTTTATTGTTTTAATATCTCTAAATTCTTTTCCTTTATGAATTAAAAGCTCTTTTTTATGCCAACTGTTCTTTCAATGTGACATTATACCAAGTATGCTAAGAATAATAATTATCGACTCGTAAATATAATTAAAAATTTATCGAACTTTGTCTCTAACAAGTTTCTTCGCGCATATAAAAGTATTTAAATAATAGTCATTGAAAAATATTTTATCAGTCATTTTATTTATTATCATGACTAAACTTTAATATTTGATTTTAAAAAATGTATTTTTTCTTATAGATTTACTGACTAACAGAGCTTTAGTTTTGATACGTTAATGTAATTTTTTTTAATATGTAGTTTCATTTTATTTGACATGGGAAAGAAATTCTTTTGAAAACTTTAATACATGGCTTAAGAAAATTAAGTAATTTTTTTATAAGTCTTTTTGTTAACAGTCTACTTATTTTTTGAGTCATTCAAAAGAATAGTGCAGTACAGTCCCTAAATTACCGTAGACAATTGTTATGAGCAGTCGACTTGAAAACAGGAAAATCCTTTAGTACATCTCCCTTCATATGAAATATTTAAGAATTTATAAACAAGGAAAGTAGTTTTTAGCATTTTATTTTTAAAAAATGTTGAATTCAATAACTGTTATAGGTACATCAATTGATCGATTAAATTCAATTGTATTATTTTAAAAAATATTTTTATATGGGATGGGAAATTCTATAGATTATAAAATTGTAAATTATTGTGTATAACAAGAATAGTAATAATAATAATAATAATAATGATAATAATAATCAATAGACTTTAAGTAAATGCAAGAGCATGAGATTAAGGTGGAGGGTGGGGTCTTCATCTCTCGAACGGGACACCTGTTGGAAATATAGAAAGTAGGGCGAATGGAGGCAAACAAACCTCCTTGTAAAATTGGTCTCTTCAAAAGAAATATTTTACAGTAGAATGATGTGTAAAAAAAATTTGCTGTATTAGTTGATTTCAAAATTACATATCCTGAAAAGTAATTGCAGAGATGAATAAATTGTTTTTTCCTTGATTTACTTATTTTCTCTCTGGGATTTCCCCATTTGGAAATTTACTGCTTATTGACGCATTGACTTATTGATGATAACAAAAGTTACATATTCGAAGAATAGGAACTTCCGTGTTTATTATAATTGAACAAGAGAATAATAATTACTTTATTAGCAATAATGAAGAGAATTTTGAATGAAAAATAATATTATTTCGATATCTATTTTTATTAATTTTTGTGTTTTCAATTTTAGAATTGGCGATAAAACATGGACTGGTGGAGGAGTTTTTTATTTTTACAATTCTTCATATCCGGAAGCGTATTAGCAGAATCGTAAGTAGAATTTTTTAAGTGTAGTTTTAAGAAAATGTCCAAATTACATTTCGTCGAATAAAACGAGTAATAATAGTATTTTTTCACATGAATTGATAACAATTCAATTTTTTTTTAATATTACAAGTTATATTAATAAAATTTGACTGTTCTGCAGTAAGAGATGGTTAATTTAATTAGAGTCAAAATAATGATAAAAAGTAAATAATAAAGATGGACTTTCTTTTTGAAGGTATTACACGGTCATCGCTCCGAGAGTGGTTCGTCCTAATTCGGAATACCATGTAGCAGTGAGCACTGCAGGCATATCAGTTCCATCTATCATATTGGTTGAATTAAATGCTCGCCAGTACGATGGGAAAGAAATCAAAATTGCTTCGAAATCAGCGAACGTTGCTCCTTACTCATCAGAGACAGTCACACTTCAAGTATGTAATTTTTTCCAATGATTTTGCGTTTACACTTAAATATTTGCATTTACAGTAAATGCGATATCATATCTTTGAACAATGTTTGAAGAGGGGAAAAGAAATATCAATTTATTTTTTAAAAAATAAAACATTTTTAGATTTTGGACATTGGTCCAGCAGAGTATCGCTTGGTGGCTCGGGGAGTAGCCGGAATCGAATTTGAAAATTCTACGGACGTGAGATATGTTCACAAAAGCTACTCTGTCTTTATCCAGACAGACAGAGCGGTTTACAAACCTGGAAACAAAGTAATGTTTCGATGCATTCTTTTGAATTCCGCCATGAAACCTGTAGATTCAAAACAACTGGAAATCCATGTGACGGTATTAGTTTCATTTTTAAAACTAATAGAATAATAAAAGATTAATTTATAAGAATACTTTTTTCTGATGCATTTCTTTTGTTTAGGATGGAAAAGGTAACAGAATCAAGCAATGGGTTCGTCCATCGCTAACTAAAGGTGTATTCGGTGGTGAAATAGAACTTTCAGAATCTCCTGTACTAGGCGATTGGAAAATAGTTGCAATTGTTGATGATCAAACAGTTGAAAAAGAATTTCAAGTGGCGGAATATGTGCTTCCAAATTTCGAAGTTTCAATCGATTCTCCACAGCATATTGCTTTCAAGGATGAGAAAATTCATGTCACAGTACGCGCAAAGTACGTTTAAATTTGAATTTTAGATTGTCAACTACTACTACTAATAGTACTAATAACAAATTCGTGTAAATTGGTACCTATTTAACTAAAGTTTTATTGCAGATATACGTATGGAAAATTCGTAAAAGGAGAAGCAACAATAACTGCCTATCCGGACATTATTTCAAGTGTCTTGCAACCTCTTTTCCAGCCTGTCAGGAAAGTCATTGATATTGACGGAAAAGCATCGGTCAACTTTGATATTTACAAAGAATTAAAGTACCTATTTCGTTCTACTTCAAAATTAAGTTTACTTTGCTAATTAAAACTATGTATATTTTTAAATGGCATTGATGCATTTTCAGATTGAAAGATGACGACTATTTTCGACCAGTGAAACTGGAAGTAACAGTTGAAGAAGCTTTAACTGGACGACGACAAAATACTTCAACACAAATATTCCTTCATAAGCATAGATATACGATGGAGTTAGTGCAACAATCAGGATACTATAAACCTGGATTAAAATATACCACGTTCGTGAGTATTGATCAGAAATGAAACAAAATAATTTAATTTTTGTATTCTTAAGATTATTATTTTACGAAAAGTTGTTCAACTTGTTGACAGATCAAAGTGGCGAATCATGACGGATCACCAGTACAGGATTCAAAAACACCATTACAAATTTCCAGCACTTATGATAATGTGGAATTTATCAACTTTACAAAATTGTTGGATGAAAATGGAATGGCTGAGCTTGAATTCTATCCTCCGAATAATGCCAGTGACAGTTTAAAAATTGAGGTGATTTTAAATGGAAAATATTTCAATTTAATTATTACTTAATTATTCTTTCTTTAACAAAGGGAATTATTTTTACTAATTAAAATATATTTCTAGGCCAAGTATTTTAATCTTCATGAACAATTTCCTTATGTGTATCCAGTTGCTAGTATTTATGGTGCCTATATTCGTGCGGTATTAAAGAAACCAATTCAAAAAGTAAGAAATACGTTTTCATTTGGTAATAATCTTTTCTGGATAAAAAAAGACTTAACAAAATTCTTTTCTTCTTTAGGCTGATTTATCATTTGTAGAAATAGAAGTAAACTCAACAGTTCCAATGAAATACTTGAATTATCAAGTTTTAGGACGTGGAAATATTCAAGCTGCTGGCACGGTTAGAGGCGATAACACAAATTCACTTAACTTCAGGTACCAAGACTTGTTCCATTTTAAATAATTTAATTTCTTTTTAATTACTGAAATATATCCTTTAAATTTAAATAATAATTTAATAGATTTATAAATTAATAAAACTTGATTGTTTTTCAGGTTCAAGTCAACACCACTTATGGCACCGACAGCTCATTTATTGGTTAATTTTATCAGCGATAATGGCACAGTGATTGCAGATTCAATTGATATCGATATCGAGGGTTCACTGCAAAATTTTGTAAGGTTCATTTCTCCGTAAAATTTTTAAGCAAAATAAACTTTTTAATTATGTGAATTTTTTTTTGGCAATTTTTAAGGTTGATGTGAAAATGAGCTCGGAAGCAGGTCCAGGTGATGAGATCAGTTTAACAGTTTCCACAAATCCGGATTCGTATATTGGACTTTTGGGAGTTGATCAGAGATCTCTTTTATTAAAATCTGGCAACGACATTTCCAAAGTAGGCCTTTATGTTTTTAATATATTCTTTTAATTCTTTAAATTTGATTTAGATTTAGATTTAAAATTTAAAATTTTATTTCATTTACAGGACCAAGTGGAGAGCGAGATGAAATCTTATGACAAGCCGGATACATATGAACCATTTCATAGAGGATTCGCTGAAACATCCAGTGAAGTTTTTACTGTAAGTTGAGTTTGATATTTTTTATTCAAGAGTAAAGTGGCCTTAAACTTAAATCTAAATGTTGAAAAGAAACTTATCGATTGAAAACAATTTGTTCACAGAACGCAGGTGCTGTGATTCTTACGAATGCTTTTGTCCACTATTCATTTGCAATAGGTGAGTAATTAATAAAACTTGATAAAAAAATAATTAAAACTACTCACATCGGAAAAAAATAGATAATTAATTTGAACCGGCACGCTGTTAATAATTTAATCAAGAATCTTTTCTCTCCTCATGGCATCGAGTGTAGAATAAAAAAATGACAGAAAGTGTAACAATTCTTTCTAAAAATAAAAATTAATACTGTCATTCAATTAGTATTTAAAAAGCAATGATCGAAGAATCCGTCGCTGAAGCCTACTACCAAAATTTATTTATTTAACGTTGCTTACATGTGCCTAGCGTTCTACCGTTCCCGTCTAGAAGAAGACTTTATTCCAGCTAATGCCTTTGCCATGGCGGCAAAATCAAGTCCAAATATGATTCTACCCGAGAAGATGAAAGTGCGCAAGAATTTCCCCGAAACTTGGCTTTGGCAAGCGCTTGACGCTGGGTAATTTTATGAGAATTAATCTCTAAAACGTCTAAAACACTACTTTAAAGCTTCGACTATAATTCTGCTTAATGGAATCAAGTAATCATATCTTTCCATTTCTGATTCTTTTTGTTAATTAATACTTCTCCTTTTCACATGGCTTTTGTTTTTTCTAACATTTAATTAAAAATTATGGTGATTTTTTAATCAAGTCAGTTCTTTTGCAAATTTTGTTTTCAGAAGTGAATTTTCTCAAGTTTTCTGGAAGCAATGCTTTTGTGGTAACGGAAAGACAATTCTCACTCTCTTGTAGTAATTACTAACATTTTCCCCCTTAAAACAAAGAGCATGTACTTATAAATATCCGTAAAAATGAATGAAATGCGAATTTTAAAGCAATATTCATAGAATGCCTTGAGTTGTATTTTGAAAAAAGTGGTTTGTTTTTTCGAATTATTGTTTATTATAAAATGGAGTTGACTTGCAGAGAAACCAGGTATATTGGAGGGTAGAATAACAGGCTCTCCTGAAGGTGTTCCTACATTGCGACCAGATATTGGTCCACCTGTTACGCATAGGCTTGCGACCAGACCACCATTGGCAGGTCCCTTCGCCTTCTCTCGAATTCCGTTTCCCGTTTGGAATAGACCCCGTGTTTTCTTAATGCATGACATCAAAGACACATGGCTTTTCACAAATTCGTCTTCAGGGTATTTATCTACAAATTCTCCACGTTCACTTTTGCGCTTGGTTTCTTCATTTTGGTGTACATTTTACAGTTTTGTGAAAAAAAATCTTTTTCTTCATATCATTTCTGGTATACTTGTGTATATATGTATATTTCTGATTTTTCATTCTTTATCATGGAGTTTGATTTCAAAAATTGAAGAATATTTTAAGAATCAAGATTTTAATGTTCAATTTAGAATTGAGGGTAAGGCAGTGATTCGAAAGACGGTGCCAGATTCCATTACTTCCTGGGTGATTAGTGCTTTCACGATAAATAATGTACAAGGTTTTGGGCTCATCGAGGCGCCTAGAAAGGTTTGTATAGTTTATACAATTGAGATTATAAAACCTATGTGGTAATAACGAAAAATCTTTTTTCCTCAGCTCAAAGTTTTTAAACCCTTCTTCATATCTGTGAATCTTCCCTATTCTGTGATTCGAGGAGAAATTGTCGCCATACCTATTGTCGTGTTCAATTATATGGATAAAGACTTGATAGCTGAGGTGGTCTTGGAAAATAGAAATCAATTCGAATTCGCTGAAGTGTCAAACGAGGTGCATGATTCACCGAGTAAGAAATTTGTCCACTCTCTTTAATTCTTTATGCATAATATTATATTAATCAACTCTAATCGCTTCTCTTTTGTTTTTAGAATTCGAAATGCACAGAAGTAAAGTGGTGAAGGTAAAGGCAAATTCCGGAGCTGGTGTTTCATTTATGGTTATTCCTAAGGAAATTGGGTACCTTACGATTGCGGCTAATGCAACAACGAATATTGCTGCCGACGGTATTGAAACTAAACTTCTCGTCAAGGTATAGTTGGCTTTTTTTTTTTTCTAGTTGCTCTTATTCCAATTACCTAATTAAATAATATTTCAAAATTACACAGGCTGAAGGTGAAACGCAGTATAGAAATAATGCCACATTTATTGACCTAAGAAATAGCCGATCGTTATCGACAACTTTAATAGTTGACATGCCGAAAAATATTGTAACAGGTTCCGAATTTGTGGAAATATCTGCAGTAGGTAATAAAATTCGAGTCTTTAACAAGAATCACATTTTAAAAGAAAAAATGAATTTCCATACTAATGAAAATGTTATCATTATAGGCGACATATTGGGACCAAGTATTCCAAATTTGGCGAATTTAATTAAAATGCCTTCAGGATGTGGGGAACAGAATATGTTGAATTTTGTACCAAATATAGTAATTCTTGACTACTTAACGGTAAGTGATTTATGTATAATTATTCCATAATAGATATAAGCATAATAGACTAAGCAAAAAGGAGATTATGAAAATTGAATATTCCAGAATACAAATCAATTGAAACCGGCAATCGAGAGCAAAGCCCTCAATTATTTGCAAATCGGTTATCAACAGGAATTAACGTATCGTCACAATGATGGTTCTTTTAGTGCTTTTGGAGAGGCAGACGCCAGTGGAAGTACATGGTTTGTAATACATTTTAATTAAATAAATTAAAAAACTTTTCAGGACTTTTTCAGTACAAAACAAAAATTGCATTTCAGGTTAACAGCCTTTGTGGCCAAGTCCTTTTACCAGGCGAAGAAATATATCGATATAGAGAAGCAAATTATTTTCGACGCTCTACAGTGGCTGGCCGATAGACAAGTTGCAAATGGCAGTTTTCCGGAAGTAGGAAAAGTCAGTCATCGAGATATGCAAGGAGGCGCTGCAAAAGGACTTGCACTCACAGCCTACACCCTCATAACATTCCTGGAGAACAAGGTATAACCAAAAATTGCTACTTTTACACTAAAATTCGAAATTCACAAATTAATACATTAAAATTTTTACAGGAAACCATGAATCGTTATCAAAAAACAATCTACTCGGGTGTAAAGTATATTACCGAAAATCTTGAAGATTTGGATGACGTTTATGCATTAAGTTTATGTACGTATGTTTTGAATCTTGCGAAGAATATGTTCGAGGACACGGCATTTTATGCACTGGAGAAAAAAGCAATGGAAGATAAGCAACATGGCACAAAGTGGTGGAGTAAACCAGTTCCAAAAGATGACAAAAATCCCTGGTACTCATTGCCAAGATCAGTTGACGTTGAAATGACGTCTTACGTTTTATTGACATATTTACAAAAAAATCTTGTTACTGACGCTATTCCCTTAATGAAGTGGCTCGTTACGCAAAGAAACAGCGAAGGTGGATTCGCCTCAACACAGGTAATATTTTGAAGTACAAAATCGAAAAAAGACAGAACAGTTTTTCTCATTTTAAAAAAAATAATTTCTTTACAGGATACAGTAATTGGAATTCATGCTTTAGCAAAATTAGGAGAAAAATTGTCAACAAAGGACAATAATGTTGCAATTACGTTCACGTATGAGAATGGCGGACAAAGTCAAATAAACATTAATCCAGCTAATGTAATGATTCTACAAAAGCACATTGTAAGTATAAAAATGAAATCTGTCAAACAAGAAGAAATAAAAAATATTATTTCTTAATATTAATTTGACTGAAATGTTTTGCTTTTAGCTGCCGAAAAAAACTCGAGTTGTCAACATAACGGCAAGTGGAAATGGTTTTGCTTTTGTACAAGTGTCATCGCGTTATAATTTGAATGTAACTGGAGCTTGGCCACTTTTTACACTTGACCCTCAAATTACCAGAGCTTCAAATGAACATCATCTTCAACTCACTGTTTGTTCTGGGTAAATTTTTTTTCTATCATTCAATCTCAGAATTAAGAATAAAAAGAAAATTATAAGATTTTTATGAAATTTATTTTCAATTATAGCTTTGTGCCAACTAACGAAACAAGTGAGAGTAATATGGCAGTTATGGAAGTGAGTTTACCGTCGGGTTTCACGGCCGATATGGATTCATTGCCAAGTTTAGAAGCTTTTCATAATGTTAAACGCGTAGAGACGAGAAATGGTGACACGATGGTTGTGCTTTATTTCGATAAGGTAAATTTACTTTAATTTTTATCTTTTTTTATATATGTAAGTGTTTATATTTATCAACAAATGTTTAAGATTCATTTATTATTAACAATAATGTTGTAATTTTTGAATTCGAAAACAAAATTGAATAATGGATTGATATTAATAATTGTGTGCTTTCAGATGAATGTCACTGAAAATTGCCCGACCGTTTCTGCATTTAGAACACATAAAGTTGCAAAACAGAAGCCAGTACCTGTATCGATATACGATTATTATGATTCAAGTGAGTAGACAATAATCCAAAGTTTCCTCTTTTCATAATTTCTTTTCTTTAAATTAAATTATTAAATATCCAAAATTTAAATATGAATAACATAATTTAATTATTAAAAATTTCACATCACAGCAAGAAGAGCACGTGCATTCTATAAACCAACATTAACGACTCTCTGCGATATTTGCGAGGAAGAAGATTGCGGAAATGTATGTAAATCTCAACCACTTCCTGGCTCTATAAGATCGGCAGCAAGTGCTTTTCAAATCCCATGTACATATATTGCCCTACCTATCTTTAGTGTCTTTAAGCTTTTACTCTCGACATAAAGGTTTAAAATTTATTTTTCATTTATAAGACTACGAGAAATCCAGTGCCTTGCACCAGAAATGATAACCAAAGTGTTTTAATTGAAACAAAATATATAGAATTAACCGAGTATTTTTTGCAAATACAAACGTTGTTAGTGAATTGTGTTCCTTTTTTACTGCAATTGTTTCTTTTTCAAAAAAGTTGACTTGTAAAATTTGTACATTCCATGCAAGGAATCTAGGAATATTAATTATTATTATAAAATGAAAAACACATGTATAGACGTAACAGTTAAAAACGAATGGGTACTGTATATGTGTGTATTTAAGTATGTTTTGTAATATGATCTACTAATAAAATGTATTATTGTTACCTATGAGCATTATATTCTCTTCTACTAAGAATGATATAGTCACGGAATTATTTTGAGGTTAATCCATGAATAATTTTTTATTTCATCATACCACAATTATTTGTGCACAGTGTTGTTAAACAATTCTATACTACCATTAATTATTATAAACTAAAATTTTAAGAGCACTTTTTGTAAAATTAAAATTAATGTTTATTATCATTCTTCTGTCAATAAAGTACTGTCCATAAACTAAATGTAAGATTGGCAATTGCATATAAAATTCTAAACTTGTCCAGAGCATAGTACCAAAAATTGCCACCAGGTGGTCCTAAAATATTAAAATTGATTGATTCTGTACGACTCTTTCTCACTTTCATTGTCTTGGTTTGTCTCTGCGAAATTTTCGTCTGGTAAGTACTTCAATTGTTTTTTATTTTTTTTTTTAATAGAAAAAATTTGACTGTCTAACTAAATCAATATCGATTATTAATCTTTCATTGTTTTTTTTTCTTACAAATTTCCATTGTCCTGGGTTTCAAAGTGCATTAATTATTAACTTTTTCCACTTGCCACAGTGATTACATAAATGGATCCATCCTCGAGAATTCATTACATTTGCCCCCTTTTTTGTAGAATTGTAAATTTTTTATTTAATTTCTGAATGAAATGTGATTATTCCCACTGTGCACTCCAAAGTAAAATGTTAGAATTGATTTGTGGTAGAATTTTTAGCTAAAATAATATTGAATGTCAAACATTTTGACTGACAGGTTCTTTAGAGTAATTCGGAAAGTAAAATTTAATTTCATTAACTGATTATTGCTTTCTCGACTGTTTGTTTAATTGAAGAATATATATTTTTTGCAGGGATAACCCACCGAACAACAACCATGCTGCGAACTAGTAAAAATTTAATTCAGCTGGCTGCTGCGCCTCAGCAGCAACAGCAACGAGGGATGGCAACTCTAAAGGCCATTTCGATGCGATTAAAGTCAGTGAAAAATATTCAAAAAATTACTCAGTCCATGAAGATGGTGTCAGCAGCAAAATACAGTCGTGCCGAACGTGATTTAAAACAATGTCGTCCTCTCGGCGAAGGAACAAAAACCTTCTACGAGCAGGCGGAAATCCAGCCCCCCGAAGGTGAGCCCAAGAAGCTCGTCGTCGCCGTTACCAGCGATCGAGGACTTTGTGGTGCAGTGCACACGGGTGTTGCGCGTAATATTCGCGAGTCTCTCCTCAACAACCCCACAGAACGAGACAATACAATGATTGTTTGTATCGGTGAGAAATCACGTGCCATTCTCTCCCGACTTTTCGCTAAAAACATTCTTTTCGTCGCATCCGAAGTTGGCAGGAAACCACCGACTTTCAACGACGCCGCCAAAGTAGCCAATGAAATAATGAACAGCGGGTAAATATTTTTTTTCTAATAAAGAAAATGATTAATTATTCATCTTTAATAATGTGAAATAACATTTGTTTTATAGCTACAGTTTCGGCGGTGGTCGGATTGTTTACAATAAATTCAGATCAGTGGTTTCGTACAAAGTCGATCACTTACCTCTTTACGACAAGAATGCGGTAACTACTGCGCCAAAATTGTCAGTCTACGATTCCCTAGACGAAGGAGTAATTCAAAGTTATCTCGAATTTTCCTTGGCTTCGTTGCTCTTCTACTCGATGAAAGAAGGCGCATGTAGCGAACAATCCAGCAGAATGACTGCCATGGACAATGCCAGCAAGAACGCAGGAGAAATGATTGACAAGCTCACCTTAACATTCAACCGCACCCGACAAGCCGTCATTACCAGAGAACTTATTGAAATTATTTCCGGTGCTGCTGCTCTGGATTAAAAGCATAAAATCTCCCTTAATGTTGATTAGCGTACCCTAGAGTACATACATCGTCGCAATTGCGATATCACCCGAGGCCTCACGGTTGATATTCAATTTCCTAAGAAAAAAAAATCGATTCTATCTTTCTGTTTAATTCCAGAAACTCTCCCAGAAACATGAAAAATTTGCAAATTAAAATCACAAACGTGTATCTAGATGGAGGCTTGGCGATCAATAAATTTGTTGAAAAACTCTTGGTTAAATTTGTCTTAATTTTCATTTCAAAGAAAATACTATATTTTTAAATTATAATTTAGAATATGTAATAAGAAACGATTTGTAGATTTTCATTTGTTACTTATAATTTTTAACTGTTTTTAACCTCCTTTTCCATATGAAAACTATACATATATATATAGGACAGGACAATAATTTTTATTGATAAATATAATGTAAATATTGACATAATGTAAAAAAGTGACATGACGACGCTGAAAGTAATAAAGAATCGTATAAGATCCGTGGGTAATACAAAAAAAATATCGCAGACAATGCGAATGGTTTCGGCGGCAAAATATGCAAAAACAGAAAGGGAATTGAAAAGTGTGCGTTCATTTGGCAAAGCAGCAGTACAATTTTACGACTTAATTGAATTAAATCCACCGATTGACCCTGAATCACAATTGGTGATTACACTCACCGGTGATCGTGGACTTTGCGGTTCAATTCATTCAGGAATTGCTAAAGCAGTTATCACAGATTTCCAACGTTTATCGAAACTTTCAATGAAAACAAAACTAATTTGCATAGGCGATAAAACTCGTGTGATTTTATCGCGTGATCATTCGGACAAGATTTTATGGGTTGCCACTGAAATTGGAAAGAAGCCAATGACATTTATTGATGCCGCTTCCATTTCGCAGAAAATTTTAAAAACTCAAGCTGATAATAAGTTCCATCAAACTCTCATCTATTACAACAAGTTGGTTCAATTCTTTACTTTCTTTTTCCTCCCAATTAAGATGTACTTTATTTTGCTGAAATCACTGTTTATCAATCAGGTTTATCAATGCAAGTTCCTATAGTGTTTCGGCTATTAATCTTTACGAGTCAGGGGCTCTTTATGAATCGAGTAGATTTCTTTTTTACGACGACATTACTGCAGAGACTATTAGATGTTGGCTGGAATTCACAACAGTCGCGATAATTTATTGGCTTCTAAAGGAAGGAATCACAAGCGAATACGCGGCAAGAATGAATGCAATGGAGAGCGCAACAAGAAATGCTTCCGAAATGATCAAAGGATTAATTTTGTCCTACAATCGAACTAGACAAGCAACAATAACAAGAGAATTGATCGAAATTATCTCCGGTGCGAGTGCTGTGGAAAGAAAGGATTAATCAATTTTTCTTATAATTTTAAATCTGATTCTCTAAAGCTATATTTGTCATATAAAATCTATAACTTGAAGGAAATTTGCAATATTTATTCAAGTGAAAATTATATACTATATATATTTATATATACTTCAAAATTTCCTTTTGGTTCCGATTTCTTTGTTTTACAGTTTTTTGCAATGTCTCCATATTTTTAAGTACCAATAATAATAGTAATAAATTAAACTAAGGAGCATTATTATCTCAAATTTTTCATCAACAATTTAAGACACATTTATTTTAATCGCATTTGCACAAAATCGCTTTTTCCAGTTGCCTCATATCTTAATCTATGTACAACACCCTTAATGAAATTAATTACCACAATATATTAAAAACAAACAAAAAGAAAAATGACTTGAGGTTTACAAATGCATTTTGACTGACTATAATGTGTTGCAAATACGAGCACTTTGAAATAATAATAATAATAATAATAATAATAATATGTAATAATAATTGAATTGTAAGGAAAAAAAACCCTAAGTAATTACATACATGGAAAATACTTACAATACAGATTTTTTAACGCTTCGTAACTGATATTGAAGGCGGAAATTGGAGATTTAAAAAGATTATAGCTTATCGAACATTTACCAAAAGAATCGCAGTCATACAGACAATTATCTCTTTAAAAGAGTTAAAATAATAGAAATTATGCACAAATATAGAAAAAAATAGCTGAATATACAGTTAATTGGCAATTAATTTTGCACAAAAATCCATATATTGACCAGACTTTGCATTTTGCTACTTAATTCACATCGCTCAAGGTGAACTTCAACTGGACAAAAAATTAAATTTTCCTTTTGTTTTAAATTTTCCGCGACTTATTTCACTAAAATATTGTTAATGAAAAATAAATATAAAAAACAAATCAAGATTTAATGCATACAACTTTGACAACAAATAATGTGATAAAAATAATTGAATCATTGAAAATAATCAAAAATGTCAAAATGTAATAAAATCAAAAAAATATCCGAAAAAGTGTTTAAAATGAATTTTGTTTCGGATTAAAGATATTTTCTAGTTCACCTTGCGCTCTTTGACAATTGCTAATTTCATGGAAATTACACAAAGATGACTTCTTATTTTCTTTGAAACGCCACTTGTTTCGATGCATATACAGTCTTTAATTTTTTTCTGGTAAAAGACATTAAAAACAACTGACGATAAGAAAAAGATTTGACAAAATAATTAATAAAAACACTTCACCATTCTGCATCGCCACCCGCTTTTTGAAACACAAAGTCTTTCCCACTTAAGTTCATGATGCCATCTTTCAAGAAGAACTTCCATTTGTTCCTGCTCCTCGTAATCTAAAACAAATACAACCAACCATGTGATTATTTATAATATAAATTTTTCATTAAATTGATTACATTTCGGAATTTTCTCATAAAATAAAACTTATAAAATTTGCTTTTTAACTACCTTGTCATATTGGCAAACAACAACATTGTCCGTTTCAAATTGATCAGTAGGATCGTCATCAGTTACATCATCTTCGGAATTGAGGGGTTCCTGAATAAAAGAAAAAATTTCTATCTTTCCGAACTAGATGTCAAAACAATTTAAAGTAGTGTGAAATAAATTACTGTCAGTTTTAAGACATTTTTTAAATTAAAAAAAAGAAAAGATTGTCAGACCTCTTCTCGTGCAGCGGCGTCATCATTTTCCTCTTCTTGATTTTCATCGAGATCTTCATCGTCATCATCATTGTCATCTTCCTCCTCATCGTCATCATCATCTGACGAGTCTCCATGTTGGCCATCTAGTTGCGCTATATTCCCCTTTAATTAGAAAATATAGATTCAGAAAATATTTCTTACTAAAATGTCAAATTACAAAATTAAGTATGTACGTACTTGATTTTGAATTGTTCGTTGGGCAGCGATGTTATTAGATGACTGCGAGACAACTTGAAGAGGTTGATTCACCTGTACGGTAGTTAAACCAGCTTGACCTTGCAATGTAGAATTCACGTGTTGCTGTAAAAGTGTTGTTGCAAATTCTGCAGGTAATCCCATTGCAGCTGTGATAACGGGTCCAGTTAAAATCTGCTGCAGTTGATTTCCTGTCGAAAAACATTTGTTTTTCTCATTAGATTAATTCTTAACGATAGGAATAAATAAAAAATAAATTTTCTCAAAGAAAGGAATAAGATTTACCCGCGATTGCAGAGGCAGGAACGTGAATGGTTAAGACTCGAGCTTGGGTGTCGCCTTGAGCAGGTAACGTGATTTGAATTGGCACTTGTCTTTCCAGGACAGAAACGGGAGTTGTCGCAACTTGTTGCACTGTTTGAGTTATTGTTTGTTGATTGAGAATGCCTCTATTATGAGTCAATGTTTGTTGAGGTTGAGATAGTTGCTGAGGTTGTTGTACTATGGAAGAGCTTCCTGTTGACGACTGTTGTACATTATTTTTCGTTACACCCGAATTTGCTGCCAATAAATAATGAAATGTATTTTTAATCCGATTTTTATCATTTGAATTACTTAATTATTTTTTCATTATTATTCAAAAAGATAATTTTCTCGAAACGAACCTTTACTAACGTTAACAGACTTATGAAGAACTTGAGGTGGTGGAGGTTCCGGGGAATCGGGATTCAATTCAACTGCTTTGCTAGATATTAACTTATTTTCCCATATTTGTTTCAGTTCTTGTAGCACTTGTTCGTCCACCCCTTCGTCCAGAAAAGACTCACGCACTCCAGCAATTACATCCTCTATTACGGTATTATACAGTTTTAACTAGAAGAAAAGCACAAAATTATTTACATTAAAAAAAATAATAAAAACAATATTAGAAATCATATTTGAAATTGATGAAAGAAAAAGCTAAAAATAATTTTTTATATTAATAGTTAATCTAAAGAAATTCAAGGAAAAATGATGAACAGATTATCATTAAATATTGAGTCTAATCTATATTACTTTCTGATAATGTATGAACAAAACTTTATTATGGCTTTAATAAAGAAGAAAATGAAAACTTTTAAATTCATTAGAAAATACAGTGATAAGCAAATTACACGTGTTAGATACGCTACAATTGTTTATTCAGATAAGAAATTTGGTAATGGAAAAATACGTGACATAATTGTCTTTGAATGAAGCTACATTGTCAAATTTTTATAGTTAACATTCTGATAGAGTTTTTAATGAAATAATGCACATGACTAAATAATTTGTTATTCTCCAGTAGCAGGAAATTGACAATTTTCAGTTTAATAAAAATTATGCAGACAATGCAAAAAATGAACGTTTAATACTTTGTCCAGGTAACCATTATAGTTTGCAAAAGATATGACACATGTACATGGCAATCGTTATTAATCATCTCGCTTTTCATGTTCTAGTTTCATTTCTCTTTACTCACCACGCTGGTTTGACTGAGGGACATTGTGGGATGATTCGTATTGTCAATCAAACGAAAAACAATACCAATAATCCTAAATCAACGTTGCCTCTCAATGCCGAAGTTCCCTGTCGCTCACAAGCCTTTTATACTTTCTCATCGGACAATACACACTAATTTGCACTTATTTCTGTTAACGAGACTCGCAAAACTGTAGTAGTAAATTTTCTCATGTGAAAACTCCAAAACTCGAGAGTTTACATGTGACGACAAGTTTAAAGGTGCGGTCACAGCTCTTCTGCCAGCCAGTTATGAATGAGTGTGAGTGAAAAAGAGAATCTAAATTCAAATGTTTCTTCTCGCTCATATACTCTTGCTCTTGCCTCGTCAGCAGAGCTGTGAGAGAACCTTTAGGCCAAATGGGACTTTAAGCTGTGTTTACATGCTCGCAGTTGTTTTCATATTCTTCTATCCTTGTTACACTCATTGATCAACGCAAAACGGCAAAATAGGCAAAACACTCAGCTTAAAGCCTTGCCCTTGATCATATTATAAATTATAAACTTTATAAAATTGTCAATATTAATTATTATAAATCTCTAATATTCAACTGTAAATAGTTGACAAATAATTTTTAAAAATCAGTTGAATTATTTACTGAATCTATTACAAATTATTATTTTTTCAAACTTTATACATGTTTTGACTTTGGTAGTGACGATCCTAGATGACGTTTTTAAAAATGGCCGCCTCAAGTGATTTTTGACATTTAACAGGAAGTAATAATATTTACATTGTGATAAAATTATTAAAGGTTCGTATATTACGATCTTATGTAAAATGGAATAAATTTACAAAAATTAAACATATTCATTAAATAAATAAATTAATTAAGTGTTGTAAATTTGAAATAAAAAAGAATTTATTTGACAATTCCTAACCTCTACGGTACATTATAAAAGTTCTTAAAAAATGAATATAACAATTTTTTGACCTCAATTTACTTGTTAATTTCATTATTAAATAAACTTAGAATCTATAGAAGATTTTTAATCCATATTGCTATATTTTTCTTTATAGTAATTGTTGAAAGAAAAAGACAACTATCTTATTATTGTTTTACAGCATTTAATTATTAATACTACCTATTCTCCTTTTTTTATAACACCTCCTTTTTTATTTCTTATTAAAATTAAAATAGAAAAGGTTAATATTAGTTTTTATGAATAATTGATAAAATTTGTATTCTTTTAAATTTTTTTAAGGCAATTATAATTGTTTCTTTTATTTCAGCTCCACATAAAGACGATGCTTTTGATGATTTAATTTTAAGAAACTTTCTAAACTAGATATAAAAAGAGTCAAGATGCGTTCGAGAGATGATGAAAACGTAATATTTAGTAACAATTCTAGTAATAGTAATCAAGTCGATTGGTCGAGATATGGTTTGCGAGAAACAGAAAATCGTAGTGAACAATCACAAAACAGAAGTTACGATGAATTTGGCCCTGAAATGTATCAAACGGGAACAAATGAACTTTTTGCTCAGGAATATGTAAGTACTTTATTAGATTTACAATAACTGGAAAAAAAATAAATCTAATTCATCTGTAATTGTCTTTTTTATTCTTTTTACAGAATGCCGATCCATGGTGGAAGTCAAATTTTTTTATATCCCAGCCAGTTTTATTTGGTACTTGGGATGGAGTTTTTACTTCCTGTTTAATTAACATTTTTGGAGTAATTGTTTTCTTAAGATCAGGATGGATAGTGGGAGAAGCAGGAGCTTTACATGCAGTTTTAATAATTTTAGCAACAGGCAATTATTTACATGTTTTAAAATTTCTATCTCTAAACATTAATTTTATTACATTTTATTTTTGAATTTATTTTCAAATTTTTTAATTTAATGAATATCTCTAATTTTTTTTTTTATGGTAAAAAATAATATAATCTATTAAACATTTTTCAGTTTGTGTCGCATTGGTGACAGTGCTGTCAGCAGTAGGAATTTGTGAAAGATGCCGAGTCGAAAGCGGTGGAGTTTATTTTTTACTATCTCATGTTCTTGGGTCGAGATTTGGTGGTTCTATTGGATTATTATACTGCTTTGGACAGGTAAATTATTACATTTTGTCGTTTTTTTATTTTTTGGTTCTAATTTGGAATTTCAATATTTAGGCGGTTGGTTGTGCTCTCAACGCTTTGGGTTTTGGAGAAACTATGGCCGTATTTTTCGGTCATCAAATACCCTGGGCAGAACAAATATGCGCTTGTGCTGCGGTACTTTTACTTTCGGTGATAAATGTCGCTGGAGTAAAATGGGTCGTGAAACTTCAATTTATTCTTTTGCTTATTCTTCTTTTGGCTGGTGCCGATTTTATGGTTGGCTCATTCACTCACGAAAATCCTGGTAAATTTAAACTTTTAAAGTAATAGTTAAATTAGTTTTGGTACTAATTATTGTAAAAAATATTTTGTTAATTTTTTTTTAGAGTCTGGATTCGAAGGATGGCTATCGGGAAATTTGAGAAAAAATATTTTCCCATCCTACGACAAAGGAAACGGATGGTTTACAAGTTTTGGTGTATTTTTCCCAACTGTTACTGGCGTTTTGGCTGGAATTAACATGAGTGGCGATTTACGACAACCATCAACTAATATTCCGAATGGAACATTGGCAGCTCTAGGAACAGGGTAATTAAAGCAATTAAATAATATATAATTTTTAATTTCTCTAAAAGAAAAATAGTGGAGGATGATAATTTTCTATTTTTGCAGAACGTTTCTTTACTTGATTTTCTCACTCTTTCTTGCAACAACTTGCACGAGGGAAATTTTGAAAAATAATTTCATGATAGCCTCGACAGTGTCAGCCTTTCCGGTCTTGCTCCTCGCGGGGCTTTACGTCTCTTCGTTTAGTAGCTGTTTGGGAGCAATGTATGGTACACCAAGAGTTCTTCAATCAATTGCTGGACAAAATGTTATACCTGGCATCAGTTGCTTACAAAAAGGCGTTAGTATACTGCATTTCTTTTTCAACTTACATAGAATATATTTAAAAAATTTGTTTGCAATATTTTGAAAGAAGAATTTTATTTTTAGAAAGGACCAAATAAAGTACCAATCTATGCAATGATGGTGGTGGCTACTATCACACTGGCTTTTATTATTAAAGGACAAATTAATACACTAGCTGTGATAGTTACAATGCCATTTTTGTTGACCTACGCTTGCATGGACTATGCTTACTTTGCATTAGCTCAAACATTTGACTTACGACACTCGCGAGAACAAAGATTCTCGTCTCAAACTCCAACTTTTGACAGAAATTACGGCGCTGCCGAGAGAAATGAAGGTGTAGAGACTGAAAATGATTTAGACGTTTTATTCCCCGAAAGAATTCGACATAAAACTATTGCTGTGAGTTTTTTTAAATATTAGTTACCACTAAAAAATGTTGAAACATTAAAATATTAATATTTATTTTCAATTTTGATGCTTACATTTTCATTTTTTGTTTTTAATTTAATGAAATTTAAAAATTGAATATTTTGTTGGATGAATTATTTTTTTCAGACAAATCCAAATTTCTCAGATAATGTAAATGTCGAGTCGTCGCCAAGTTTAGATGAAAATAGCAGTGTAGCTGATACGATGGCGAGGAGAGTACATATTCACGGAAAATTAGGAAACTGGTACAGTCCTTTTTGCAATCGTTGGTTTTCCCTCCTCGGCGTAAGTTACTTTTTCAGAAAAGAAATATTTAAAAAACACTAATTTATTAAAAATTTAAATAATAAATAATGTTTCGTTCCAGGCGCTCGTGAAACTTTTGATAATGTTCTTGGTCAACTGGGTGTACGCATTAGTGAATATTATTGTTGTTTTCCTCGTTTGGAGTTATATAGGACACGCAAATCCTGCTGTGAAACCTGGAGTTTCCGCTGAATTTAAACTCTTTAAATGGTTAAAAAATTCAATTCTCAAATTAATGGGGTGAGAAATTGTAGCATAATTTTTTAAAATTAATTCTAATTTTAATACGAATTTTTAACAAATTATCAAGACAATTTTGTTTCTTTTCTTTTTTTTTTTTTATAAATTTAGAGATATGTATTATGCATTAATTGAATCATTTTTCCAGGAGAAAAGTTTACGATTACGAACAAATAGTTGTAACGTCCGTTCATCCTGGAGTTGAAACATCTTCCGCACAATTAAATGAAGAGAATGAAGATTTCTCCGAGAGAAGAAGATATCATCAAACTTCAACAGTCACTGGACAATATGTTTACATTGATTGATAGTCTAAACCAAAAAATTGAGCATACTTAAATTAGTATTGCTGATTCAAATTTTAATTAATTTTACTTTCTCGTAAAGTATTATTTTCTATTTAATGAAATTATAAATAATGGCATAGTTTTCGCACAATTTAAAAAGAATTTTAATTAATTCCATGTTAATATTAATTTGCTTATTTTAATAGAGGCTATTTGAATTAAAAATTATATTTGATTTATTAGTGTTTTAGATTTTTTTATTCTACGATGCTCTAGTACTTGAAATTGGAATGATTTATTCTTTTACAAGACATTCCAGAAAGTTTTATTTTTTAAAAATGACTTTTAATATGAAAATTAATGTTAAAGACACTTTGTGAATTTTATAGCAGCTATATAATTATACTATTTTATTGAAAATTTTAAAGCACATTCTGCAAGATTTACTTGGACTGAAAATATTCTTTGATTGTCAAAGATAAAATTTGTGAGATTAAATTTTGTAAGATTTTTAATGAAAAAAAGCAAAGGAATTCTTGCTAGACTGCTGACGAACAAAGAGTTCTTAATTATTAAACTCTTCACCTATGTTCGTCACTTCAGATACTCTGTACATAAATAATTTATATATTTATATAAATATATTGTAGCTTTTTAGGTTTTTATAAATGTCCTAACCAATTATAATTAATTGTGAAAAACTTTTAATAAAGGTTTAATTTAATTTATAAGAATTTTATTGTCATTATTTAACTTTTTCAACCCAAACAGTAAAATATTAGTTATTAAGTACATAATTAAATTTCAATGATATATTTATTATAATAATTGTAATAATAAAAACATTATTGTTTATATTTTACTAATTTCTATGTAAATATTTATTTTAGTAAAATCTTTTCTTATACCCGATTAAAGTGAAAATGTAAAATAAACCTGAACGTAAATGTATTGATTAATAAATATTTTGTATTTTATTGTATATACATAATATGTGTAATTACGTTTAAAGTTAAAATATTATTTGAATTCAAAAAAGTTCCCCGCCCTTTTAAGGCAACCAATGAGAGTGATTGAAATGGTATCACGTGATTAGTTCGAGAAGCGTCCATCATTTCCGGTAGAGCGGAGGAGCAGGGTAGAACATGTAATTTATCGGTGGTAAATATATTCATTATTTCCATTAAAAAAATTAATTATTTAATAATTTTAAATAATATTAATTTAATAATTAATTAAACTTGTTTTACATCATTTTGTGTATATAAAAACGGCAAGCGCAAATTAAAAAATAGTATATTTCTTTGAAAGAAAATTCCATTCCGTTGATCTACTTGGATATATAGTCATTCGCGCTGTTTTTGATCACTTGGATCCACTTGGATCAAAAACTTCCGGTTGAGCGGGTGTACGTTTGAGGTTCTAACCTCAAAATATTGCGACATTAATTTGCTTAATATTCGATTATATTAAAAGTAGTTCGTGTTTAAGTATATTGACAAATTTTGATAAAATGAAGTTGGGATTAAACGTTTTTACTGAAAATTCATACGTTTTTCATTAAGAAAATGTATATAATTCGTGAACAAGGTTTGCAAAAGCTCATTGTTATTGTATTCGCATTATTGTAGTTATTTACGTTCTTTATTTTATCCAACTTTGATTTTTTTCTTGATTGAAATAACAGCAAATGAGTATAAATGGTATAAATTTATTAATTTGTAAGTTCGTTATTACTTTTTATATCAATTTAGTGTAGAGTTAGTGAATTAATAATAATAATTATAACATTATTGACACTGTTGAATTGTTATGCTATTCACAATTTCATCAGTTCAGGTAAACATTTTATAAATTTGTAATTTTTGTTTATATACTCATATAATATCGAGAAAATATAATTAATTATTAATAATAATGCTTTATATCAAGATGAGTTTGAATACATAATTATACAAAAACTATTGTAAAATTAATTATCGAACAATATTACTGATTTAATTAATGCGATCAATTTCGTATAGTTTGTAAAATTAAATGTATTAGATATTTATAAATCTAATTTTTGTTTAAATTGAATATTAATAACAATTTTCATGAATTTTTCAGGTCACCACCAACAAACATGAATATTATTTTGGAATAATTATAATTTCGAAGGAAAATTCAGAAATATGGAAATTAAAATACCTTGGATTGTGTATATTTTTGATTTTGTGACATCACGGTGAGTTTGTTATTTTAATAATATATTTGACAGCTTTCCATTTTATGGTTTACTGAAATATTTATTTTAACGTTCTGAAAAATCTTATATTTTCGAAACAATTTTACTGATCTTTTTTAAGAAACATTTTTCAATGATTTAATAATGTATAATGAAAAATGTTGATGTTGGAATTTTCTCTTGTTCGTCAGTACAATCATCATTATCAGTTTTGGACTTTTGTTTGTTGAAAGTTAAAAATGAATTTTCTTAGTTTCTAGAAATTTACTAGAGTAACTAATCGAATTTAGAGATGATTCTTGTTTAATGAAGGATTGTGAATCATTGAGATTGAATGTTAGGTCGTCGAAACGAAAGGGGTACCTGAAAAAGCAGGGAATGTTTGTGTCCGTATGTGTGGGGGTGGTGTTGGGTCGCTACAGGGATCTAGTCGGATCTGTCGGATTCGCGTTCAAACTTCAGTGCGCGACCAACCACCAACCGTGTGTATGTTCGGAGCAACTGCTCTCTCGGTTCTCGGAGGCTGCGCCTGCATATCTGATACAAACTCTGCCAAAAATCTGCCAATTTTATTCACTTCTTTTCAACTTCCGCCAGCTGCGGTGAGCCCCAATTTTTATACCAGTTTTTTTTCTCTCTTTTTTTCCCTTTATTTTATTTATCTTTCAAAATTATCAACTTTTAATACCCCCAGAAAATAAAAAACTTTATTTTTAATTAGATTGACAAAAATTTGTTTTCTCTAATTTATTTATAAATAAATTTTTAAGAAATTGCGGGAAAAGGTAGTGACGCGAATACTGAGGTTAAATTGAGTTATGAATTCTAAAATGGGAATTTTTTTTGGTATTCTTTTCTAATATTTTTTTTATCGAACTTGAATGAGAAAATATTATTGAGATTTTAATCTGAAAATTCTTGAAGTGCTTCGTGAATATTGAAGGTAGTTTTATTTACTTTTGAGATAAATTCCGCTTGTGAAGAATTTTACGCACGTGCAGATGGTTTTTACCGGTTCATGAGAGCTACACGTGTGAATAGTTCTTGTGCAAATAGTTTTTTCTTTAATATAATTTTTCAATAGATGAAAATGAACTAAATTTTTTTTATATCAATATGGAATATTTTTTCTACATTTTTCTCTACATTTTTCTCTCCAAATTTTCAAATATTTTTTTTTTTATCAAAATATTTTATTTCCATTCCCATTTTTTCTCATTATAAAAAATGGAACAATTTTTTCAAAGTAAATAAATTAATCTTAATTTTAAAAATTGAAATCAAATTAAATTATCAAAATTTTAGTAGGTAATTGTCTAAATGTGTGAAACAATTTAGCAAAAGTAAACATTTTTATTTTTATTAAAAAGAAATTAATAACAAATTTTCAAATAATTATCATATTAAAAAGATGCATTGAATTTTACTGCATTTTTTATTAAATATTTTACTTAATATTATCAAATAAATTTTTTATTACTGTTATTAAATATACAGTGAATTGTTTTTGAAGTTTATTGTATTTTATATTTGAAATATCTTTATTAAAGATTACAAAGTTTATTTGATGGTTAAAATTTTGTTTTATCGATTAATAATAAAAAAAAAACGTTTCCTCGCTTGCTGTAAAATAAAATTTTTGAACTGAACGCGGTATTTTTTAATAAACAAAAATACGAGGTACAATAATAAATATCATAAAGTTTGATTTACAAAATGCAATTTAATATTCTTTTATTTTTTTGAGGTGATTTTTTTCTTATTCTATACATTGACCAATACTAAAAGCAATAAATAAATTAAATATCTAATAAAATTTAATTTTAATATTAATAAATGATGCACAAATATTAATATAAGAAGCGTTTATGAGAAATATAGATTTATTTGATTAAATATTATTTTATTTTATATGTGAAAATACATAAAGTTTAAAAGTGCAATCATCAGTTTTAAATATATTTACGCAGTTTAAAAAAAAATTATTAACACTTTTTATTATTTACTAGAATTTATGTAGATATTTTATTCTATTGAATTATTCTCGTGAAATTCTAAAGATCTAGATTTCATGCGCAGTCATTCTATGAAAATTCTATAGAATTGTTTTGAAATATTCTTTTATCCCTTTTTAGTTTTTAGTATTTAAGCCCAGAAAATTAGCGTCTCACTTATGACCAGGTTTGATTCTACATTATAAATTCAATATTGAAAGGAAATTGAAACATTTTAAGATGATAGATTTCCACCTTTGGAAACTATTTTTAAAGAAAGTTAATTATAGAAGTTACTTTTAAATTGCATGTTGTAAAAAAATACTGTCACAAAATGTTGTTTTATTTTATATAGGTACAGTAGAATCACTATGGGACATTTAAGAAACTTGATAGTTGAAAGTTTTCTTAAAGTTTATCGAGAGAGTTGTACTTAAGAAAGTACAAAGTGCGATATTTGATTTCATTCTGAAGATGTTGACGCGAAAATTGTAGGTGTGTTTGGGAATATAATTGTTGGTGAGTGAGACGACAACAAACGACTTTGCGAGTAGTATACATATATAAGTATAAAAGTGGTATAGCGTTGAAGGCGATTGACGGTGGCAAAACATGGGGGTTGGTAGTGGTGAATATAGTATTATGAACGACCAACTCGCTTTCGCGTAACCGCTAATGGGCTTCTTTCTTGCTCACATATACTCGCGTTTATATATTGTATATAGGTATACATATATTCAGTATGGTTTCTATTCAAATAAATCATAATGCTTTTCATTTCGAATTTATCTTTTCTTTGGAAGGATAATTAATACAATCCGAAAAGATAATACTTGTTTTGGGTTTCTCGCATATTTATACTATTTTTTATTTTTTACAATGAAAATTGTACATACAAAATAAGATTCTTTACTTGGTTCAGTTTGCAGAGCCTCAAACAAAATAAAATTTCAGTTTAGTTTAGTTTTTCTTTGTTGATGTTGTAGAAATTTTACACTCGCATTGCGCATTGTGTGACAAATAGGAAAGAATTTTTGTTTGATTATTGTAGAAAATATTATTATTATTATTATTATTATTATTATTATTATTATTTCAAGTATATGCTTGAAGAAGAAGAAGAAGGGCGAAGAAGCTGAAAAGTCGAGTGGGACGAAGCAGAGACTCGCAAAGGGTCGAAAAGAGTATACAGAGGGTCCATTATCGTAATTAATAGGTACCATTACAATTAACGCGCTGGAGACGCGGCGCCTGGGGCGAGGATTCCTTTTACGGGGTGAGCTTTTATCGTGGCGGCAGTTTCACCGGCGCAGGAGGCACGAAATGGACCGTATTCCATTCTTTCTGCATGCGTATACACATACTTGAAGATTTCTTTTGTTTATATTTGTCTCAAGAAGGAGAAGTGCAAGTAGATTTTGGTCTGTCTCTTACCTACTTACTAAAAGTTTACGTCGCTTTTCCAAATTTCCTTCCTAAATCTGTTATGTAAATATAAACTTTTCCATCTTTTTTATTCTGGTGAATATAATATAATTTTAAACAAAAGCAAATTAGTAGGTATTCAAAGGAAAGTAAGAAAATTTTTGAACAAAATGCATATTATAATGTTGAATGACATGAAAAATGGAAGTGAATCCTCTCTGGCTGGGATTTTTTATTTTCTTGATGACGTTGTGCAGATGCAGGACCCATGACAGGATTTGCTGCTTAAATATTTACACCGTCAAACCCGTCGCATCACTGGGAAACGCCTTCGTCTCTCTTTCTCTTCTTTTTTTTCACTTTTTTCCACTTTTTTTCACATTCCCGTCCCCCATCTTTGCCCTGCCGTCACACTTGAGACCGGGAAATTAGATTTCCCGGGGAAAATGTCACCGGCTTTCGTAGACGGAGCTTCTTCTTTCAAAGCTTCGCCTTCGTCGACGTCGTAAAGGCAAACTTAAAGGCAACTCCCTTCTTTTGCCAATCCACTGTCCCTCCCGCTCCTTCTTCTTTGCCACCCTTCTTTGCAACACACACCCCCCTCTTCTATTGCTTTTATCCACACACTGGTCATTTTTCCTAAAGATAGTAGACAAGGTATCAATTTTTCTTTTTGTAATCACTATTTTTCAAAGAGTTGCATGATTTGAATTGTAAAACATAGTTTTACTCAAACTGACCCATTTAATTTTATGGATAAAAGGGGCTTTACAAATTAGAATAATAATATATTGAAGGTACATCGAAAGAAAAACGAGCGTCGAGTCGTTTGAAAACGAAAAAAATGTTTCTCGACTAGAGTAGTTTGTTTCCCGTGAGTTTTCCTAAAGAGTTGCGAAAAAAGGATAGAAGCTTGGTTCCCGTTGTTTCCCCTGGTATTGGCTATGGTTAAGGGATTTGGCGTCTCTCTCTGCTTTTCTTCATTTTCCCCTGTGATTTTTTCTCTTATACTCTGTCACTATTCTGATCCTTTCTATTCTTTCCCCGGAGGCAATGACTTTCCATATTGATTCCGAGGGCGTGAAGAGGGAAAGAAACATATTGAGCCAGCCGGCTCATTACTCTATACATGCACGCTTCAAAGAGCGTGTGTTTTGTGCATAAAAACGGAGCAAAATGGCACGCTAACGACGCTAATCAAAAAATGTAAAAAACAAAAGGGAAAGGAGTTGATGGCAAACTACGATTGATAGAGAGGGACAATGGAGATGAATTTTTCCATTGAGAAATATTGACGTGATCTGACAGATTAGCTATATCGGGAAGAATAGCTTTTAAACAATTGTTCGAAAGCAACTTGAGTAACAAAAAGAAGCATTTTTTTGTTACTAAACGCAGACTGCAAAAAGCAGCCAAAAATCAGCAGATTTAAAAATGTTTTAGTCTAATTTAAATGACGATAGGTATTGAATGTCAATGATGGGATGATGGAAAGTCATTTTTAAAACGAGTGATCATAATCTGTTTATAACATCGTGTAAGGTCTCAACCATTTTCGTTGAACCGCAAACTCAATTGCAA